TCATCCCGGGGCTTCAAAAAAGCCCCAAAAAGAGCTTCTCGTCGGCCCCCTTTTTGCTGCAGATCCCTTCCCAGCGCAGTCTTACCTGTCCCGAGGGCGGTCTCCGTGGCAGTGACCGTTAGGCACCTTAATGGCCATTTAAAATCACCTGGGTGGGGTGGTGCTGGCCCCGCCCGGCCCCCTCAGCAGCCCCGCCCACCCGCCCGCCGCGAGCGGAGCGCGTGTCCCGGCTCCAAAAAGGCCCCAAAAGGGGCTTCTCCTCGGCCCGCTTTTTGCTGCGGGGGCTTGGGTTCAATGTCTTTTCCCTCGCTGCAAGTTTGTCACGGAAACGGGTTTAGGGCTGAAGTCGGTGCCTTTTAAAGCGTTTTATGTGTCTTAAACTAATGGGACACCCCCTCCTCCCCCCGCTTTCACCCGGCTGCTCTTCAGCTCTACGAGCTTCACACTGTTTGGCCAGTGATGGGCCTTACCTTTAGTTGTAGATTCTGGTGGCTGAATAAACGGTGAAACTTAAATATACGCCTTTTTTGGGTCATTTCTCTCCCGTAGCTGAGCTCAGCCTGGGTTCAATCATGTATAACGTGCGTGACGAGGGAAACCTGTGCCTCATCCTTAACCTCCACAGCCCCTCCACAAGCTGCAGGGTGACCGACTCCCTCAGGTACTCCAGTTCTTAGGACGTTTCCCAGCATCAAGCGAGCAAAGAAGACTCCAAGGTGGTGCCTTGGAGTTTCAGGGACCAACAAATTTAACTGCCCTCTGCTTCCCATGCTAGCAGAATTGTTGTTGACTATTTTCAGGGGAGGGTACAAGTATGGTTGAAAACAGATTGAGGTCTCATCTCCCTGCCCAAGAAGTAAGAATTCAACTCAAGACTAGTTTTGGCCTGGTTTCACTCCTACATACAATGCATGTGCAAAAGCATGAGCATACAGTGTGGATGCACGCATGCTTCCTCTTGTCCTTTTTTTTTTTTAATCTTTTTTTTCCTTCACTGAACTCTTAACAACCCAGTCCGGAGTGAGATGACGACATGAAGAAATTGGTGGGTATATATAATGACTTGTTTGAAGCAGACTTCAGTGTCAGCCTACAGTGCAGTGGCTATAATCAACTGGAAGTAAAACTATTTAAAATAGTTTTGGGGGAAAAAAAAATTTAAGTTATTTTCCCAGACTTTTTTTTTTTGGTGACATTTTGAGATAATTTCATGAAAGCTCCTCATTTTATATATTACATCAGCTCACCAATTTGATATAACTGTACATAATGAAAGGAAATTGCAGGCTATGAAATTTTCTTTAGACCTTTTAACATTGTTCAAATTCTTTTCCCCCTGCACAGGTTCTTTAATGGCAGAAGAACCGAGTATCATGTCAGCAACTGACTATTAGCTCTTGGCAGAAAGCTTTGCATGGGCATTTGTGACAAGCTGGCAATGAAATAATGGTTAGAGCTGGCTGACTTCTACAGAAGAGAGAAACTTTAGTGAGCTCCATCTGAAAGTAATTGCTTCAAAATACAAAATAATGACGGCGGAGGGAGAGAAGAGAGCGTCTGTGCCCGTGTGCGGCAAGGGGTGGGGAGGATCCATCCTTTCCCTCTGGATACAGTGCTACTTTGAGAGCTGTAGCCATCAAATTGGTTGCTGGGGCAAAAGCAACCCGGATGTTGCTCTGATTTGGGCATTGATGTTGTCCTACATGTGCAGAAGGAGAATGCAGGAAATAAGTGAGGCATCCTTTAGGCTGGGCTATTTCTGCTTTGAAGTCCTTCCCTTTGCAATTGCTACTGTGGTTTTTTTTTGTTTGTTTGTTTGTTTTTCCAAGAGAGATAGGGAACTGCTGGAGAGAGTCCAGTGTAGGGCAACAAAGATGATGGAGGGATTGGAGCATCTCCCTGATGAGGAAAGGCTGAGAGAGCTGGGACTCTTTAGCCTGGAGAAGAGAAGGCTGAGGGGAGACCTTAGTAATGCTGACAAGGATCTAAAGGGTGGGTTGAAGGCTGATGGAGTGGGACTCTTTCCAGTGGTTCCCAGGGACAGGACGAGAAGCAACGGGCACAAGCTGGACCATGGGAAGTTCCACTCCAATCTGAGGAAGAACTTCTTTGGGGTGAGGGTGGCAGAGCCCTGGAAGAGGCTGCCCAGGGAGGGTGTGGAGTCCCCTTCTCTGGAGATCTTCAAGCCCCGTCTGGATGCCATCCTGAGTGATGTGCTCTGGGCAACCCTGCTTTGGCAGGGGAGTTGGACTAGATGATCTCTAGAAGGTCCCTTCCAACTCGTACAATTCCGTGATTCCATGATCTATGCCACCAAACAAGGGCTCTTGAATTTTTAACTTCTGAATTTTTAAATCTCTCTCTGTGACAAGCAAGAGGGTGGTTATGCTGCTTCTGACAATTGCATTAGCACGCAAATAAGTTGACTTACAAAGGAGTGGAAGGGTCAGCACTGCTGGAACATATGGCTGGTTGCTCCCCCCAGACACACTGATAGCACCTGCAGACATTGGCAAAATTTTAATGACAGTACTCAAACTGTACAACTGAGAAGCAATGGCCACGCAGACTGTACACAGTGTTTCTCCAGCCATTGCCCAAGTGTCAGTTTCATTTCAAAGATGAAGCTTATAAAAATGCACAATTCTCTCCCAAGATACTGTACACTATTCAGCAGGTTAAAAACCAAAAAAATCTTTCATTAAAAAAGTCATTATATTATTTGTATACATCAGGGATAGTCTACATAATCATGTTCATCTAGAAAATATGTGCATTATAAACCATTTCCATGCAACAATTTCTCATTTCAAAGGTAGTATAAAAAGACAACACAGCAGTCCTAGCCGCTAGAACACTATATGTGAACCAAAACCAAATGTGCATCCTTTTGCTGAACGTGCTAGATGTGTAAAACACAATACCAAAGATTCAAAGAGATGGAGATTTATTTTTTATCTTTCCCATCAAGTGACTAAGGTACCAAAAGATACAGGTAATGTGAAGTGTGCGCAGTCATCATTTTAGGGTTAGCGTGGCAAAAAAAGCCACTTTGCCAAGACAGACTGCTGTGTTTAAGATGGCTGTGATGTAGTTTCTGCATCTCAACACCTCCCAAGCTTAAGAGTGCTGTGCCTACAAAATAGTGTAATCTATTGCCTCAAAGTATAAAGTGTGTTGCTTACAATTTAAAAATCTATAGAAAAAGTTTGTTTTCCATACAAAAATGCTGAAAATTTGTCAAGATACATATTTTAAGATGTGAAACTGAACACATGCCCTGCAACAGGGAAATGAGGCTATAAACGTGAGGTTGCCTTCTAGGTTGGGGGAGGCCCATTGATGTATCGCAGCATGGGATGGAAAGAATGGGCAAAGTTGTTTCTCCGGGTGCAACTGTAGTCTTCCTCAGAAAATGGAACCATGCAAGCCAGGAGCAACAGCAGGAGAAAGAACAACTGAAGAGGTAAAGCTGCTCGTAATACACGGTAAAAGAAAGAAGGGGACCGAGGAATTGCTTGAACAGGTTGGGGATGGCTTTCAGCTCTGCAAAGGAGAAATAACAAAGGAAAAAAGCCTTTAGAGTCTGAATTAAACAAGTTGTTTTATCTCCCTCTCTGGAGTTCTCACTACTCTTCCAAGATGCAGGGCCGTTTATCTACAGGAAAATGCTAACTGTAACTTGAAAGTGTGCAAGACTGCTCAGTGGGAAGCCACCTGCTGGCTTGGGTTTCCTGTCCTTACTACTGAAGAAGACACGTTTCTTTGTGATAGCTTAGATCAGTAGGTTTTTACCTAATTTTCAGATGCAAACTTAAGTTTTCCCAGAAAAATAAACCACTCTAAATACATGTTGGAATTATAACAGAAAGCGACCATTCAGAGTGATTAGGCTCTTCTTTGCCTTGGCCTTACTGAGATCTATCCTTTGAACAGACCCTAATGAACCGTGGATGAAGTTCTCCCTTTGTCCTTCACGGTCTGTTTGCAATAAGGGGCTCTAAGCTCCAGGTTTCTTTGTCCAGGTATGGTGGTGGAATTAAAGGGAGATTTAAAATGAAAATATTCCCCCATTTGGCACAAAACCTATTTCCTCAAGGGTAAAGACATGCCAAGGTTGCACATTGGCGCTGAGATCTAGGAGAAGGAGTGCTAAAGGAAAACCCTTCATCAAGGTGGATCCCAGAGCTGGTAGGTAGAGGAGACGCTACAGGTAGGCAGAAATCACCTCCACCTGCATGTCAACCTCTAAGCAACAGCTTCTCAGGTTTCTGCTGGCACTCAGCTCGCCTCTGCTGTTTTCACTATCCTTCCAGAAATCAGGCTAATGTGAAAGAATACCTTGTGCTGCTGCTGGTTTTGCCATCTGCAGTTCTCCTTACGGTGATCTGTTGAGAGAAACAGCTTTTAGGTTTCAGAAAGTCGAAGGAATTTCTTTTTCTCAAAAGAGACAGTTGTAGATTTGAAAGTCTGTAAGCTCTATAATAAGGCACATGCATCTAAAAGGTAAAATGATTACACTTGAGGAAGTTTCAGGCTAAATATGTCAAAATATGCTATATGCTGACAGCAAAATATCAGAAAAAAATACTTGCCTTCTTCACAGCAGGGCTAGATTTCACTATGCCTGGATTATAGACTCCTGAGTCAAAGTCATCTGGAAGTAGCAGGCACGCTCCGGTACCCTGAAAGGTAACCACACCTCCCTCTTTAAGATGCACATTCAAAACTCAAGACAGACAAAGTACAAAGAGGCATCTTTCATTGCCTCTCTGTAGGGGCACAGCCCATTGCCTCATCATCTATGCATAACCAGTGGTGAACAGACAATCCAGCTCTCCAGCATAAAGAAACGTTTTACTATGTGCAACCCGAAGGAATTACGATGGAACAGGTGTGTACAGGTATTAACTTGAAAATATCTCTGTCTGACAGCTCTCAGGATAAGCAATGTATCGCTACAAACTACAACTCCTATGTGTTTGTTACACACTCCTAGCCTGGTACTTGGTACGGATCACAGGATAACTCAAGTTGGAAGGGACCTCAGAAAGTTCACCCAGTCCAACCTCCTGCTCCAAGCAGGGTCAGCGATGAGCCCAGACCAAAAGCCTTACTCAAGGCATTATCCTTCTCCTCTTCAAGCCACTCAAGGATGGAGACTGCACAACCTCCCTGGGCAATCTGTTTCAATACTGCACTAGCCTCATGGTGAGGAAGTTTTTCCTATAGGCAGACTTAATTGTTCTTTTTTCAGCTTATGAAGGTGGAAGTACTTAAGTTTTAAGTCAGTCTTTACTCTTAATGTTATTACTTTTCAGTACGAAAGATCCATAAACAAGTGGAATAGGTTGGAATAGGCTGCCCAGGGAGGTGGTTGAGTCACCATCCCTGAATGTGTTTAAGAGTCGTTTAGATGTGGGGTTGGGGCATATGATGTAGGGGAGAACTTTGTAGAGTGGGGTTGATGGTTGGACTCGATTATCCCAAGGGTCTTTTCCCACCTGAATGATTCTATGGTTCTAAGTATTTAAAGTCTGACTCACCAGATTTCCTTGTATTGTTTTTAACTCATGTGAAACTTGTTTATTAAGCTGTTTCAGTTTGCATCCAATTCCATGGACCTTCTCACCAGCTTCAATGTAATCACCGTCTGATTTAAGCAGCAGGTAACCAGTGAGTTCTTGAAGTGAGTTCACTTTAGGCTGTTGTTTCAGCAGCTCCTTCTCCAGTTGCTTAGAACAAACAAACAAAAAACAGTGCAACAGACTGTTACTCTCAACTTTAAGGATGTTCTCATAAAAGGAGGAACTTGGGAAGAACAACTCAACCTGCCTGAGAACCCGCAATACATAGGAACGGCTATTCCAGCTACACATGAAACAAAGTTCTCTTGAAGAGACTAGTTGTACCTGTTTGAACTACCATTTAGAAGCAGTTCAAGCAGTAATTAATCCATCTGGAAGAGACATGAAATCTTGGAAATTGGTAGTCTTACTCCAGCATAAAGACTGTTCATAAGGAACGTAATTATGATGCGTAATTACAGAAAACATGCTTCATACAGGCACCTTACTCCATCCTCCTCCTCCAAGTAGGACCAACGTCAAAATCAGAGCAGGCTGCTCAGGGCCTTATCCAGTCAGATTTTGAGTATCTCATGGGACTTAGATTTCCCCTCCCCTTTGGGTCCCTACTCCCACATGAGGCCACCCCAGTTGTAAGAAATTCTTTTTCTTCAGAATCACGAGTTTCTGTCAGCCCATTTCTCTGACTTGTCAAGATCCTCCCAAATGGCAGCCCTGCCTGCTTTCCTCTTCTCCCTTTAAAGTGCAGAGGAAAATAATACGGAATTTGTGAAGTCATCACTGTATTGCCTAACCACCTTAGTGTTAAGACAGAGCCTGTATTTTTGAAAGTTTTTTAAAAAATTGGATGCCAAACAATGCCTCGTACCCTCGAGAAGTTTTCATATTGAATCAAGAGTACTCAGTCTTTTTCAAGGTGCGGGCTCTTGCAGTAGAGAAGTAAGAGCTGCAGGATGAGTCCTGCAATCAACACAGCTCAGATTGCTTTTCTTAGCAGCCTTTGTAACTAAAAGTGTCAATCTATATATTCTCAAGATCTGTTTTCCACTTGTTGAAAACTGCTAGTCTAAATTACATTTTGCCCAACAAAGAACCCTGGCTCCCTCCTTCAAGCTATGAAGTTTTTTTCAATATCAGACAATACAAATGGTCCATCAAAGACTTCTAAACATTGGTAAGCCAGCCTGCAGCCAGACTGGATTTATCCTTATCCAGGGCAATCGTGGTGTCCTGACACCTCATGAAATTCACATCTTGGTGCCTACTGGCTCTTTCAGGCACCTATAGAAAGCCAAGCTGTCTGAAAAGGGGATTTACAGCCAGCTGGACTCCTCTTAAGAAAATGCAGAAGAGAGAAGTGAAGCTCTGCTCCTCGAAGAGGTCAGACACACAAACTCAAACCTGAAGGGAAGCACCTCTCTCCACTTGCAAGGCATTGCCAAACTTTTCCTAATGTTTGGTACCTAAGCCAGGCTGGCTGAAGGAATCAGAGTCATTCTTGCTGGAGTGCACAGTCATTCTCCCTGTCCTACACTCAAGGACGTGTAGGCGTAACCATGCTCTCAACATGCCTAAGAAATCCCTTCTCTGTCCTGCAGAATGTCTTGTTTGTGAGCATGATCCCAAGCATGACATCAAACTGACCAGAAGCCTCAGGATTTGGGTGACTCCATGCAAGGCTGCTGGCAGAAGGGTAGCACACAGGGATTTTGCACTTCCACAAGCGTTAGGAACACATCCTCTCAGAGCTCAACCCGAGGCATTTTGTTACCTAAATCCTAGGGATCTAGGGTAACCTGCTCGTTCAACTTGCAGACCTGACTTAGTCCTACTTAATTTATGGAAGCTGAGAGTCATAGCAGGCAATGTAACATGACCACACATGCTGACAAACGTTCATGTTGTCTCTAACTATTCTATTATGTGGCTGAAGATTAGCAGAGACTGAATTTATTTCGTTTCTCATTTTTAACTAATACATTCTATTCAGTGAGAAATCCGCATTTCCTAAGTGAAAAAATGCAACTGCCCATTTTGAAATGATGTATCCTTCACCTACAGGAGAAAGGTGTTATTTAGACCTAAGGTTTATTGCAAACACCATATTGCAATATCCCCAAGCTTTAAAGCAGATCTTTTCCAGTTTCCCTGTTGGACCTACAATTTCCCCCACATTAATTCAATTAAAAATAAAAATCAAAAAATCAGTCTAGATTTGTAGCCCATGGACCCGACTAATTTTCCATCTGTTTCTGGTTTGCATGGAGAAGAATGGCACAGAGCAGGGGAAAAATCCCAGTACCGATGCTCAGAATACCCAGCCCCCCAAGACAAGACTCGACCATAGGCATCTGGGGAGTCTAAGCCTTCATCATTTAGCTTTTTTTTTTTGTGTTTGTTTCCTAAAAGAAAAGGCCTAAACGGAGCAGTTTGGGTTTGAGAGAGAATAAAGTGTCTCTGCAAGAAAACTGGGAGAGGTTTTTATTTCAGCCTGGCTGCCTGCTGTATGCTGGCATATTGCCTGCACATCTCTGCATGTGAAGACAGAAGCACCTTGCTCAACCACACTCTTTACTCCTCTTGGCTGAGAACAGCTTAGCTCCTTCTGTGGCATATGCACATTGGTGTTAGCATTCATGCTGCCGACAGACCCTGGGAGCACAAAGACAGTGATCATGAGCATCAGCATCTTGAAATCCCATTTCTCAGTACGCCATAACTTACTTTCAATTTCTGGACCTTTTCTTCCAACGCCTGCACACTGGTTGGTTTCACTTTTCGCAGCTCTTCCAGCTCTCCCTCAGTTTTATCAAGCCAAGCAGAGAGGTCGCTGAGGTCTGAGTTCAGTTGCTGCCACGGCTGCAACTTCTGTTTCATCCTAGGTTTATTTCTGAGGTCTTGAGCTTGGATGAGCTCCCACCTATCAATAATGCCTACAAATGACAGAAGAACAAACGGTTAAATCTTAAGCAAGGTAAAAAGCACAGAAAACAGATGTAAGGAGTCTTATGAATACGTTATTCTGCAATCTACTTAAGGCCAAATAATTGCTACCATATACTACTGTCATCCAGGCAGACTTTTTCTTGAGATTGTGCAGTCTGTAAGTTTCATGTTACTGGACAAGTTATCCACATACTAGTTGCTACACAGGATTATAATCACATTAATTGAAGATGTTTTAATTCACCTGGAAGAATGGAGCAAATCTAATGAGCGTGAATTCAATGAGCCTAGTTGTGACTTGGTAGACACCAAAATTCATCATGGGACAAAGTATGATCTAGAAATTAGGACTTGGGTTTATTTTTCATCAGTTCAGTGCTAAAGCAGATGGAGATGCCACCTGTATGACCACTAATGCTAATTCTGGAAGCCCATCTCAGAGGTTTTCCTATTCATCCAGTGTGTGGGACTCAACCCCGGTCCATTTGTGAGATCAGAGACATAAACTAAGCAAGCTGGTGTGTACAGCCACAATCTTCTTTTTATCTCTTAATTCACTTTTGTGATTGCAGTACAGATGTGTTCTTATCACAATCTCAAGCACCTGAAACCAAGAATGAGTCCTAAAAGGTTAAGAGAACCATCTTGTTGGCCTACTTGGAAGAAAGGACCACAGGGAGAAGAGCGAAGAACAGAATACATTACCAGCTTTGACAAAACATTTCTGTAAATGGGAGCTGTAGCATCTTCTTATATGGAGTACCAATAACTGAGAGAACAAACTACAGCAATCTTATTTTAGATAAAGAGACACACTTCTTTGGTTTGAAATCTGATTAAAAGTCTCTGAAGTATTCAGTATCATACAAAAGTGAAATGTTCTCATTCAATTCAACTAGCAAAGAGACAGAGGTATATTATGAGTGATAAAAATCTCAGTTCTGGCAGAAAATGTAAAAGCTTAGAAGAGCAAACACGGGTTGGACAGTACCAGATGAGAAGGGAGCTCAGCAAATCCTAGCAAAATGCATTAACTTAGAAGACAGAGGTTTAGACTGATCTTGTGGCATCAGTGCTTTGTCTCCCCCAAGAGCCACAGGACAAACACCACAGCACCAAAGCTACTCCTAACGCTCTGTACCTGACTGCTCCTCTGCAGCTGCTACATTCACAAGCTCTTGGTCACCCTGGGGTTCCTCATCACTCGTGTTAGCAGATGTAGTTTTATCCTTGTTGATGCTGCCGCTGCTTGCAGAGCTGAGCTGCTTCACCTGGAATGACATTTTGGTGGGTGGGTGAGCACTGCAGATTAACAAGCCATCAAAGGTCAATCTTCATTTGTGCTGCTTTGGGGTGGCCGGGCTGCTGCTGAGCTATGGCATGTCAGATTTAGCACTGGGCTTCTGCATCTTTGCTAAGGGTTTATCCTGGTTCTCTGTGCCTTCTCAGTAAACACATATCATAGGGACGCTAATTATTCCAAGACTGCACATGGCAAATTAACTGCTTTTGCACTACATGTCCCAGACAGCATGTGTTTGCTGATACTCTTTTTTTGGAGTCTGGGTCTCGGTAATATTGACTCTGAGGCTCTAAGACTGGATTAATGATGACAAAAGCAGCCAGATATCAGTACCCATTTGGGCCTGGAAGAGTGCTGACAAGTGGTCCACTGGGCTTGGGCAGTTGCTGGTGAAGTCACGGCTAGCAACCAGCCACCAAGACTGAGGTACCAATGAATAATAGCCATTTTGGCACATTTTTTGAGTGCCCAGAAGCAAGGGAGTCCTTTCTGACCCTCGTGACTCAACGGGAGTTGTATGTTAGAAAAGGACCTTTCAAATCAGTCTGCTTAGGAAAGGGAGAAATGTCAGTATCAAGGGAGGGTGTTCACAGCCTCTCCTTTGAGGGGGTTAAATTAGATTTGTCCTTTGACAACAGAGGAGGAAAGTTATTCCAGACACTGACCGTGATCAGGAGCCTAACGTGATTGTTCTGAATTGCTTTAAGGGAGTTTTTCTAGTGAGTGGATAGAGACTCTGGCTGGTTACCTGAGCCACCAGAAGTAATGTCCAAGTTTGCATAAAGTGAACATTCCCCCCACCAGTAGTTCATTTTTCCTTGATGCTGGAGGAGGGAGGAGGATGGAGCTACACAAGAACAACAAGCAGGCCGTGTAGTACAGGCTCAGTGCCCACACAGCCTCCAACTCACATAGTCTGGCTTATAGGGAGTACTTGTCTCTGGATCAGACAAGACATTTCCAACCACCTCTGCCTGGTTGTATCGGTGTTTCCGGCAGACTGGGCTATCCGGAGAACGCCAAGGATGAGCTTCTGAAACGGACTTTCCTGAAACAAATAAAACCAAAGCCATATGCTGTAAGTGCAAAAACCCATCTCCACAAGAAAGCTGTTGCTTTGTATTAAGTTAGAAAGCGCTCTGAATAAAATGGCGTCAAGTTATGGCATAAAAATGACAGTTTTGCAGCTTTCCTTGCAAAGCATGCACATTTGCAAAACATCAACAGTGTTTCAAAGGTAATGAGATGAGAGCCATGCAGTTATGGGACATTCTGTTTTCTTCTGGAAAATGCTTGAACACAGGTCTGAGCATTCAAAAAGTAAAAGAAAAAGGCTGCACTCTGATTTTGGAAAGTTTGCATCCCAACAATACTATCTCACATCTGCAACGCATTTCAGTAAGGACAAGTAGAGACAAGTCCTGATTTGGAAAACACTTGTTCTGGATTTAACAGACAGGACACACACGGTTCTGTCATGCACAAAAGACAAAAAATACTTGCAGAGTTGGAACCATTTCCGTCAGTGATTAGGCAATCAAAATTAAAAACAACCAAAAAAAGTGATACTACCCAGAGCAAACCACCAAGAAAGTACCAAAAGACCTCGGAACGATGCAATGAAATGCACATAAACCATCTTGGCATTTACCAGGCAAAATCTAAATGGCATGTTCTTGACTGCTTTGTAATGTACATGTGAATACTGCAGCATAAGAACACCATGACAGGATGAGACATGGTGTCCACACAAGGCAGGAAGTCAGACATTACATATGAGAGAGGTTGAGGAATATAGCGTGCAGCACAGGGAGATCGCCATGTTCAGACACATGCATTAGCAGGTGCCTACCAGAAGATGCTTTCAAAGTTTTTGTGGTCATTTTAAGATATGCCTCAGGATTTTCAGTGATTTCTACATCTGAAAAAAGAATAACGTCATTTTCCTCGCTAGTCAATGCTTTCCAACTATTAAAAACAACTGAAACAATGAGGGACAGCAAAGAAAAAGAATGAAATAAAAAGTTTCATCAAACATTCTTAAAAAGTAAAGTTTCTAAAATCCTTATGTTTCTGAAAAGACAAGCTTGGTTTAGACCATACCATTCCCTTCATCAAGAAATCTGAGAGATGAGACTGCTCACATCTATTAATAGGACTTGAAAACCAACTAACAGAGTGGGAGCAAGACCTCAATCCCCCTCCCTTCCCACACAGGGACATCTGGCAGTTGTCCATGTCAAAAGGAACAGCTGGCAATTGGTTCTCACCTGACAAAGCACTGTAGTATGTTGCTTCGTCTTCATCTTCGTGAGAGGAAGAACCTCCCACGTCACCTGTGTGATCCCACTCAAGTGGGATGGAGTCAACACTGATAGGGGTTTCACAGCCTGATCTTTCATGACCTTGAGTAGGGGGCATAAGGTGGCAAAGGGACTGCGGTGAAGAGGGCCCCTCGCTGATGGCCTTCTTATGCCAGGGATCATTCTGGATTTCTCTGGAGTCTTCTGGATCTGTCTCACTTTCAGAGGTCTCCTCTTCATCGTCTGATCCCTAAAAATAAACAACGATTATTGCTTATTAATAAGATTTACAATAGATCTACACTGCTTAACGAGCTAAGGATTGAGCCACACAGTACTATTGGGGAGTGTTCTGCAATCAGCTGCAGCAACTGAAGACCACGTGCCAAAAATTCAAGGGAAGCATCATTTTTGCCTCCTTCCTATTTTGCCAGAACAATCCTCACATCAGCAGCTATTGGCAGGGAGGGGTACCCAGTTACAAACAGACTGCACAGGTCAGCAATTAAACTATGCTCAGGCAGGTACTTGTAGGTGTTCACATTTCTCCTTCCTGGCTTTTTCATAGATGTTCTTTCTTTTTGAGCCAAAGCAAACTGAGAATCAGCTAAATGTTCCCAGTGAAAAGTAAAGAGCATGCTGTTCCCCATGCAGAGTTCCCACAAGAAAGTGGACAGATGGAGGCTCACAAACAAATCCATAAAGAGATTTTCTAAGCATATGATTGAAAATAAAGAAAACAAAGCGATATTAAAAACACCAAAAAAAGCTTTTGTAACCCTCATACTGCTTCTATCTAAATATTAACTCTGTGAATTACTATCCAGATTCTGCAGGCGGAGACCCAACATAAGAGGCGTGAGGAGACAACACTGGCAACAAAGATTTGGCAAAGCTGGCGCAACTACTGAGGAGCTCCCGACCCCTTTGAGCTCAAACCACTCTATCAAGCTGCTGGGGATAAGCAATAAGCATTGCAGTTCAAACACCAAAATCTTGCCACAGCATCAAAAAAAGTGTTGCTTCTTACAGGATGTCTTGCAGTCAGTCTTTGATGGAACCGGGCCACTCGCCCAAACACTTCCTGACAGTATCGATGAAGTTCTTGCAATTCGCCTTCAATCACAGTAGCATCCAAAGGCTCACTCTTCTGAATCAACTGCTCCCCAAAAACGATTAGCTGATCAATCTTATTGGTGTTTAATGTTATTTCCTGCTGGAAACCCTATTTGGAACAGAGGAGAAATATAATTACATCTGCAACACCCCTTTCCAGCCTAAGGTTTGTCCTTTTTTTTTCTCACTCACTGCAATGAAAGAAAAGCAGCAATGGACATTGTTGTCTAATTTTGTTTAGCAAATATCTTTTTTACTGAAGAGGTAAAAAAGGTTTGTTTTATTAGCAGGACTACAGAGTAGCATCTCCACCATCTATATAACTGCAGTGCCCTGAGCCTGCCGGCGATCACAATATGAGAGTCCAGCTAATCAGAGCTTATTTTTCTGTTGGCTACACCCAGTCTTTTTCTCAGTAGCAAAGAAGTTGGCCCTAACAGCCAACACAACAGTAAATATCGACATCCCAAAACAATTAACAGTGCAGGGGGAAAGGAGAAATGAGCATATGAGCAGGTAGCAAGGAACTAGTATGTTCTTTAAAATCATTGCACCTGATTGGTGTCTTATTTCTGTTGGAAAGCCCGAGCTACAAACAATGCACTCAGAGGAGAGGTCCTACCTTAATGCCAAGTCAACAAAATTCTCACCAGAAACGAACACCTGAATTTAGGAATGTAGATTTTACTGTTAACCTGCACATGCTCCTTTCCAGGCCAGACAGCACTGTCACTGGATGTTAGGAGAAAAAGGCAGAATAGAACTAAGCTTGAACACTGAATCTGAATTTAAATACTGTACAGTTTAATCTTGATTCAGAGGACAAGTCTTAACAATTTAGTAGTGTCTTAAACAAATACAGCCTTATAGAGATTTGTTGGCTATTGTGAAGTTCCAGAAAAGTAGGTGATTCTGTCAAGAGAGGTCAGCCCAAAATATTAAACAACTGCTTTATAAGGATACATACATTTAACTGGCGCATTTTGTCATCAAAGTTACTTTTCGAGAAGTGCTCCACGTTTGTCAGCTGGAGGTCCATTTCTGTGAGCCAAACAAGGATGCTTTCCCTGGTCCCCTCAAACTCATCTCTCCGATTGGTGAAGTGCTGAATAGGAAGAAGGGGGCCCATGTTATATGACTTAAAAGAGATGGTCACAGGATCCCTTTGAAAGCTGTTTTAATAGTTTCACGACTCCCGTTCACCTTAAAGGCCCCCAGGGCACAAACAGCAGTGTGCCATGTGTACAAACTGTGCCCTTCCTGTAGTGATGCTGGAACAAAGTGTCCTATGTCAGTACATTATGCATATGGCAGAGGGAATAAAACTTCAGCAGTGCAAGATGCATCCATAGAATGATATTCTGGCTCCCAAACTGTATACCTTCTCCCACATCATTATACCTGTGTAACAGTTCATTTTGTTTAACATCTCATTTGTTCTAAATGTAGAATCAAAGCAGACAAAGGAAGCAAGCCCCATCTCTAATTAAAGTAACTAAAACTATGGCATTAAAATCGATAAAACAGTGGAGAGGCTGGATCATGGATGACCATGACAGTGTAAGTGATGCACGGTTTGGCGTGGAAGCCAGGAGGAGTTCTCTCTGCTGCTGTCTCCCACAGAAGCTGCTAACAGACACACAGCTTGCAGTGCCCTGGTTCTCCTTGGTGGATTTACTGTTTAGGAAGGGGATTATGAAAAACCCCAAACACATTTCCTAACTGCACAGCTCAAACCCCATCAGTGCTCTCACAGCCTCATCCACTGACTTTTGGGATCTAATAGTTTCCCTGTCAACTGCCCTGCATTTAAAAACCAGGCAGTCACAAGTTTCCCCCAGGGCACAGTACAGAATGCCTGTCCAGAGATCAGTTTAACTTGACAAGGAGGACACATCTTTGAAGTGTCACAAATAAACTCTTCAACAACATTCCTCTGTCAGGCAGAGAGCACAACAAGAGCTGGTGACAGCAGCATGCCTCTCCATCACATCTCCATCTTTGAAGCCTTGTAGGTGAATCATAACTTGCCATAAAGTAGAGTTGTGTTGTAAACTCCAAACCGTATCTGCACTGGGGTCCTGTTGTCTCTCTGCCTGTTATTGATCGAAAGGTGCAAGTGCATGAATGCATCCACCCATGACAAGACTGGATAAGAGGAAAGTGGGATAGGAGCAGTAACACCTTCCAAAATCTGCACCCATTCTGCCCTTATGCTTTTTCAACTACCAAGAACCAAGGACATGTTTATGACGGGTACTTGGTGACCTTTCCAGAGCTGCTCTCCTACACTGATAACTCAAGACACAAATCAACACAAGCCAGTTGCTCCAGTACGTGTTTTGCTCTTGGGTAATTCCCACAGAAGCTTGCAAGTGCTCCTCATTCTCTCAATCCCACCGCTCTACTACCTTGAGTCTCCTCAGAATAGCAGCCACTCGTTTCTGGAGATTATCCCAGCGCTGGTTGCCTTCATGTACCATCTGCTTCAACTTGCTGGCTGAGTCGGTGCGGTTCTCTCGGGCAAGGCGCCGGTACTGCTTATTGATCAGCTCCAACTGAGTCAGTCGTTCATGGACATGAAGCTGGAACGCCTGCAAGGCAAATCCAGGAACTCAGTTCCCTCGCCGACAGGAGAAGGGATGTGGATGATACTATCTATCAAGAGAGACGATGATGCCCTCCCAATAAAAACAGACCTTCCAACCGCAAAATTAAATCCTGAGGAGGAGCTGTATTTTAATTCATCTGGTCAGACTTAGCTCATTAGGAAAAGGAAGAAATAAATAAAAATAAAATCCACCCAAAAACATCTCCTGACTACAAAAAGCAAATCTTTAACTTATCCGCAGGATCTTCTCAGTTCAGAACATTTCATTCTCCACATTGAAAAAAATTCTGGAGACAAATAAATCAGCCAGACACTGGCCAAATTATTTATGTACTCTATACCACCACCGCCAAACTGGTGTTTTTCAGTAATCCAGGCATTTCACACAGGCAGTAGGTACTTTGCAGTCTGACCGTCCAGCCTGCTGCTGAGCACAAAAAAAAGAAGTTAAAAAATTCACCTCAAATTTCTTCAGCTCCTCCTTTGCGTGCGTGTACAAAACCTCGGAAGAAAAAGGCTTAGCTGCTATCCATTCAGAGGATTTTAGCCAATCTTCAAAGCTTGAATAGTCGTCCAAAAACCTTTGCCACAGGCGCCAGGTTTCCTCGATTCTAAGAGGGAGACGGAAAAACGGAAAGGTTTTATCAGAATCTCACTACTAACTTTGGAATTTCTTTTTCAAAATCCAGTTTGCGGCAAAAGCTACAGCGTTTCTTCAACATGATGCCACAGGCTTCTTGAGGAGGGGTAAGAACAAGAGACTTACTTCATTCTCCTTTCCATAGACATGGCACAAATGTTTCTCCACTGTCTGTCCAAACTCCTGGTGGTCTGCTGGATGGAGTCACACTCTGTCTCATTAGCACACGCGTCCGAATCGTGGAGCAGGACTTCACAGATATTGAACACGGATTCCACTCCCGCGGTGTGCTGCTCTATGTCTCTTTGCAGATCCTGCCAACGGCAAAAAGAACAGCTCGAGTAGAAGGAAACAACTTCAGACATACCCTTTCAAAAGGCTGCAGAGGATGGGGAAAGAGCAATTTCTGTGTCAGGAAAAGCTTATTTAGCTTTAAGATAACAGGCTTGCAAGATGAGCTGTGCAGATGACAGGCCGACAGGTCAGGACAGAACTGCCAGGCAAAAAGGGATCGTCCAGTTTCAGATTCTCAGTGAAAGCTCAATCTTCCCATGAACAGCCTGGACAACTTTAATGTGCATTCAAAAATCCAAACCTGACACATACTTACTAATTTGGACAGCACAAGGGACGGTGTCTCATATCAGCTTACTCACACCATAAGACTTGACAGAGAACTTGTAGGACAGTTCACGTTCTTCAGTGACTATGTGATCACAGGCTGGTGTTACAATACTTATTCCCTCTTGTACAGCTGCTCTTTTAACGGACTATTTTAAAGGGTCCGGCAAAGAACCTTTGTCTAATGTACACTACATGTTTCTTCTCCAAAACCTGTATGTCCATCACATTCAGTGGTATCCACCACACCAGTCTGGCCTCTCATTCTATGCCTGTAACTACACCTAAAACCAATGTAACTAAGTAACAGAAGAAGAAAGACTTATCTAAATATCTCTCAATAAATAGGCAGCTACCAATGGTACAATGCTACCAACTGTAAATATTAATGAAATGACAATGTCCACTACGCTTCCATTTTTTCAACCCATTTTTGGCTTCCCTAATGAAGGATATGGAGACTTTTGCTTGAATAACACTAGAACAACAAGAAACAAAAATAAATATTTTACTGGCAACAGTGAACAGGAACTCCCATTAAATGTTGTTACTGATTTTAGTGAACAAATGAAGCAGAATTGGTTTTGCTCTAGACTTACAAAACCCCAAAAAAATAAAACAAACAAAAAAGTCCCAACACAGACACAGCTTGCAGTAAATCCAAAGGGAGTTTAAAGAAGATCTTCCCAGAAGTCAACAAGCTGCAAGGAGCTGAGTATCATCCAGTGGCGGTCTTCAGTGGTGCTATATGGGAACCTGAAAGGGCTGAGCCATAAATGGTCCAAAATTTGGTTTGTGGGATTTGTAGTAATGTACAGCTTTAAGGAACGTAGAAGACAAAATCTTTACATAGATGAGAGACTGCCAGAAGCAGACCCAACATCATTTTTGACAGCTTATTAAGGATTCACAGCTGTTTTCCCACTAAGAGGCAGCACTGCTTTTTTAACACAGGTGCTTCGTCTGAGAGCAGGCTCTGCCCCACCACTGGTACCTGGAGAGACCCTTCTCAATTCATTAAATTTCACTGGATTTACAGCTGCGATAGCAAAATGAGAATGTGGACCACAGAGTACAAATCTGTTCTACTTTCACTGTGTTAATATTGCTGATATGATCTCATTACTTTTGGTCACGCCTGGGTTCATGGAATAACCCTAGACAGAATCCTTGCAGTTTTTCAAGCTGTTATTCCAAACGACCTGACTGCTTTACGGTGAGACAAACAACAGGCTGAGTAATGGGGCCAAGAACACGCATTGAGCCCCAAAAGGTCCTTTTCCTTCAACTCTGCACAGCATCACCCAGAGAGTTTAAACAGACTATACACTGCTGGACTTCTGCTTCAGTAAAACAGCTTTGAAATCTTAAAATCAATATTATTCATGTTTTAATCTTCATCCTGTAATCAAAAAAACACGCTATAAAACACCTCTGTGGATTCACAATGCTCTGAAATTGCATTTAAAAATGCATTCAAGACTGAACAGGTAAAAAGCTCTTCCAGTCATGGATGTCAAATGAAAGAAGCCTGTAGGGCATATTTCTCACCATCGCTCTGCTCTTGCTGAAATAACTGTTCAGATAAAACCAGGAAAGATCTTTTTGCTTGTTGGATTCAGACAAAGGTTTTTTCAAATGCAGAGCGGAAGAGGCTTTTTATTTATTGTGGTCTTTTTAGTCAGCACAGTGTCCTCACACTCAGCCTGCTAAAAGGTTACAGGAGAAGGAGTCGAGAGGTACCCAGAGGTCTGTGTTTGAGACAGAATCCAGACAACAAAGCTGTGAGTAGCTCTGAGCAGCAAATGAGGGCTCTTACACTGGAGCTGAAGCTTGAATCCTCATCATAAAAAATCAGTTAGTTTGGACACCATTCCTTTGTGCCTCTCATTCTGCTTTGCCTGGCAATTTATCACAGTCTTTGAGAATGCAAAAGGTTTGGATGGGCAGAAAATATTTCCTCGTTGTTGACATGATCATTCACAATGCAGATGAAAACATTACAAGTGCTGGGCCAAGACCTTTGGTGTTTGAGCAACTCCTGCAGCGGAATCGGTGGGACCCATCTCCAGCCCTGTCACAGAGGAGCTGGCCTTTCCCATGATGTCTGGGAGATGGGTGGATGGAGAGCCACATCAACCAGCAGAGAACACAGCACTCAGGTCTGGGTCACTCAGGGATCTCTCCTGAGACATGAAAGCACCCGCCAGAGATAGAGAAGATGGGAAGAACACCCATAGGTGTTCTTAAAGGCAGATGCCATCAAGCTTCCATGCTTGACAGCTTTATTCTTGACCCCGCAAAAAATCCTGTTTAACACAAAGGCCAGATGACAGCTGTGGTCATTCTCAGCCTTCCCAAGGAGGCACTTTGACCCTGGCAGACTCATAGCACGGCCCTGAGCAAAGGCTGACTCCACCAGCGAGTCTGTGCTTTGGAGAAGTTCCTTTTCCTTCCCTGGCTGCCGGAGAGAGAAATTTTCTTCAGGGGTTCTGAAGAAAGGGGTTGGATAGGGGACTATCCAACTCATCGCCCACTTCCACTGGGCTGGGATAGCTGGCACGTTCAGCAGAGCCCAATCCTTGCCATCTCCAGCACTTAGAACTCGCATAGATCTTTAAGATCTCTCTGGTATGCCATCTCTTGGATAACACCTGCTACACTCAGACACCACCCAGCAGTGCTAAGGCTGGTTCAGCTTACGCCTCAGCAGGATTCACACACCCTATCACCCAACCCTGAGGGGATCTTCAGAACCTCCCCTCCTGGATCATGCCTCAGGCAAAGGTGTGTTTGCACAAGTCCACCCTCCAAAGCTGGAACATCCTTCTCTGCCAAGCTTGCTCTGCAAGGAGGGGAAGAGAACTGAGCAAGTGAGGGCAACACATCAAACCAGAGCACTTGAATCTGCCACAGCCAGTTTGCTGGAGACCTGGCGTTCGTGCCTTGCCAGCCTACACCATCCTCATGGATTTTGCCCACTGTTTCTGCCCTGCCTAGCCCTTACAAAGTCTGCTATACTTAACTGAGCAAACCATCAAAAGTGATAATGCTTTTGTTTGGATTTTGCACGTTTTCTGTGTGGGGAAGGGAGAAGAGGAGGTTAAGTCAACACAAAAACTAAAGCAAGCAAATAAAAATTCTCCATGAAACGTATCATGGGAGGGGCATGCTGTGAAAACCACAGTTAGAAGGCTTTGCTAAAGGAAAGAAACAGGTGATTTTAAACCAGGACTAATTGTAATCAGCAGCATTTTAGCTCATTTGCTCCAGCTGCTTCTATTTCCCACCTGCTGTTCTGCCAGTCTCTTCTGGATTTCTTGGTCATCACAGACATCATAAACGACAGGTTTGGAAAGCTCAGACTCAATCTGGGCCAACCAGGTGCGAAGGTTACTCATGTTTTTGTCCAGCAGTTGAATAAAAGAAAGCGTTTCCTTCAGTTTCTTCACCCTAAGCAAACCAGGAAGAACATTTTTGTTACAAAGATCTGCAATCAGTGGAAATGACATTAGCAGAAGGTGATGAGAAGCATGGCTTTAGGAAACACTGTTGCATCGAGGTGTTGCCTGTAAATCGGAGCCGTGTTTTTGTCAAAACCTACCTAAAATTGGCTCAGCAGGCCTCTGCTCTACAGATGCAGAAAGGTCTCATGTCAATTCTTTGCTGAAACTGTACCAGCAGAGTGAATTTTTGTAGCATCCTTCATCTGCCTGTGAGCTCTTCACTCAGTTTTTGTTTAAGTAGAAGTCTGTACCGTAACACACCATAGTTAAACTAAAACAGGTATCTATGGTCTGGTTTTCCTGCTGTGAATTACATTCAGTGACTTCTGAGACTGTGGCTGAGAGGAAGCCACTGGATGACAAAGGCATTTAGCTGCTCTCACTTTCCTTAACAAGCTCTTTTCAGAGCTCTCCAACCAAGTTCAACTCTGCACGCAGAAGGCATCCGGCTTCCAAGCAAACAGCAGCTATATAAATCTTCCTGCTTCTGGTTCTAATTCCATTAATTGCTACTCAACAAACACGTCATACTCTGTTAACTGTACAGCATTTTCTTGTGCTATCATGGGCTGGCAGTAATTTACCCAGAAGACTTAACTGCCCCTCAACCCTCTCCCCAGCTCCTGTCCCAGCTGTCAATTTGGATCCAGTTGGTTCTACTGCTCAGCAGTGCCTGTAGATCATCAAAAAGGCAACTCAGGAGCCCTTCTCACTGGAGAGGTGGGATGGTATAGGCTCTGCATTGAGCACCAAAGGGAAGAACCACGACAACAGCCAGGCCTGAGGAAGAGTATGAGCCAAACATCCACACTGCTGCATTGTTAATTCTGCATGACCTCAGGCCATCTGGGAGGAGAGCGAGGCTAGATGGCTGTGCTGTACCCTGTACTGTATCCAGTGGCAATTTATTCACTGCATATTCTATGATGTTCTCTACTAGTGCTTTGGAAACGTCTCTCTGATGAGTTCCAAGAGATGCACACGTTGGGACCATCTGCTGACCTGCGGAGACCACAGCCCGCTGAGCTTCTGCTCAGCATCATCTCTCTGCTTCCCTGTACCCCCTTCTCCGTCTGTATCCACCTGTTTCCTATCCTGAAGTTGCATTACAGAAAAATTCATGAGTTGCAAGACATCTTTCTTCAGTCTGCCTATCGGATAACAGGTAGGTGAACACAGCCAAGGAAGCCCAAAGCAAAACCAAGGAATATTCAATTATAAATAAATCTCTTTATTACTGGCAGCACATTCAATAAATTTAGAAAGCAACAGTTTTAGAGTCCAAGTGGGTTTTTTTTTTTTTCATCAAAAAACCTCCCAATAATATTATTTTGGCTCAGAAATCACTCCAAAATTCAAGTTACAGATATTACCATAAATATTTAAGTCTTTATCTACTAGTGTTACTAGAAGCAAGTCTCAAAGACAGCACAACTGTGATACTTCAAGCTTGTATTTACTTTCTAGTAATTGCCATCATAGGCATACCACTGAAATTAATTTGTTATGTATTCTGGATAGAATGTGGCATTTGTTAGTCATATAACCACCCTTAATGCTCTAAATCATTAATCTCCAACTTGAGCTAAGCAACCCGAGAAGAATAAAAACCTAACACAAATTCACATCAGTGCAGCATGTAAATAGGAGGCAGCCTTGTCCAAATGTTCACGTTGGCTGATCTGCTCGTGTCGCAGTCAGTGGACACAAACCCCAAGGTAAAGAGTAGGGTTCTACAACTGAAGCAAGGGATAAAACGATGAAAAATTTGAGTGTCCTTCTTGAGCACACTCATCTTGCACAGAAGTCACAGGGAACTGCCATTTCTCTGGCTACAGCTCAAAGAAAAATGTAAAATAGTCTAATTACAGCCTTAAAAGTCTTACACTTGCAACAACCATTCTCAGATGCATTTCTACACACTGAAGAATTCCTGCAAATTATCTGCTCTTTGCATGAAAGAAACTTCATGAACTCTTTTGAGATGCATCCTGAGGGGACTATTTGTCTGGAAATGTTTGCCTCCTGGGAGCTGGGTGGGGGTGCACAATTCAAGCCACCCAGCCTCAGGGCAAAAGCTTCCCCCCATGTCCAGGTGACCAATCACCCAACACAGTGAATTAATGGCAATAAAAGTTCAAGTGCAGCAGAGGAAACAAGTTCCTCCCATTACCCAGAAGGTGGAAAGAGGCTGCAACCACTGTTGATCGGATTCTTCCTCTACAAAGTGTACTTCTCAAGTTATTTGGTCCAGCAGGCAAGACTTAATATTTACCGAATAAAGCCCTACTTATCTGCAGTTCCCTTCCCAATGAGGGCTCACCTGCCACTGTAATACCAGAAGCAAAAAAAAAAAGTAATAATTTTTTCAAACAATCCAACAAATATAACCACTAGTCTAAAAAAAAAAAAATCCCAACAAACTCAAACACCTCTCAGACTGTGCAATGGGCCCAGCTTAAAAGAGATTCTGATTCAAAACAGCGCTTAGACACACGCATAAGATGCCTGGGATAAGCCAAACCAAAGCCAATCTTTACACCAAAATAGAAGTGCCAAGAAAAGAACAAAACTAGTAGATTATAACTAAAAGCTGGCTGCAAAAGTGAACAGAAGGACTAACTGACCTGACTGATAATTGGATTTGGGTCTTAATACCCTCAATGAACTTGCCAGCATTGGGTTACAAAAGAAATGCATTGAGTGTTTTAGGGTGAATCATTGCACAGCCCCACAAATACACGGAATATTTTGTTGTAACCACTCAGGAAATACCTAGCAGTAAAAGACACTTTCAGGTTGACTGAAATGTATTCACACAAACATAAAGAATTGCAAAATGCCTGACAATTGCCTTGCATCAGCTGTCAAAATGCTGCAGGAAAATGTACAGGGAAGCTCAAATACGGTAATAAGCAACACTCAAATTTTAGTTCCCCAAAGGAAAACAAAAAAAATCCCGACACATATTCCAAATTCTCTCTCACAAGCACAAACGGCAGCAGAAAAAGATCCTACACACATTTCTTTTTAACTGAAGAGGAGCTGGAATTGCCCTGCCTGCCGATGGGATTGTTTACGGCTGGGTAAGGCGAATGAGATGCACAACCCAGGAAACCTTTGTTCAGCGAGTGGCAGGGCCAGCTTCAGCCTGCGGGCAACAAAAGACCCTATTTGCAGAGATGATGTCGAAGGCAAATTTTAGACCTTTGTATAAAAGGCAAGGCCGCTTCTCCCTGGTACAATGACAGGAAGGCTCCCTGTTCCTGGGCTGCCTTAGCACGGCAAGCGGAGCAAACGGGGGGTTTGCCGGGGGAGGCTTTTCTCGCGTTACCCTGCCGGCGAGTCCAAAAAGGTTGCTGTCGCAGATCTCCACCCTCTCGGGCACTAAATCCCCCAACGCAGCTGATTTTAAGGGAGAGGCCCCCTGAACACTGTATTCCTCCTGCTCAACGCGCCGTGTCTCCCACTCATCCATTTGTCCAAGGCAAACAGGGGGGGAGCCACGGTGCCCTCCTTCCCCCCCCCCACCGCCGCCACCATCGCTCCAACAAAACCCACCCCGAGCAAACCCCTGGCCGCTTACCAACGTGGCACTTACGGTTTGAAAGAAAAAAACCCATTCCTCAAGCTTGCAAATCCCCAGCTGCGAGGGGGGACCCGTCTGTGCAACCACGGCAGGCATGGAAGAGGAAACCCCTCCTCCACAGATGCCCTATTTATTCGCTGCCTTAGCATCCTGAGTAAGGGGGGGGGTAGGTTCCCTCCTCTCCATCCTCCTTCCCCTACCTCTCAAGCTGGGGAGCCACTGGAGCTCTCCCCAGTTTTAAACCCCTACATTTTGGGGTTGGCTTTTTTGTTTTGTTTTGTTTTTTTTTTTACCTGGCAAACGGCCGCATCCCTCCTCAGAACAAAACCAGGAGAGCTTTCTATTCTGACACGAGAGGATTAGCACGCCAAGGAGCGCACGCCGAGCGGCTGCCGACAAAAAGGTTGCCGGCTGGAGGCTCCGGCACCCAAAAAGGTAGATGCGGGGCTCATTTCTCCTGCAAAAGAGGGACTCGGAGCCTCAGACCCAGATGATTTGCAGCAGAGTCAATTTGCTTCAAATTGACTCCCCCCACCTCTAAAAAAAAAGGAGAAAACGTACATCCATGCACAGGCATCACACGCACACGGCTGTATCCTGACTTCCCCCGCATTCTCCTTCTCGCCTTTGCCATTATATCCCCGCTATTTAAGTAAGAATTAAATCTCCCACACACTAACCTGTCCTGTCTTTAACCTTCCAGTGCAGGGGGAAGGCCGCCAATGCAAGCAGCCTGCTACGCCGGAGGACGTAATAAGCCTTAACCTTCATTTATGATATAATTCGTTTGTGGAAAAAAAACACGCCGTAATGATTTTTTTTGTGTGTTATGACTGCCCGAGATCACGGGGCGGGTAAAAAAAAAATAGGCAGAAGTCAGAGAACCTTGAATTCAAAGTCACTCCCTGCCCAGACAATATCAGGGGAAAAAAAAAAAAAAGAAAAAAAAAAAAGAAATTATGATAATCCCACCAAAAATGCGAGGAATGGTTTTGAAATCAAAGGGTTTTCAGTGTTCAGGTGATCTCAGGCAGACCTGTATCAGCTTGCCAACCACCCGGCCCCAACACACGGCAGGATAAAAAGTGCCTGGGAAGACACTGCACACCATGAGAGGGCTTCAAACATTTGCACAGGTAAAGCACGGCTATTTAACCTGAGTACGGGCCAGGGGAGGTTCAAAAATCCGTTTGGAATGGTAAGTAGGAGAAAACAGGGACAGGCAGACACAGGGAAAGGCATACAGGAGACAAGGACACTCCTCGCAGGGCCAGCCTCCCCCGTGAAACCAAAATAACCCCAGCCATCCTGCCTGATACCGTAATCATTTCTGGCACAGCTTCTGCACTGAGGAGAAACGTAATCCAGAAAGGACAGGGAGCCCGGAGAACATGGAAAGAAAGCAGGGACTTTGTGAGTGAGATTTCAACTGTCCAGATTTTTTTCTTTGCACCAAAATAATTACAAGAACTAGATTTTACAATGGTACTGCCACAAACCAGTATAATTCTGCTGAACACGGCTGCACCGTTTCCCCAGGGGACTCGCTGCAGCATACTTTGCTTTCCTTACTCTGCAATACCAATCTGCCACCATTTAAAAAGAACCTTTGAACTGGGACTGACGGGTGACAGGGTAGGACAGCACACCAAGGCACAGTGCCCGACAGTCTGCCCTGGCAAAAGGTAAGCAACACAGTGGAAAATAAACAAAGACCCAGCTGAGAGGTGGCATGAACCTGTAGGGTCCCCATAACCACCCAGCTGGGACCTGCTGCCACCAGAGCAGCTGCCAGGGCAGCCCAGCCACAGGGAGGACGGGGAGACCCAGAGCAGCAGCTCCCTGTATCACCAAAGCATATCCTTGAAATGTTATTAAGCCTTGTAGCGAAAGGCCTTATGTGTATTCTCACAAATAATGAGGGTTCTATCCTTGAATTTATCAAATGAGCTAATGAAAAGAACTCCTAATCAAGGGAGGCAAGTACTGCATCATTCTCAAGGAAGCACATCGAGCACAAGGACCTTGAGGATGGTACTAATCTACACCTTTTGAGAAGTTTAACCAACTTGGCAGGAAAGTGAAAATTCCTAGTGTCCCTAAGCTGAACTACCCTTCCTTATAATACTAAAAATCACGCCCATAGGTCAAGAAAACCCTTGCCCAGGTGAAGACCCTTCTCTTGAGCATGCATGGTAGCTATAACTTGATGGTGTAATTGTATGTAAATTACTAACCAACGAAATATAGGTAGGAGGTACTAATATTATAATGATGTTGTAAAATTTGTATTAAAATTGCGTTGAGAGTTCTGATGGGTGTGCATGATAGGAAGAGATACCCCCATGCACCCAGCACTGTAAATAAACTAATGTTGGCTTTCTAAACTACAAACCTAGTTTGGAGAGTGATAGTTTTGTTACTAAGATCCCCCTGGGCAGGGACACCTCCCACCAGACCAGGTTGCTCCAAGCCCCATCCAGCCTGGCCTTGAACCCCTCCAGGGATGGGGCAGCCACAGCTTCTCTGGGCAACCTCTTCCAGTGTCTCACCACCCTCACAGCAAAGAATTTCTTTCTGGTATCTAATCTAAATCTCCCCTCTTCTAATTTAAAACCATTACCCCTTGTCCTGTCACTGCACTCCCTGACAAAGAGTCCCTCCCCAGCTCTACTGTAGCTCCCTTCAGATATTGGAAGGCTGCTCTAAGGTCTCCCCGGAGCCTTCTCTTCTCCAGGCTGAACAACCCCAGCTCTCTCAGCCTGTTTTCACACCAGAGGTGCTCCAGCCCTCTGAGCATCTTCGTGGCCCTCAGCTCCTTTCTATGTCAAGGCTTTGCTAGCTTACCTGTATTTTCATGCAGGCATTAAAGGCCACAGTCATTTGAACCCATTGCAATGTACACAAAGAAAGAATGTGCCTTTCTCCACCAGGCTGAAAATACGGACCAGATCCATCAAGTAAGGAAACACATCACAGTGTGCCTGCAGCCGGAGCTGCTGAGAAATGGCATCCCCCTTCCAGAGCTGCATGATGCCGGGAGGTAGAGAAATACATTTCTAGTTGTATTTCTGTAGACTAGTCTGCAGATCCAGGACTGCGGGAGGCAGCTCCCGATGAAGCTGGTGGCTTTAACGAAGGCTCAAGCACCGTCCAAACATTTTGCACAACCCCAGGCAGCGCAGGCACCCTCCGGTGACACACGGGTGCTCCTCTGGTCTGCCAGCTGGCACAACGCAAACACAGAAAGCAAACTCTTCCCAGCTGGGCTGGGAAACAAAGCCTGGAGTTAGTATCAGCAGTGGATGAGCCAGGGAAGGACAGCAAGGGACATGGCTGTGCACAACACAGTTCCTTGGCCATTCTCACCAGCTAATGCAGCCCGGGAGCGCTGCTGCAGAGCATGTTGGGGATGCAAATCCCACTCCACGGGGTACTGGCTGCCTACAACCCCCACGCAGGCTGTGGGCTCCCCCTCCCACTGTTTCAGGCCTTCACCGGGTGTATGTGCAAGCATGCAGTGGTTTCTTTTGGCAGAGTGCTGCTACGAGGCCGGTGACGAGAGAGAACAAAAGCATGAGATTTCCCGTGTCCATTTTTACAGCAGCACAATGCTCCCTTTCTGCCTGTCTGCATTCCCCCTCCACCAACAGAGATTTAGGCACCAGAACCTCCCCTGGTAAAAACATCTTCCCAGCTGAAGGGAAACTCATTTGTTCCCCTTTTCCAGGCAGGCTAATATCTTGATGGTTACTTTACCCTACGAGAATTATGAACGTGTGGAGACTGTTCTAAGTTTGCACCAAGCCACGCTCCGGCAGCGACGCACGCGGCAAAGCTTTTGTCACCACGCAAGCCACGCTTTCATTCCATGCCTGTGCTTTAAGCCCTGCGAGTGCAGCCATATGGCAGATCTGAGCTTGTCACCACAAACTAACAGAATCGCTTCAAGGGACTAAATGGAGAGCTCACCTAATTTGCCCATCTGTCCCAGCACGTTTATTGGTTTAAAAAAGATGAAATAAGCTATCAGGAGGAATGTTCTGTATTGGTACTTTGGCTTGAGATTGGGTTTTGGTTTCATGTTGGTATCACACAGATACTGGACTACAGAAAAGATAAAATGTTGGTTAGGTTGCAGGGTCAACCATGGAGACACTAAGAAATCACAGAAATGAAATTGCCTGTAAGTCTCCATTAGGGTCCCTTGTGGATATGGGTTGTTTTATACTCTTTAACCACAGGATTATAAAGTGCTTGTCTGCTAGGAAGACCGAGCAGCCAGGATGGAGGATTAGAAATGCTGCAATACGCTGAACCTCTGTCAGTATTAAGCCCAAGAAGACCAGTAGAGCCCACTGGGTTGCCTGATAACCTTGGACCACCGAGGGAGCTGCTTAAAACCATGCTTTGTCAGGTCCTCCCAGTTCATTACCCTGGTCCCGACCACCAAGTCAATGGAAATGACAAGCAGAAGCTGGTACATTCCAGATCTTTTGGGGTAAGAACACAGGTCATCAGGCATCACATCGACTCCCCAGTAGCTGCAACATCCACTTAGATATGCAATACTGGGAGCTATGTTGATGCAAATCCACATTAATATACCTCAAAGAACCAACATACACTTCTCTGAAGATAAAGCTTTAAGACATACCAGGTAGACAAACCAGTGCTCTGTTGTCACAGACTACTCCAACAGGACTGCCAGATCTCTCACTAAATATCCCATCAGCTCTTTAGCGTATCTTCCTAAAAATTACTAGAAATGTGCCATTTACCTCCGTTTTAAAATAGCGCATTGTGATCTGCATTTAAAAATTGCTACCATTCAAAACTAACACACAGCAGAAAACAAATGATCATAAAAGTGTTTTAAAAGTTGTATGTTACCATAAGATGAGAACAGAAAAAAGCGCTGTTATGGAAGTGAAGCTTCTTTCCTGCACCAGATCAAATACAGACATCTTGAGAGGAACCACTTCAAGACTATCTACAAAGTATTAGATCTTAAGTAGGCAGCTTCTGCTTAATCATTCATGGCTCATGTGTCACCATTAATTCAGATCTCATTCCTGATTAAGATCACACTTAGCACTGCATTATCACAGCACAACCACCCACTTCCTCTGCCCAAACGTTAACTGAGCAAGAGAGCTTCTGCAGCCCCAGAGAGGAGGTGAAACTAAACCTTGGCAGAGAATTTTAGACCAATACTAATTTGGTATTCGGCTTATTATTTCTGGATTACTAATAAACTAAGGCAGGCAGCGAGACCAGCTCAGCAGCATCCTCCCAAGCTGTGGTAGAAACTCAGAGATAATATTGAAATGGGATCGTCCCAGTAAGGCTAATACTAAAATGGTCATGATGTTCTTAACTCAGTTATGTAGAAGATGTTTAATGCTTTAAGGAGTAATTGCCTAAGTTATAGAGGATTTTGTTTTAATTTCACCTGGTTTTCCATTTCACCATTATGCAGGTGATTCTGAATTTAAAAAAAATAAACTTGTTGTATAGTCTTCCAGTTGTTTCTAGGAAAAAGACTGAGTAAAGAAATAGCACTATTATAAAATGAAATTTCATACACTTTCGATGTAAAAAAGAATATTATCTGGCTGTTCAAAGAGACAAGCCAGGAACCTATTCCCAAATTCTGTGCATCCAGATATAGGGTGAAATAGAGACAGGTCTTAAAACAGGAGGTTCTCCCAAAAAGCCAAATGCACTCCCATCATACAGCCTTAAAAGTAAGTTGCAATTCAACACAAGCCACACAGAAATAACTTTGACTCTTCCTTTTGCATAGCTCCCATGATTAAAATTACATTTTATATGAATTATTACACCCTGCCCTTTACTTTTAGATAAATTAAGATATTTGGTATCATAATACAGCCAGAAGGCATAATGAAAAAGCAGTAACTTCATTTAATTTGACTGTCAATAATACATTTCAACAGAACTGAAAAGTTGTGTCAGTCTGTTTCTGATGGTTGCAGACACTAGCCTCTGACTTTTATCTCATATAAAACATAGGAAATAATTTTCTTACCGTGCTCCAATGACATCAAAGAGATGCTGCCAGCGATCATTGATTTTGTTGAGTTTATCATCTATTTCTGCAACTCGGCTCCTGTTGCTAGCCTTCATCAGCTCATCGCCCATTTGTTTCAAGTGAAGCTTATTTTCACTAAACAGGTTTATTTCTTCCATGTAATCCTGATAAATATACACAAACATTGCTTAATTTCTGGACAAAACAAAACAAAACTATCTGTCTCTTTTCCCATGTGTGTGATGTGAAGGCAGGTTTGGCTTGCGATGGCTGAGGTTTCTATGTTAGAATACAGAACTCTTTCACTTAAAACAAAAAAAAAAACCTGAATGGAAAAGCATTCTCACAATGAAGCCACTACGAAAAAACAAGCAGCTTAAAGAATTACAAGTGCCAGGAGTAAGTACTCTAAAAATAGCAATGTTCTAAATTTTTTCTCTGATTTCTTGGTTTCACATAATTTTTCAATCAAACTACCTCAAAAGGACCCAAATTCAAGTTTAGGATGGCTTTATTTTGCTGGTATTCTTATCCAGAGGAGATCTGGGATTAGATACTGAGACCTTTAAGCCATGGGGAGGAACACTGCAACAAAAAAAGGGTCCAGTTTAAAATCAAGCTAGTACGAAAGTATTAGAAAGCACTAACTGCACTGACTATCAAAGAGAACGGGCAGAATTAGGTTTTATTTTTGGTTGTGGTAACTTCTTGTTTGCTTGGCATAAGACCTACCCTGTCCTTCAGTCTTTTCTTTGCCCTCAGACTACCAGTATGGCAACTGCTCACCAGGTAGAGGTGGGGAGAGCAGCAAGGTGCTCCCAGGGCATCACTGAGCCCCAGCAGGAAAAGCTCCGAGTAGCGCTACACGCACACGTGCACCCAGCAACCCCAACTCCACAACTCACATACATCACACTCCATGCCCAAATACAGTCAGGTAGCATTTCTGTTTTGCATTACACTCCACGTCTGAACATCAAGAAGACAAGAGCTGAGGGTAGAAAAGCTCATCTTCTCACAAAAGCCTGTACGTGCTGGTTTTGTATCACGTCATGCTTCCGAGAGGCAAGGGAGAAACGAGGGATGGTATCTCTGTAACGAGCTATCAGACTGCAATTGAAGAAAAGTGGCATTACTACTTACCTTCTGCAATTTGTCGATCATGTCTTCAATGCTAACGTCTGCAGTCTGGAACACTTGGCTTTCCATTTGTACCAGCCAGGAGCACAGCTCCTTGTTCTTTTCATTGAACACAATCCAGGCATTGAGCCTGTCCTCGATCTCCTGCTTACGCTGAGACACCTATGGATAAGCACACACATTAACTGCTGGCACCGTCTTTCTCAGGAAGGAAACCAGAAATTATGAGCCTTCCAATTTCTAGTCTGCATTTCATCACACTCCATTTTGCAGGAGCAGTTATCAAATATCTCTAGTTTTCTTCTCAAAGCCAGCAAGCAGATTGTTATTACATTTTATTTTGGATAGCTGTTGACTAGCAAACCCCAGATTCTCTCCCTCAGAAGAATTAAAGTGAGTGACAGCTTTATAAATAATGAGCTTATATAAAAATTTAAATATTACTCAGTGAAAACCTGAAAATGCCAAATAAAGAACGAGCATAAAAATATATAATTACTACATACTGCTTAGTATGGTCTCATATGTAACACAAGAGAAATGACATCTAGGTCAGTTCTTATTTTTCTGCAACTGTGAGGGAAACTTTGCAACTACTGACTGCAATTATTTCATCTCTATAAAACCTCCCTCTTTTCTCTCCACTTGCTCACCAGTTCTTGGACAACTTCCAAGAAAATCAGCATCAAGAATCTATCCTTTTTATTGAAAACTATAGAATTTTTTTTTCCTCAAAATTACATTTGACAGGACAGATAAATTGTCTAGACAGGGAAATTAAGGTCTGATGCTACCTGAACCAGCAAAGCTAAATATCACTTGCTCCAATATCTCAGAAAGAAGTAGGGTCACTCTTCTACTAGCTAATAGTACTTATTTCTAGTCTAAAGGTCTTAAATATATATTTGTATTCACTTATGTACTTTGATGGATTCCTGTGTGAAGATGTATGGTACAAAGGAATTGAAAAATGGTACAAGGTCTACTAAAACAAAACAAGACAAACAACTGACCCCTCACTCTCATCAATAAACTTCATGTAAAAACTGAGCATCATGTTTTCTTGCCTTGGCTGCGAATGGCCACTCCAAGTATCACCCCGTGGCAGGAAAACACTCCCTCTTCACACCTAACATCTGCTGCAGACAGCGTACGTCTCCTCAAAATGGCATTACTGATTCACTAATTTCTAACACTACTTTGTACCTCAGGGTGAAGTTCAAGTGTGTAGTGCAGCAGCAAAACTAGCACCACGTAACAGCAGGATCAAAATAGGAGGCACCAGGTGATCTCCCACTACAGTTCTTTTGTCCTTTAAATTCTGACTATTTTTAAAGGAGGGGAAGTAAAAGTGATTTCTAAATCTTCATGCTTATCTAAGCAAAGAGATCACAGAATCACAGAATTGTCAGAGTTGGAAGGGACCTCTAGAGATCATCTAGCCCAACAGTATCTTGGGACACAGGGAAACAATCCCCACGGTTCTCAACGGGAAGAAGTCTGCTGGAGACCTCAGGGACCTTAGAAAGTCACCCCCAAGAGGGCCTCTGCTCTGGGATGCTCCCTCATACCCTCAGCCTCAGAGGTATGAAGGGTAAATCCCTCATGCTTCCTTTACCACCTGAAGCATCTCCCATGAGTGGAGGTGACTTAACTTGGTTTGTAGAAGAAGAGACTATTCATGTCAACAAAATCACCATTAAATTCTGAAATGATGCTGACTCCACTTTTGCCTGCTAAGCACGGGGCATGGCAGGATTTTAAGGGCAGGAAGCACCTTTTGTTTGGCTAAGCAATACAGATTGGGGGTAAAACAAGAATCACGGAATTGCTGGAGTTGGAAGGGACCTTCTAGAGATCATCTAGTCCAACTCCCCTGCCAAAGCAGGGTTGCCCACAGCACATCACTCAGGACGGCATCCAGGCAGGGCTTGAAGATCTCCAGAGAAGGGGACTCCACACCCTCCCTGGGCAGCCTCTTCCAGGGCTCTGCCACCCTCACCCCAAAGAAGTTCTTCCTCAGATTGGAGTGGAACTTCCCATGGTCCAGCTTGTGCCCGCTGCCTCTCGTCACTGGGAACCGCTGAAAAGAGTCCAGCTCCATCCTCCTTCAACCCACCCTTTAGATACTTGTAAACATAGATAAGGTCTCCCCTCAGCCTTCTCTTCTCCAGGCTAAAGAGTCCCAGCTCTCTCAGCCTTTCCTCATCAGGGAGATGCTCCACTCTCTCCATCATCTATGTTGCCCTACGCTGGACTCTCTCCAGTAATTCCCTGTCTCTCTTGAACTGGGGAGCCCAGAATTGGACGCAGGATTCCAGTTGTGGCCTCACCAGTGCAGAGTAGAGGGGGAGAATGACCTGCCTCCACCCACTGGCCACACTCCTCCCTACGCAGCCCAGGATCCCATTGGCCTTCTTGGCCACAAGGGCACATTGCTGGCTCATGGATAGTTTACTGTCCACCAGGACCCCTAGATCCTTTTCCTCAGAAGTGCTTTCCAGCAGGTCCACCCCTAACCTCTATTAGTATCTGGCATTTGGAATGAATGAGCCAAAATGAGAATGAGCCAAAAAGTCCTAGACAAGCTTCTAGGAACATGATTGCCTAGAATGAACCCCAAAACATGACTTGCTTTGGTCCTCAGACCAGCTGCCCCAGGGTACCAGCCCCAGTTTTGCGTCCACAGCACGATGTGGGCATTCCTGATGGGAGGCTAAAAGAGTATCAAGGCCAACCCGTCTGCTGGGACAGGACACTCGCTGATATGAATTAGTTAAATCTTTGACCTACATGTACCTCGCAAGGGCTGCTATGGAAATGCTAATCCCTTGGGTGCATCTGCTCACTGAGTGTGTTTGTGTCCCTGCCCAGTCCGGCACAGGCATCTGGCTGCCCCGCTCCCACGGCCAGGACAGCTGCAGCCTCGTCTCCCTCTTTTCAAAGGCTTTCTTTTACTTCCCCACAGTTATACTGCAGGGTTTTTTTATCCCACACACACAGCACACCTTGACTCCTCTAATTTGTTAGCCAAAACACAGCAACTCATGCCAGCAGCAGGATCGATAAAGTCTGCTTTCCTACCCTCCTGTCCAGCACGGAGATCAGCGCAGGCTCTCCAGAGGCTCGTTAGGGCTGCGTAAACATTTCAGTTAAGTCTGAAATGTCTTTCTGCACTGCAGAAATTTTGAGTAAAATCTGAACTTAAATTACTGCAGGAAATTACTACTTGGGTAAACTGCAGTGGGGTACATAGAAAAGATGATAGTTTCATTTTCAGGGCTGTTCCCCGCAGTTCAAACAGCAGGCATCAGCAGTGCACCAAAAAAAAAGAAGGAAAAACAACAAGTTCTCTCATTTAAAGGCCTAACTACAGATTTCCATTAGGAAAATGGTTCAGGCATTTGGATTTAAAAATAACGGCCTGTATTTCTCAGGATGGGGGAGGGTGTCTCTGGAATTATTTTCAGAGTTCAGGAACAATTAACAGAGAAAACACTGTAGATTAACCATCCAGACACTAAATTCTTTTTTCTCATTGCAATGCAAAAAAAACAACAACCAAACAACCCCTAATAACTATTTCATCCCACCAAAGTTTGTGAAATAAGCATAGCTGTTTGTTCCTCTGGCAATATTCCCACTCAGATTGCTCTACCTTTGCTTGGGTTCGAAACAAAATACTACCTCGCTTCAATACCTCTTTACAAACTGTAAAATAAAAGCTATTGACTTGTGAGTGGAGAGAGGCAAAAGTTTGGCTTGCTGGCACGCGGAGCCACCCAGAGTAACTTAAGACCCCAAAGGTATTTTACTTCTTCCACTCCTGTTCACAGGGCAAAGTAAACACGCATTCAAACTGCATAATAACATAAGGAATCAAGTTCATGCGACTTTGTTGGTAAACGTTCCCCAGCAATTTTACACGCAGCACTAAATTAAGCGTAATATTGCAACGAGCTACAAAGAATGCAAACGTTCCACAGTGTTTTACTGCTACAGAAAAGACAAGTCAGTTCTTCATGTGTTTAAACCCAAAGAGTCAGTATTTAAACACAATGAAGTTTTCTTTATCAACTCTCCTGGCATATTTTTTTTCCCCAGCTTCATGCCCTCAGGCAGTTCCTGTGTTTATCCCTCTCTCCCCGCCTCCCTCCCTTTGGCAGCCCAGAACAAAGCCACCTATTTCAGGACACAACTGCATTTGAGCTTTGTGCAATTCAAGCACTGTTAGTGACAAAGGGTATAAAAAAAAAAAATAATTAAAAAAATCTCAGCAGCCTGTGTCCAGGAAACACAGGATGAACTTCAGGCCTGGTCAGCTGCACCAGGAGAAGCCCCATCCCCACCCAAGACTGCAAAAGTGAGCCAACCCCAGGAGAAATCCCATCTGCTACCCGGCTCTCCCATTTCTGCCAGGTCCTACTGCTATAAAAACCCCAGAGGAGGCAGAAAACTTACTCTTAAGCAGAGCTCTTCCCACTGCTTGTGCAGGTGTTCAGCTTGCTCCTCGACCACCATCACGTCCTCGGCGAGGATGCCGTAAGCCAACCACGCCTTCATGTCCCGCACATCCTTCATGTCCCGGGCCCAGTCTGCCAGCGACTGCTCCAGCTCCTGCAGGGAAACGCACCCAGAACAAGCCTTTGGCACTAAGCTCCTCTGGTTTCCCAACCTGCTGCTGGTTAATCCCCTGCCTGGCCCGCGGGGGAGGAGAGGAGGGGAATGTGCAGCCGCTTGCGCAGCCTTCTCCGGCTGGACTGGACCTTCTCCGGCTGGACTGGACGGGGTCCCCCCGCGTTTTTGGCTCAGGGTCTGACTGGGAGCCCACTGGAGCCCAGGGCAGAGCTGCTGCTCGTTAACTGGTACAGCAGCAGCCTCTCCCATGGAGCCAAAAGTGCCAAAACCTCCTGCAGCTCCCCACGCTCCAGGGCAGCGTTTGGGGTTTCACAGCCAGGAAGGAACGGGCCTACTTCTTTGGTTTTTTTTTTTTTTTTATTTTTTTTTTGGGCCACTTTGTTTTCCACCTGTATTTGTTCCAATTTCAGGTTATTCATTTTAATGCTTCCCCCCGCGTTTTTGGCTCAGGGTCTGACTGGGAGCCCACTGGAGCCCAGGGCAGAGCTGCTGCTCGTTAACTGGTACAGCAGCAGCCTCTCCCATGGAGCCAAAAGTGCCAAAACCTCCTGCAGCTCCCCACGCTCCAGGGCAGCGTTTGGGGTTTCACAGCCAGGAAGGAACGGGCCTACTTCTTTGGTTTTTTTTTTTTTTTTAATTATTATTTTGGCCACGTTGCTTTCCACCTGTATTTGTTCCAATTTCAGGTTATTCATTTTAATGCTTAAAAAAATAAATAAATGGGCTCCCTTCTCTAATGAATGGTTTCACAGGTACTGCATCAGAAATTGTCAGAGACGTGGAGCTTTCAAACTTCTTATTCACAGAAACATGCTCTCTTTTTTGCTTTCTTCCCCCAACTTCCCTTTCCCTTTATAACAGGGTTATGCATTTTTGTTATCAGCGTTAAAATGGTCACCTAAAAAGCAGAGACACCACTTTGTGCAGCTGGGAAACGTGATACTCTCCAAATGAGGTATCAGGTCTCATTTTGCAAGGCAGTTGCTGAGAAGTGTCACTGGCTCCCCTAACAAAAAACCAAAGCTCTTACAGAGGATCCAATTTGTTTCATTTTAAAGGGAAAAAACTGTGAGCATTTGTATTAGAAGTGGGCAGCATCCAAGCCCTGCAAGCATTTTCATATGTCTTTTGATCCAGTCACTTATCTAAATCATAAAAAAAGTAAAATAATCTGATCTGCTTCAACACCAGAGGGGAAAAAAAAAAACCAACCAAACAAACCCGAGACTAAAATTTACCTGACCTGTAAGAAATTACTCCCTACAGATGTGGACACATGCGTTTATATATCTTAACAAGGGGTGAATCCCTGCATTAATGGAGCTAACGATGGAATTTCATGGGACTTTGCTAGCCTTGTATGAGGTCCAGGCCTGAGAGAAAAATAGCTTTATTCCACAGAACAGTGAAACACAGGGAGAGGAAAGAAGGTCCCTTTTTCGCCCCCATGCCATTTTGATCCTTTATTTTATAATACTGTGACACCCAAGAGCAGAAACTACACTGGCGCTGTCTGACCTCTGCGGCTGAATTTCTCTTACCAGAGTAAGAGGCAGGAGCTGTGTGCTCCCATCTCACAAATAATTCAGGGCTACAGCACGACTGCCGCCATGGGAGAGGCAGCCAGTGCTCACAAAGAAGATTTCAGACAGCTGGTAATGAGTTCAAAGCCTTGGCTCATTAATAAGCTTATTTGTTCCCACTACACAGGTCAACAATTCACTTCATAAAAAGATGATGAAAGACTGACCAGTCCAGACAAAATGTCTCCTATCCGTTGGAAATGCTTTCCTTGCCATTTAATTTTCATGGTGCAATTTGGGCTGCAAGGGCTTTTGCAATTCCCTTACTCTTAATTTTCTTTCTCTTTAATTATGCTCAGCCCCTGCAGGTGTGTACAGTGCTTTGCAGACTTTTGCCTGAGGAGCTCTGTCCCAGATGGATTGGAAAACAAAAAAGGAGATTCAGCCATTAGGATAGCAGTCAATTGAGCTGAGGCCAGGGAGTTTCTTGCCTTTTGTTTGAGGAACTTATTTTATAAATTCAGACTGTGGAAAGGGAGCAGAAGCAGGAAAAAAATTCCAAACACTACTAACTTTTCTTGTAATATTCTTGGTCAACTGGACTATGCAGATTGGCAACAATCAGGATGGTATAAAGAAGAGAAATTCAGTATCACCGAAGAGCGGGGAAGAGGGAAAACTGATTTTACAGGGATCAGACTACATCTATTTAAATACAATATGGCTGTTCAATACCTTAATGTGTTCCTTGACTCTGTAGAGCTCTTCGTGTTCTACTGGAAGTGGATCTTTTACTTTCTCCTTCAGCTCTGGCAGCCTGCTCGCTAATTCCTTGATTTGCTTTTCATAGGAGTCCCAACTCTGCTCAAGGAGACCCGAGGAAGTTATAAAAGGTTAAGGTACTTTACCATGACACACCGAACCATATGGACATGCTACAAAATAGCTTCTTCAACTCACTTCAGCAAATAATCACCTGCTCTGGTTATCTGGATTTTTTTTTTGGTACACCGTACCACCCACAAGAATTTGGTACATGGATTTACGGAACTTGAACCCCCTCTTTTATTTAAGGTTTGCCTTACAGAGCATTTCTGCTCATTTTGTTGTGTCCAACCCGAGAGGCTTTAAGCACAGCTTTTGGGCTGGGGACTATATTCAATTTTAAGATATAATTATGCGCTTTTTAGCCATGAAAGCAAATTTATTGCTCTAAGGAACTAAATAGGACCTACCCCTTCTGTTTAGAGGTGCGACAACAGAAGGAGCAACAAAGTTATGCAAACTCCCTCTAAGCTAAGTTTTAGCTTGGGCTTCACAGCCCAAAACAGGAGAGAGCTCCTAGTATGGAGCATGGTAAAACTGGGGAGCATGGTAACAATTACAGCGGGAAAACATCCGTTGTAGCAACAGATATCAACCCCATTTTCCTTTGAGAATGAGGGGACCAAAGTTTTAGCTTCCTGCAAGCCCTGATGGCACATGATGGGCACTTCCCTCAGAATCCCTCTGCAGCGAGCAGCAGGTCAGCATCTCCTTTGCTGCCACAGAGCTCAGCCCTGGGGACCAGTGGGGCAGGGAAGCTCTTGAGACCCAATGCCAGAGAAGCAGGTGCCACTCCTCCCTGGGGAGGGCATCATCTACCTCTAGGGTGCTGCTGAGGTGCGTCTTCTCCTTCTCCAGCAGGGCCTGGGTGTGCCCCCAACTCTGCTGTAACTGGCTGAGCTCCTCCTGGAGAACAGCGCTGGTCTCGGCATCAGAGACAATACGTAACTTCTCCCCGACGTCGATGACTAGGGAGTACATGGCTTGCCACCTCTGAAGAATCACTGCCTTACTCTTTAAAAGAAGAAAAAATAAGAAATCATTTAAAGTTTCTAAGCTGTTCTTAGCAAGCTTTAGAAGTGCACTCCTGGCATTTCACTTGGGAAAAAGACTCACAAAGGGAGTTACAAGGAACGAGTCTTCACATTCGTGAAAGAGCAATGAATAGATCTTCTCTTATTTGCTTTTTTACTTTCAGGAAAATCAGATTCTTTCTGATCTTCTGATCTATAAAACTCTATAATAGCTTTTCACAGACAATCTGCAGAGTGGAAGTGCAGCAGTTACAAAAAGATGGAAACTCAGGGTTGAGTTACCGTGAATGAAAAAACATGTCAGCACCTCCAGCATCAACAACTGAGACAAATTTTTCAGAGCTAACAGCTCTGTTAATCATGACATACTGCAAGTGAAATAACCCATCAATAATAATTTGCCTACAATATAAATTGGTGTATAACACAAGCACACAGGATCATTGCTCCTTTCTGTAAAACAACAGCAGGAGGGAAAGGCAATTTGCTGTAGGAGGGAAAAGACCTGGCTTTTCTCACGAAGGAAAAGCACGAGCACCAACTCGTAAAATCTACTGAAAATCATCTTTACACAGCAGGTAAAAATAAAGATGAAATAAACAGGGCAAGCGCCAAATGGAACACTGGTAATGTGTTAATCCATCAACATTAGGTGTGTGGGAACACAATAAAACCTTGGACCGTCCAAATAGCATTCAATAATGTATTTTTGAAAGGTGTTCTTTTTTTAAGAAGAAGTGTGAGCAATCGTTTTTTTTTCCCCCCAAAGCATGTGATTTTAAAGCTTTATACCTTACTGGACAGAAGTTATTTCAGTCTGAGAAAAAAAAACAAACCCACAGATTTTAAATTTCTGAGTGATAAATACAGTACCTTGACATCATGAATTAGATTTCTAAGCTGGTAAGGGCTACAGCAGTCCTTGCTCTTCACAACTGTGATGAAGTTGTTTGTATCAGCAAGAAATCTGCTGAGACTCTGCAAGGAACTCCTGAAGAGCTGCCACTGGCTCACAAGTCCATCGATATCTTTCTTCTTCTGCTGAACCATCCGGATAACATTCTGCCACTGCTCCTTCAGCAGTGTGAACTTGGAAATAAACTCTGTTCTGAAGATGACAAGTGTTGAGTGTTAATACATTTTGACCTCAAGGCCGCATTTTTCCAGTAGTTGTGATGGATCTCCATTTGCAATACTGTATTCCAATTACAATACCCAACTATGCCAAGAGCTCTATGCAGCCCTAAGCTAAGCCCTGCTCTCTGTATTTCATCTTTTAAGCAATCAAAAAAACCCTTTTGCACGACACAGGAATGGATAATGCAAGTTGTTGTTCTTGTTGTGGTAAAGCAACATATATAGTACAGCACTCACAGAAACAATATGCACTAAACACTTCTCTGAAGAAGGAGGTCAATGCAAGCAAAATTGGCCTGTACATTTACCAAAGTGAAAAGCCTCAGTGTTAGTGGAGCTGGGGGTATTCAGCCTGGAGAAAAGGAGGCTGAGGGGAGACCTTCTCACTCTCTACAACTCTCTGAAAGGAGGGTGTAGAGAGGTGGGGGTCAGTCTCTTCTCCCAAGTCACAGACAACACGACTAGAGGAAACAGCCTCAATTTGCACCAGGGGAGGTTCAGGTTGGATATTAGGAAAAATTTTTACACTGAAAGGGTTATCAAGCATTGGAACGGGCTGCCCAGGGGAGTGGTTGAGGCACCATCCTGGAGGTGTTCAAAAGACGGGTTGACATGGTGCTGGGGGACATGGTTTAGTGATGTGGTTTTTTTCAGAGTTGGGTTGGTAGTTGGACTAGATGATCTTGGAGGTCCCTTCCAACCTAGATGATTCTACGAACCCATTTCAAGCACTTTTTGGCCTCTCCTACAACATGGTTAGATGACCCAGCAGACCTAGCTGGAGTGGTTAAGACAACCCCCACCTATCAATTCAGCTCCTCTGCAGGAGGCCATGGCCCACGGATTAGCTCTTATGCAAACACCTGTGTCTGTGGGGCTGGCGTAACACCAAAATCCAGCAGCTTTGCTTAGTTGAGCCCTACCTTCCCTGGCAGCTTTAAGCCAAGCTAGGGACTTCATACTGAAGTGGCTGAGGGGAGTGCACACACTGTCCTGCCTTCTCTCTGGAAGCAGTATGCTGTGGCAGAGAAGGGTAAGCTGTTGACAGCAGAAAGGCCTGAGGCAGTTAAACCTCTGCTCACGAATATTACTTGCTGCTTCTCACTCTACATTGATTAAAAGTATAAGATGATACTGATAAAAAACAAGTTTAGCCACCATATGTTTTGGGTTACGTGCCCAATACTCAACACCCTGTGATGTGTGCCAAGGGCAACGTGGATAGTCTCACACCTCTGCACTTTAAAAAGCAGAGAGGTCTAGGAAAAGAGAAAGGATCCTTCATATGCAGCATCCTCACTGCCCTCTGTAAGAAGGTAACTTCTCAATCACAGTTGCAGTTTCAATGACTGCAAGGTACCAGCAGACAAAGAAGCCTCCTGTCTAGGAGCAATTATTTTTTAGGGAGAACATCCAGTTACTACCCAAAATGCAGTGTGGCCAGGGCACTGGGTTTCCTTCTCAATGCACCTCCTCAGGCTTTTGCAAAAGGTGCCAGGGGGTTATTAAGCGAGTGAACCCAGTCAGAAATTGGGGTTTATGTCCTCATAACAGCTCATGAGAGCAAAGATTCAACCTCAACTCTAAGGGAAAAAAGCTTACTCACTGAATTACCAAGATCTTCAGGAGAAAAACAAATAGATTACCTTTTCTCTGCTTCTCCGGACTCCAAGGAGAGTAGAACTTTGGATATGAGAGAATTAAACGTCTGCTGATTTATGCAAATCTCTGTTTGCAGCATCTGAAAATACCACAAGAACAACAGTTTTAACTATTCACTGAACAACCTTTGCTGGTTTGCAGAAAGCTGGCTCTGCTCCTCCAGTGTGATACCATTTATTTAATTTTAAATGCTGACAGCTGTAAAATTTTCAAGTGCTAGTATCGAATGCTTCCTAAAAGATTCCTCCCTTTTTTGATACCAGGAGGAATTTGCAAATATGTGATAGCAGAACCCACCAGGAGCTGTATTCTACAGGTAATCTGAAGCCTGAAGTTTGCTGGACTCATTAAATGAGATCTAGATGCATCTAGATCTAAATGCAATCTAGACAAAAACCCATAGAAATACAGTTCTTCCAGGAACTGGTAAGGTTCCTGCCAGATCACCAGCAAACTGCCTGGCCATTTGCCACAGGTTTCAGTGCTCTGGGAAAGGCAGACAGGCAAGTAACCTCAGGGTTGCAGAAATCTAGGATTTCCATGACACAACATTTGAGGATGCACTCCCTAAAGGTCTGATCCCTGCAAAAAGGGATCCATGCCTTTTGAAAGAGGACTTTAACATTTCAAATTTTTCCTCTGAATGAGTACGAGGCCACATTCCGTGAGTGAAATCCTCTGTAGAACTCTGCCCAGATCTACTTTCAAAAGACATAGTATTTTCTAGTGATTTCCTTCATCTTCACCATTCAAGAAGATGCTTCCATTTTTAGAGTTAGCTTTACCTCATACACTCTCTGTTGCTCCTGCAGTTCTTCAAAACGTCCTGGAATATTTGTTTTTAAGGTCTCTGTCAGTTTTTCTAGGAATTTCATCCAGCTTTCACATTTCTGAAAGAATTTCTTTTCATCATTTTGAGTTCCTTCAAGCGCGCTGTAAAACAAAAGATATTATCAGAAACTGTGGTGCTGCTAGTTGTTTTTCTGGCTATGCTTGCATACAGTCTAATGCTGGGGGTTAGTAACACCGACATAGCAGGGCTTTGCTTAGCACTTTGCCACCTTCTCCACTTATGAACATCCAGATTTTTTCTTCAAGTGACTCAGACTACAAATAGCCACTGAATAATCTCGAGTAAGTTGAAAGGGCAGGAATTCAACTCGGAACCCCCCTGAGCAAGCTGAGAGAAGGGATTTCAAGACTTTCCCTGCTTTAATTTTGTTTTCATTTTCCTCACAGAAAAGGAAATGCTTAGTAGTGATCTCTTTGTTTGCATTTCGGACCTGCAGCGTTCGAGAGCAGTCGCTGTTTTCTGACTCCACTGCCGAGTCAGGCTCTGCATTTTCTTCAAGGTGAAGTCGCTGAGGGGCAGCTTAATGCTCGCTTCATTCAGACTCTCTACGCTTGGAGAAAGAGCAGCAAGCTCCAGCGTGTGGTTCTGGAAGTAGAAAAAAAAATAAATTAATTGCAAAAAAACACTGCCTTTCTTTCATTTCAAAGAAATGTAGAAACCTCTTCTGGGGGAAGCATCTGAACATTATGCTTCGAAAAAGCTAACTCAAAACCACCAAACATTTCTGTGTTAAATTCAAAGAATACAGGAAACAAAAAAGTCACAATTCCCTTACACAGGGCCTGTTTCTCCAACAGTACTGAACAGATACATAAGAGTTGGTATTTGCAGATTTACTTTCTACCCTACACTGAGGGCAACAGGATAGCTCCAGAGCAAAGCTGGGAAAAAAGATCTCCCATCAACCCCAAATGGATGTGATTTTCCTCCCCTCCATGCATGCATGGCAGGCCAACTGCCCATCTGAAGTTTTGATGAACTTAAGTCATTGTTTTGCGTGGTTTGGGTGAGATGATAATTACTCTGATGGAAGCGCCGTAACTATGATACTTAGGACACAAAATGTTTCTTGAAGTAGGCAAGAGGTGGTATCCTACGGACAATTAAATCCCAAGTATGTATCTTTTTGTACTTGGGAATCCAAACATACCAGGAGCAATTCTGAGCTGTCTGTTTCTCCCTCTAGACAGAGACTATCGAAGGCATCTGTGCAATTCTTGACATGACCTTCCAGCGTTTCAAGGCAGTTCTGGAAATCCTCCAGTTGTAAAAGATTGAACTAGGGTGGATATAGCATATTTATGTTAATTATGATTTAATATACATATTCAAAAAAGAGCAATAAACAGTATTGTCAGGAAAACAAATAGTTGTTAAATTCAATTTACAAACTATTTAAAACTCCTTAACTGAACCTTTTCAGTGTTTGCACTGGATAAGGGGAAAATTTAAGCCAAAACAGAGAGCAAGAAACTGAATCTCGAAATCTTGAGATATTCAATATCTATCCAGAAGGAATAGGAGCATCTGCAACAGCTTTTTGTAGCTTTGGGCTGTTTGATTTATTGTGAAATTGGAAAGCCAAAACTTAAGTTTATCAGAGGGAAGCAACTTGTGAAAATGAGCTTCCTTGGAGCTACACACAGGGCTTGCTCCCATGTGCTACAGCCAAGGCTGTGCATCTTACACGGATTCTGTGGGGAGAAGTAACTAGGGCTGGAACTCAACTTTTTTATTCACTGGGTTGGTTGCTTTGGGTCAGGGAGAAGAGCACTGAGGAAGCTTTTTCTTTCTTGCAAGAATTAAGTTCCACATCTCTAAGAACACTGAAACAGCAACGTTTTTATAAGGAATGAATGGCCAAAAATTGGTGTGGGGAGAGAGACAGTTCTGCGGGAATGCTACAAGGTTACACCAGAAAAAATGATCACCCAGAAAGGAAATTTTTCATGGACTGGGATGTTCATGGGGAGTATGAGAAATCTGTAAGCTTCACAGATATCTGGCTTCCAGCCACTGAACTGTGTTGGTAGATGGAGTCATAAATAGAGCCAGCTGAAAATTTCTTGATGAATTTGGGTTTACTGTAGAACAGAACAATTCATTGAAACCAGACTTCTTCACAGGAACAGACTAGTTTTACACCAGTAAATGTACACTAGTATATTTGCTTGGAAGTTTTCTTAGAAATACCTGTGCAGGGGGGAAGTCCATCCCACAGCACTCTTGTGAGCAGAGCATCCTATGGGGAAATCTGGATCCAGGTTCCTTCCTACTCTGCCTAAAGTGGTCTGAGAATCTGGTCTTCAAAATTACATAAAATTACCACAGTTTTCTACTTCATTCTAGATACATTGTGTGCACTCTTACCAAAGCAAACTGAAGCTCTTAGTTTTCTTCCAAGGCAGAGCTGAGAAGTTTACAACTTACTTTGAAGTTCACAGAATAAAAATACGTTTCCTAACCAGTCATCATCTGAGGGTCCCATACTGCTTGACTGTATAGGTCCACTTAAGAAGACTTGCTAGAGCGACAGAAGCCAGGTAAGAAGGGTGAAACCCATGCTTCATCTGACCCTCTGGCTTTGTGTATTATTTCTTTACATAGCTGATCATACTGTCAAGCTTTTTATTTTATCGAAATTCCATTTCAATTCAAGAACTACAAGGATCTAGTGAAGAAGGTCGCTCACACAGGGCTCTAATGAAGAAGTTAACGCATGCTGACAGCTATTTTAATATTCAAAAACATACCTCAAGTTCATCTAACTTCCCCTGCAACATCTTGTCCAAATAGAATACTCTATCGAGCGGCTGCAGCTTCTCCAACAGAACGTCTTGTGCAGCTGTCCCAGCCTGCTGGTTTATCCGGTCAGCCAGCAGAGCAATCCGGGCATGGCATCCCACTAACTTATAAAGGCCACGTTGTAAATTCTGATGAGAGAAGGGGAAAGAAGAAAAAGTCAGCAAATTAATCAGATCATCATTCATGTGCCGCTTTCATTTAGGATCTTTTGTTGTTGTAACTAAGCTCTTTTTGTGGATCTCCTGCGGGAGCCAAAATCAGCTATACTGAAAGCTTCAGTCTTTTACTCTGAGGATAATGGGAATTGCATCCCTTGACTCCAGTGCTGGGAAAGGCACAGTTCAAAGTTCAGTGGAACACCAGTGACTTCAGGCAGTGGGATACTACTGCTACAGAGGAGATGAGGGAGAGAAATCAGAATATTCCTCTCTAAAGAATTGATTTACACTAGAGGATGGAGAAACTGGCCTGTGCTGCAGATGAGAAACGCTATTGTGTTACAAACATGCTGGTCCTTTGGATCCCTTGGTGACTGAGGACTACGGTTTTGATTTTATTTGTTCCCCTTTACTTACAGAAATGATGCTAAAAAATTAAACTCTAAAGTCAGTACAAGAACAAAGGGAGTCATTTTATACTTATTCAGTATACTTGAATATTTTTTTTAACCTGGACAAGGCATGGCAAGATGTCATCTTGAAATGTACCTATTTCTGGAACTGGCATTTACTTTTAGTCCTGAACCCCCCCTGGAATTTGCCAGTGTATGTTGTCTTTTCTGTGTGTAATTATCAAAGACTTCTGTTTGATAGCAAAGAGCAGACACGTTTCCCTACAAAGCAAAATGGCTCTTAGTTCCTGAATCATATTGTAAACTGCCATTTAGTAAAGAACCCATTTTGATTTCATACTCTCTAGATAGGGCTTTGTTTTTATTTATCATGGCAACGGAGTTCCACAAAACTATAATCTTTCCTAATACATACTAAAGCAAAAGATTAGAGAGATTAAAATAGAGTTTTGGCTAGCTCATGCGTTTTCAAATACAGATAAGTCACAAGCCATATCACTGATCCCCATTCTTCCAACTCGCCACTTTCAAAAAACCACAATAAATTCCGTGTGCCCTACCCACACAAGCCAGGACAGGATCTATACCTGCTAATGGCACTCTAGTGGCCAGGCCTTCCTTAGGAGGTGTAAAACTCTCCCCAAAGATTTCCAGAAAATGTGTTGCCTTTTTGTTGACACATGAATGAATTTATGTCACAGCGATTAAAAGATCAGAAGAAAGGGAAAATGCTTTGGTCTAAGTTTTGCTGCTGTCAGGTGGTTTTGACATGGGAAGAAATATAGGAGTTCTCTTTCCCATAATGTGAAGTTTCTTAATTGGCCACAGGGAAACTGGAGTACTTTGGACTTCTTCCAGTATATGGTCAGAAGTTCATAAAGCACGATGAATCATTGTTCTGTTGTGAAACAAGGATTATTATATTTCTTTATTATAGTCTGAAGAAACCAAAAATGTCAGAGCCTAATGACAGCTTTGCTGCCTGAGAGAGTGAATTGTGGTCTTGGCATGAGATCTCATTTGCCTCAAGTCAGAAGTATTTAGAATAATCTAATGAGCTCAGAAATATGCAAAGTTACAAGACAAGGCCAAATAAAAGTACCAAACCCAAATAAAAGCAATTTGAAGACTGTAGAAAACCTCAAGATGGTCCCATGCTTTGGTAAACTGGTCCTTTTTCCCCAGCTATTGTTCAAGTATTTATTATCTCTCCTCCCTAGTGATGTCTCAAAGTAAATAATTTTTGGTTTAATGATTCCTTCCAACACAAGCCTGATTCTTTGCACAGGGTAGAAAAGGGCAGATATGGTAAATGTTATCATTCCTTTCTGCTCCCTTCTTGTCCTATGCTAACTCGAGTCTGGTTTGGTCTCAGGATCTGGTCAAAGCATTTAAAGGAAATACAAAGATGTCTGTTAATGGAAAAAACCCACAGATTTTATACTTTCCACTGACTGGATTTGGGGAATGAGAGGAGAAGTTGATGTTCTTTTGATTTGTTTCTCAAAAATAAATTCGTTTGGACCAGGCACCAAAAACATATTCATGTACCTTTATATCCTGTATCCTCTGCTCCAGGGTTTCTACCATGTTATCCTCAGGCATGTGAGCATCCAAGAGCTGAGTGCACTGCTCTTTGTGCTGTTCTAACTTGGCTGCTGCCTCAGTGCATGAAGTATTGAAGCGCTCCCAAAGCTGCAGGGTTGCTTGTTGTGCCCGTAATTGATCCGTGATGTCTTCATTTACTGAGTTCCACCTACCAACATATCAAAGGATAACAGCATTTTCCTAGTAGATTCTCCTCCATAATATGATCTGGTGTAGGATTCCTGTGAGATTTCTTTGCATTCATACCCATGTTACTGAAAGCTCGCTGACACAGCCCCATTTTGTGCTCTGTTATCCATCACAGAATCACATGGGGTTGGAAGGGATCTCTGGAGATCATCTAGTCCAAGCCCCCACCCAGAGCAGGTTGCACAGGAACGTGTCCAGGTGGGTTTGAATGTCTCCAGAGAAGGAGACTCCACCACCTCCCTGGGCAGCCTCTTCCAGGGCTCTGCCACCCTCACAGGAAAGGAGTTCCTGTTCATATTTAGGTGGAACTTCTTACATTCAAGTTTGTGCCCATTTCCCCCCTGTCCCTGGGCACCACTGAAAAAAGACCGGCTCCATCCTCCTGCCACCCTCCCTTGAAGTATTTATAAGCATTGATCAGATTCCCCCTCAGCCTTCTCTTCTCCAGACTAAAAAGCCCCAAGTCCCTCAGCCTCTCCTCGTAAGGGAGATGCTCCAGGCCTCTCATCATCTTTGTAGCCCTCTGCTGTCCCCTCTCCAGCAATTTCAGAGCCCAGAACTGGATACAGGGCTCCAGATGGGACCTCCCAGGGCAGAGTAGAGGGGAAGGATAACTCTCCAGCAGGTCAGCCCCCAACCTGTCCTGGTGCAGGGGGTTATTTCTCCCCAGGTGCAGCACCCTACAATGGCCTTTACTGAAGTGCATCACGTTCCTCTCTGAGCTCCAGCCTGTCCACGTCTCGCTGTATGGCAGCACAGCCCTCCAGCTTGCCAACGACCCCTCGCAAAAAAGGTAGTATCAGCTACTCCTCACATAGGTACCCTCAGACAGGTGAGATTTAAATTTAAAAATCTGACAGACGTTCAAGTCCTGCCTCGGCAACATTTCTTTTTTTAAATATGAATAACTAGAGGTCTTTTTCCCAAGCTTACCTAGTGTGTGCCTCCGTGCACTTGTGTTCAATAATCTCGGCAAAGGAGGGGGAACAGTTATTCTTCAGGTTACTGGCAGCAGTCTGGAGCTTGGCCCAACTTTCTTCAGCGTTCTCCAACTCATCTTGAAGAGACTGCAAAAGGGATTATTGCAATTAGTTGTGGAGATGAACGACCTAAGCACGGCTTCCCCTATAGGTTGGTAGCAATAGGGTAGCAATAATGCCACGCGTTTGCAGCACAGACTAAAATGTTTGTGAAAATGTAACACCTGATCCTAAAAGGAAGCTAAAATGGTCATTCAGCTAAAAAAATCATTCAGGAGGCCTATTTTAAACTGAGATAATTCATTTCACAGGCTGAGAGAGCTGGGGTTGTTCAGCCTGGAGAAGAGAAGGCTCCGGGGAGACCTTAGAGCAGCCTTCCAATATCTGAAGGGAGCTACAGGAGAGCTGGGGAGGGACTCTTTGTCAGGAAGTGCAGTGACAGGACAAGGGGTAATGGTTTTAAATTGGAAGAGGGGAGATTTAGATTAGATACCAGGAAGAAATTCTTTGCTGTGAGGGTGGTGAGGCACTGGAAGAGGTTGCCCAGAGAAGCTGTGGCTGCCCCATTCCTGGAGGGGTTCAAGGCCAGGTTGGATGGGGCTTTGAGCAACCTGGTCTGGTGGGAGATGTCCCTGCCCAGGGCAGGGGGGTTGGAACTGGATGATCTTTAAGGTCCCTTCCAACTCTAACCATTCTATGATTCTATTATTTAATCTTAAAGAAACAGCTCATTTACCAAACCCACAGGCATGAACAGATTAAATGAATTAACTCAAAATTAAAAACGTTTTTATTTTTAAGCCACTGTTTGAGGGAAATTTCTACTGGCAGTAAAAGTGCTTTGAGAACTCCTGTGCTGCTGCATGTGTCCCCTCCTGATAGAGGCAATTGCAGAAGCCTGCCACGGATTGTGTCTGTGAACTGCTCCAGATTAAAAATAAAGAAGGTGAAGGAAGGAAGGAGGTAAGAAGGTGTCCGCTCCTTCCATTAATTACGTGTTCCCAGGTGAGGATGGAAAGCACTTATGCATGCTTTACTGCCAAGACACATGTAGCCAGGACTCACACTCTCAGTCTGGCCTGCACCACTTCTGCTGTAAGCTTGAAAATAAACCCAAACAGGCCTTATTCACACTGAAACAATGAGTGTTTACACAACCCTTAAACACTCTTTTAACGCCAGGTAAGAGGATTTTAGCCATAACTGTAAAACGTTCAGAGCCAGGGCCAGCCTGAGGCCTTCTCTAGATGCCCCACTTAGACTCTGTAACACCCAAGCAGAGCAGCAGGATGATCCAGAGCGTTCACGCCTGGCATTTATGCTCAGCCTTATTCAGAGGCTGTGCAGGAAACTCCAGCTGTATAGAGGGTGACCCAACAGTTGACTTTGCACTTGAGGAATGGGAAACACCTGCTGTGACCCAAGGCTGCTGCACCCATCCAACCCAATCCACTTAGTTTGGGAAGGAAAAATCCTGGGTCCTGAATTTGACTCCAGTGCTGTTTATACGTGGAAAGATTCCTTAATGCAAGTGACACTTGAATGCAAAGTGGTCAGTGGCACAGTGACTGGGACACAGTACCCCAAGGGGAGCATTCAAATCACAGATCTAGAGACATGGTCCCTTTGCCAGTTTTCTCCCAGGTCCCCCTCATTTCTGCACTGAGACCCAGCATTGATGCACAAGCATCTCCTTCCAGGTGATGCTACAGCCTTTCCCTGGGAAGGATAAGCGAAGGGGTAAATTTCCTTTCATCCAACGAGCCAAGAACTAACATCTTTCCCCTGAATGGTGAATAACCTTTAGACAAAAACATACAGCAATGGCATTAGGTTTTCCTTTGCCAGCTGTATTTTCAGCCAAACTTCCTGCTGTGCCATGGCAATTAGACATAGACTGAGTATCACAGAATCGTCATGGTTGGAAAGGACCTTTGAGATCATTGAGTCCAACCATACACACACACACAAAGACAAAACAAACAAAACAAACCAAGCAGAAAAAAAACCAAACCACAAACAGACATAAACCAACAATCTCAGGCACTAGAGCACGCCCTGAAGTGTCACATCTACACGTTTCTTAACTACCTCCAGGGATGATGACTCCACCACCTCCCTGGGCAGGCCGTTCCAGTGCCTGACCACTCAGTAAGGAATTCTTCCTAATATCTAATCTAAACCTCCCCTGCCGCAACTTCAGACCATTTCCTCTGCTCCTGTCATCATTCCCTTTTGAGAAGAGGCCAACACCCACCTCTCTACACCCTCCTTTCAGGGAGTTGCAGAGGGCAATGAGGTCTCCCCTCAGCCTCCTCTTCTCTAAACTAAACATGCACAGTTCCTTAAGCCTCTCCTCCTATGACTTGTTCTCTAGACCCCTCACCAGCTTGGTGGCTCTCCTCTGGACACGCTCCAGCAGACATTAGCATGTGGTGGAGTGCACATGTCCATCTGGACTCTGTGGTGCGAGGGAGCACGAGGACCTGGTGCTTCATATGGGGATGCCTTTCAGCATGTGCAGAAGACTAAAACGTCAAGGGATCTTTGCAATCCAAACCCGAGCCTCTGCTTGCCCACAGTAAGGCAGACATGGTAGCAGCTGCCCTCTATTTCTCTCTCTTGAACCTTGGGACTTAATTTGCATCAAAGTTGAACTTATGTGCTAAATAAAGTAAAAAGTCTAAAAATAGTTCTCAGTGCCTCTGGAGGTAAACCAAAAATATCTCACTGACTTCAATGGCACTATAATGAAAAGGAAGTTGTTCATATAAATTTTTCTGTGGTTTTTTCAGTTTGTTTGTAGGCACAGAAGGAAGTACAGAAATAAGACAACTTCAGTAGATTTACCTGGAGAGTTTTGACCTGGTTTTCCAAAGCTTCCAGTGACACCACAGAACGTTTGCACTGGTCTGTGCAGTACAAATATCTTGTCGTCATCAGGCTAACTTCTGCATAAGCTTCATCGTATACTCTCCACTGCTCCAGTATTGACTGCATCGAGGCCTTTAACTGTGCAACCTGCAAACGAACCACTTTTGTTACTATTTCTTGGGTAGTTTTCACACACAAATCACCTTTAAAGTGACTTAAAAATCTAAGCTTAACGCTCACTGCATGACAATCCGGAAAAATTTTGCAAGTTGGAGTGTTTTCTTACTTGGTAAAGAATTCAAAGCAAGCAGTAAACAGCATATAGAGTGATGTTTAAGAATTTCCTGGAAATAAAAAATTAACCAGAGTTCAAGGTAACACTGTTCTGTCAGCCACAACTCCGGAACACCCCAAAAAGTAAGAAGAACTGAAATAATGAACTGCTTATTCCTTCCTGCCAGGACACTACACTTGTTGAATTTCATTAGGTTCCTCTCCATCCAGCTCTCCAGCCTGTCCGGGCCTCTCTGAATGGCAACACAGCCTTCTGGTGTGTTAGCCACCCCTCCCAGTTTTGTGTCATCAGCAAACTTTTTGAGGGTACACTCTGTCCTCTCATCCAGGTTGTTGATGAATATATTGAACAAGACTGGAGCCAGTACTGACCCCTGGGGAACACCACTAGCTGATCACAAATTTAAATCCATAAATGCACTCATCATTTTATCTTCTGCACCTATAAATTACATCTAGATAAAAAGATCACTTCCAAGTATAAAGATAATTTAACTATAAATGCAAACTGCTGGGGAGTCAATTTGCATGGGAAATCAATCTGCTAGACTCTCCTTGAAGCAACTGCAAACTACATAGGATTTGAGGATAGCAAATACCATCCAGAGAAATGGAAAAGCTACAGTGAGAATGAGTAGAAAGCTTCCACCAGCGTTACTGCATGGGAGAAACACCAGGGTATGAAAGAGAAGCAGATTGAGTAAGAAAGTTTAAGGTCTCAATTTTCAGCTCAACAGAAAAATAGCAGTGCTATATCTTTATTTTTGAAACTGCAGATGGGGGTCCGTCCCTCTTCTCCCTGTATTCAAACTACTTTGAGATCAGACCTTTTTCATCTCTCAACCTTGGAAATACATTAACTTTCGTTATGCTACAGACTTAAAAGGAAATTCCTAGTAAAGTTAAGATTAAGAGCAAGGAATACTTTGCATCTTTTTTGTACCAGCTCCTGCTATCCCATGAAGATGATTAATAACACTGGTGGTAAGAATACGTACTGGAGGGAATCCGAATGCCAACAAGGCTCTTACCTGGCTTACAATGCTGTCCATCATTTCACAAAGCTCAGCTGTCCCGAGTGACACAGCTTCTGGGGTTTGTTCTGTGCTGCCATTCAATGCCAAACTCTGCTTGAGTTCATCAAGGGTTTTGGATTTAGTTGCGAGTTCATTTTCTAGCTCCTAAATGAAAAAAAGAGGAAAAAAAAGGGAAGATAAATAATACCTTTTAATGAGGCTACAGAAAGAAAACCTTCTGTGTGAGGAGATTGGATAAACAGTCCTTCTTTAAAAACAATTCTGTGTAATTCTTCAGCCATGTAACACCCACCACCATTTCAACTCTGATACCAAACAATGGTTTTACAGGAATTCAAAATGATGGCAGCTGCTTTAGACAGTCTCCTGCAGGTAGAGCTAGAATCAGTCCATTTAGTGTCAGCACGAGCACGGGACATCATGCTTGGGAAGAAAATCATCAGGAACTAATTGCTCAGTGACCATGCAGGCCTCTTTGTACCTCTCCAGATGCAAAAAGTTTTCCTGTTAATGCAGCTGATCTTTTCCTTGAGCAGGTTAGCATTTGGGTCATCCTCTGTTCCAGCAGACTGATTTAGGATTTAGATTGAATAGGAACCGATTTTGCAGCAAGAGGGTCCCTGACAGTCTAATAGCTTCTAGAAAGTAATTTTCAGCTCGTTCTCTTAGCCAGAGACTTTCTCCCATGGGTGAAACCCCACTGAAATCAATGGAGGCGCCTAGGAGAATGACTTCCCCCCTAACACAACCAGCAAGATTATAAGCTGGTCTTGACATGCTGGAGAAAGCTCAGTCATTAACACAACACGAGTAAATATCCACACACAAAACGGGCCCTAACATTTTCCTATAATACTACGCTTAAAGCCATGACCTGTGTTTCCCCCACCTACTGTTCCCAAAACATTTTCAAATGTGGACCTAACTTTTATTGAGCAAATTAATAGAACATTTTAGCCACCTGCATCCTAGCACCGTACCTTGCCGAGGGCAGGTTAGTTTTAGTCAAAGATACCCTGGTGTCTCTCTTCCATTCTGGCCCCTTGATACATTTCAGAGTCCTTCAGAGAGACAAGTAACTGGGTGTGTAGCAGACCACTCTAGGCAATAAAAGCAGCCTACTACAAGAGAGACATGTAACCATGGCAATGAAAGAACAAATATTCCATGTTTAAAAAAAAATAGAGAGGGAACACTGTGCTGAACAAAGACAGCAGACTGTCAGAGTAACAGGAGAAAAGTATTAGCTGGCTGCACCTGTACTAATTTTGAGGGAACTGTTGCCTAGAAAAACACAACAATACCAAAGGACACCCAGATTCTTCAGGCTAGTGCAGAAAGACTACATTCTAGGGCAGGAGTAGAAAGAGTTGCTATTTTTCCTAAAGGGACTGTGGAGTTTCCACAACACTTCCACCACAGAGCTCTTCAAATTAATGGAACCGATAGCCTTTGCCATGGCTGTGCTGAACTAAGAACTACTTCTTTTGGAGGCATCTTAGAATAAGATCAACACTATTCCTGCACAACACACTAAATACCACAGAACAACAGCATCTTCAAGTGGAGGAAAAAACAAAAAATAGCAATTCACATTAAAAGTGGATCTGGCTCTTTATCACCTGAACCTACCATGCTTTAACTAAAATTCCATTGGACTATTCTTCTGGGAAATAGCAATTTTCTTCACATTTTTTCTGTTAAAATCTTCAGTCTGGATTCAGCAAAATGCTAAACATGTTTTTTAGAGTAATATCACACATATAATGCTTTACCTTGCAATCATCTAATGTGTTCTGTGCAGAGATCAGACTTGCTGGGGTTTGTAAAGATCTCAGTCGACCACTCTGAGCTTCCAGCCAGCTGCGCAGAGTCTGTGCTTTGTTCTCCTTTTCAGTAATATCCTCCAAAAGCTGCTCCAGGTCTTGTATCTGAAAGTTACAGAACTTAAACCTAGAGGCAGGCAGAAACAGGGCTCTGCCTTCCATGACAAAATTTGAGATGACAATATTTACACTGAAAATACCATTTAGAGAAAACAGTTTGAAAAGAAAAGCTAAGAAGTTTTACTGACTCTTTAGGATCTGACGTTTTCCAAGGAAAGGAAACAAGGCAGTCTGGGTCCTAGAGCTGGCAGCCTGCAGACCTAACAAGTGGGGGGATCCCCAGGCTAGGTGGACACATTCATATGGAGTCTGCAAACCTCATTCTCCCTAGAACTCATTAACCAAGTTACTAATAAGCAAGAGACCTCGAGTCTCCTCTCTTCAGTCTTGGCCCTAGGGATCCACTAAGTCCTAGAATGCAGTTTCTTGGAGATGGTTAGAGAAGATAAATTTCCCCCCCCCAGCATTGAAATTCCATCATGGGAACTTTAAGTTGTGCAGGAACTGACTTTTCCCCTTGAAAATGTTTCTGGAAGACTTTCTGTGCCAGAAAAATTTGGAGAATTTTCTGTTTGATCAGTGGTCTTAGTATGTGGATTCAAGGAGGGCAGCTTCTCCCAAAGCCCTGTAAATTTGTGAGAGAAACAGAGGTGAAAGAGGAGCGTAATGGCAAAGAGATTCCTTCCAGCAGCTTCATGTTTGCATTTTGCTAACCTTCCCCTGGTCTCTTCCATATCACTTGAGTCACACTAGCTCTTCTGGGCATTGCCTCACACAAGCACCAGCATCTAATTGTGGATGCATGGATTATCTCTAGCCTCACCAGGGTAAAGCAATTCTGAGGCACTGCCTGAAACAGGTTTTCTACAGAGAAACACAGAAGACGTGCTGGTATTAATTAGTTTACACGTAGAATTTGCCTATCAGCTGCTGATCTTCAAAGCACTCCATTGGAAAAGCATATTTCATTACTACAGAAGGAGGACACAGACACAGTGTAACCCATTTCCAGTGACCCAGGAGGGCTGGAGCAGGGCTGGGAACAGATCCCTGCTCTGCCTTTTTCAGCAGGGTCATACGTCTCCATCTGAATACGGGTGTGAACACTACTTATTTAATAATTACTTTTTTGGCAAATCCAAATGCTACAACAGGAAAATGGGTGCAAGATTAGTATATCCCTATTTCTTGTTCCTGTTGTATGACATGTGGAGGCGTTATTTTTTTGGTGCTGTGTTTGCTGGGCAGGGCATGGCTTGTACCAGCCATTGTAGCAGCTCTCCTTTCCACAAACCAGTAGGTGTTTTCTCCCATTGAGTTTTAAATGTTCCAACTTTCTCAGCACCCCGAAGCTTCAACAGATTTCACTAACAGGTTCCCCTGCAGACATTACCCTGAATTCTTCCTTTTTCACAGCTTTCTCAATATAGGTCATCTTTGTTGACATGTCACTTTGTGCACTATCTTCATTTGAGGAATCCCAGACTGTCATGAAGAGGAAATTTTGTCTATTTTCCTTCCTTGCAAGTTACAGGAGAGTTTACCCTCCCAGGCTTTGCTGAGGCTTGGATGCCTTCCCACCACCTGATGGCTGGTGGTCTATGAGACCATTCCAGAGGCTGCTCATGAGACAGCAGGATAGACAGAGAGCACAGGGAGTCCCACTTTGTTCAACAGTGTTTTTCAGGCTCAGGAAGAAAGGCTGCTTGTAAAATACAGACCACTGGCAAGACTAGAGTTGTGAGAGAAAGCAAGAATAACTCAATCAAACCTTTCTGTTCAGAGAAGCCTGCAGCCTGTGCCATCGCAGGTTCATCTCTCCAAGACACTCGGCGAATTCTGTCCTTTCATACCGCTTGCTTTCCACATCACAAGTGCTCATCTGCAAGAGCGACTGGTTAACAAAATCTACCATCCACTGTTTAAAGTTCATTTCCATTTTATATTCCTGGAAGGGAAAAATAATAATAAAAAAAAAGAACAAAAACATAAAACAATTAGTTTGGCAGTTTAATCCAATCAGTTCCAAAGATGCTTCAAGGTATAGCTATGGGACATTCATGGCTTATTCCAAACCATGGCCCAAAATATTTTTCTGAAAGAGTGCTGGCTGTAGGGATAATTCTTAATTTTTACGATTCTATGTAGTTATTTCCACCCATCCAACTTTTACAGAAAATCAGCATCAATACATGGGTAGCTCAAGGTTAAGAAGAGACTAGTATAGAAGCAGGGAACAAAACCTAGCAGGACCAGACACAGTACTTCATCCATTAGATCATACCATCACGCTGCCATGGGCCCAGATTAGGCTAAGACCGAGGGCTTCCCATACTCTACGATTCACAGGCAAGTGCAGACAAGCTGCATACTCCCTTTATCAAAATATCTGGTATCAGAATAGAAGATCAGAATATGTGGGAGGAAAAATGGTCCTCCAGTACCAGTGTCCCTGCCCACAGAGATCACTGAGGAACTACACGCAAAGTGAGGACAACATAAGGGAATGTCTTTTTATTTCAGAAGGTCTTAGGAGAAGAAAGGAGGAAAGGACTCTTTATTGTATCTAGTAGTACCCACAACATACCACCAGGGAATAGCACAGTAGAGGTACTGAAGCCATAGCTGCTTCCCTGTGGAAATTTGTGACCCTCACCCCAGCTTTCTTCTCAGGATACACAACCTCACATTGCTGACAAGTGCAGAAGACAGGCCTACAAACTGATCTCTAAATATCCAAAAGGTTAAAACCAGCACCTCACCTACATGTTCCAACTGCCAAATCCAACTGATATAGACCTAAATGTTACATATCTGCTACTAAGGCTCTCCTAATGAAATGCTTACGTTGACGCTTGCTTCCTATGCAGTACCAAAGTGCCTGAGAACTGCAGCTGCCGACTGAGAACTGCTGCCCTGTCTGAGCCCAGGGCACCGCACGGTAGCTCTACATGGGCAGAGCAAAATACATCTCTGTAGGGATTTGTTCCCTGAGGTTGGGCTCCCTGGCACCTATGGAGGTACAAGCATGGCCTGAATCATTCCTGGGGCTTGGGCAAGCAGCCCATGCCATTGGAGCTTTAGCAGCTGAATTGAGCCAAGAGCCTGCTGCAGCCTCTCTCTCTGCAGTGACATCCGTCTTGTCCCTCTTTCCCAGCAGGTTCTCTCTTTTGGTGAAACTTAATATTCAAACCCCTGTTAGCTAGTTAAATGAATCCTGCTGATGGAGCTCCATTACAAGGTATTCCTTGTTGAAAAGGCAAGACTAAAACACAGCACAAAGACAGAGTCTGTGTTCCTAAGGAAGCAAAGCTTCCCTGCTCAACACATTTTATAATCTAAATGCAAGAGAGAGAGAACAAGCAAGACAGATGGGACAGCATGAGGAGAAGGAGATTATAGCACAGCAGGCAGTAGCTGTATTGCAAGGCAGGCAGTGTTTTGTGTAGCATGGAAGCCAAAGGTTTTTATAAAGGAAGATTTTTAAGGCACCTTTGAGACTGTTTGAGGAACCCTCCTGAGAGCAAGGGGAAGGATACGACTACCTGTAGGCTGCTTCCATCCTTTTTACAGCCAAACACCTTGCAGAAGGCCTGGGCTTAGAACTTCCATTTACCTTGCAACTCTGAAGGCGGCTTCTGACTTGGGCAGCACTACTTTGTGAATTTAGTGGCTCCTCATGTCCCTGCTGTTGTTCCACATGGTCCAGCCAGGTCATTAGTTCAGCAATAGCTTCCCGCGATGAAAGCTTTTCCATCTGAAGCTATGGGTAGAGCATATAATGAATGTTCTACACTCTGCTTGAAAGAAATATCAAGGAAGATGACATCTGTATTTTTAGAAAGGCTGCAATTATCGGGGTATGAACCTGAAAGTGAGCCCTGTGCTCCAGAGGGGCACATAACTTGAATGAAGAAAAGTTCGAGAATTCAGAAGTTTGAAATAAAATTCTTTCTAATTGTAATAGACCTTCATATAAAACTGTAAAGATGACAGATATCTGCAAAACAGCCCAGGAAGAACACTGCAATAATTAAACTGCAGTACAATATTAGGGATATTAGCAAGACAGCTAATTAGGGAGGAGGTACTTTGGGGGCCTTATGGAGCAGCCAACTGAATCCCAGCAGCAACATTTTCAAAGTGACTATTTAGCTTGAACTGAAAGAAGGCAGCAGAGTTTCTCCTCACCTGGTGAAGCTTTTCTTGGATGGCTGGGAGCTGTGTAATCAGTTCTCCCCATTTTTGCTCAAACTTTGCCAAAGATGACCTAAGTGCCGCAGTATCAGCTTGCTTCACGTGAAAGAGCTGGTTGGCAGTGCTCACCACGGATGACTTCAGGGAAGATTTTTCATCAGCTTCCTTAGAGAATGCCTGAAGTGCACAGGAGAAATTTAAGAGAGGGTAAATATCTAGATATCGAAGAAGACAGAACAGGTTTTCAGTCTCGGGAAGTTACACCTCAACAAACACATTTTAGCAAGTTTGTAAAGTTCAGAAAACCTAAACTCAAGTTGTTCTGGCAGCAGGTAAGGCGTTTTTCTGCCCAGCTTGATACAATGCTGAATGCCACCTTTTGCTCCACAGGGATTGGGAATATCCTGATCCCCTCTTCACAAAGAGGTCGAGGGAGCAAGCCCAGTCCTTGAGTCTCTGGCCAGTTCACACCTATCAGTCCAACCTTCATGATGCTTTGCACCATGCAAGACTCCCTCTGTCAGGCCTCACACTGGGGCTGAGCCTCCTGGCTAGTTGTACATGGGAGCACAGGCAAAGACATGAAATGCAATTCAGTACATTTCTCTTTCCTGTCTTTACCTGACCACCTTTTCACAGCCCAGCTGTCTTCACCCATGTTCCCTGAGCCCACACTCCAGATTCCGTTAGTAAGTGACCCATCAGCTTGGCTGAACTGCTGTGTCTGGTATGTGGCATCAGGAGCAAGGCAGAAACCGTGCTATCGCACGGTAGGTACATAAGAGATCCTATCTGGGATGCCATGTGTTGCAATTGGAAGCTCATTACGAGAGGAGTCCGTTCTGATTTATGCACTCTGGCCAGCCTTGGAATCTGAAGGAAGGTCTCTGGTGGCTTCCCATCCTCATGGTTCCCCACACAGATAATGGGGTGGCTTTGGGGCACATAGCCATTCAGTGCTATATTATGTGGCCACCTTCTGGGTCGTAGCAAATACAAAAAAACACTCAAAAAGGTCATTTTCACGTCAAGTCACAACATCTTATTTAAACCTGGGAAGAGAAATGACTTACAAACAAGCTGTTGATGTTATCCCTGATGGTAGGAAGATCTTGTGACACATTGAGGGACTGCTCCTTCCAAAAATTCATTCTCTGCTGAGCAGAATCCAGCCATTTCATTAATTCCTCTGAGTCTCTGTTGTAGCTACAAGGAGGAAACAAAACACACAAACATACATCTCCTAGTTGGGTCTAGGATACATTTCTCACCCTCCAAGTTGTCCTCCTCTCTGTGAGGAAGCATGTGCTCTTCTGGCACCTGTGCCACTACATAACCCTGCAGAAGCATGGCTACAACATGGATCAATGTACAGCACAGCAGTTCTGCTGAAGTACCCACAAGACTGTTCCTATCAGCTCTTTTTCTCCCTGAAAATACCCTCTCTCTGTATTCACCCACCAGTTGCCATGACAAGCTCACATGGGTGAAAAGAATCACAGAATCATGAAATCGTAGGGGTTGGAAGGGACCTCTGGAGATCATCTAGTCCAACCCCCCTGCCAGAGCAGGTCCACCCAGAGCAGGTTGCACAGGATGGTGTCCAGGCAGGGTTTGAACGTCTCCAGAGACAGACTCCACACCCTCCTCTGGGCAGTCTGTTCCAGTGCTCTGCCACCTTCCAAGTAAAAGAGCTTTGCTGAAGGTCAAAACCACCAGTGTGGATTATGCACGCTGCAAGACACAGTGCAGAATACACACCAGGGGTAAACACCAGCAAACACACCTGGCATGCTCTGTCCACGCTATGGGTCCAGCCAGCCTGAGCTCAGAGCACACAGACCACGTGCAGAGAGGGCTGAGCTTGGTACATCAGCTGGTGAACCACGCTGTATTTTCTGCCTCCGTCTGACTGCCAGGACTGCATTGACAGTTGGCTTGGGGCATGTGAAAGCCTTGAGCATCCTTGGGTCCTCCCCTCTTTGGAGAGCTTCGAAACACAAGTCGAGGCAGCATTTCAGCCACCTCTTGAACATTTTGTAAGGTGGAGAGTGTACGTGCCCAGAGAGACATGTTAGGTCTTTGCATGGTAATCAAAGGTAGCCAAAATGCTCAGGGCCCCACGATCAGAGCTTGTACGCTTCCAGGGTACAAACTGCAGCACGATGCAGCTAACTCTCACCTAGATGCACTGACTTTGCATCAAGCAAAATATTCTTCCTACAAAAATAAGCACTAAGTGAAGCATTTGCCTGCACAGTGACAGAAGGTCGGAGAAGGCCCACTTTTCTGATCACCACCGCTTTTTCTTTTAGATTATTTTTCTCATTTTTAAGTTAAAGGAGCTATGTTTTTTATTAATTCATCATTGTATCTCAGAAAATACACTTACAGATGGTCAGAAACTAATTTCTAGCTGATATCTCTACTTGCTTTCTGAGTAATACTCACCTGACCAAGAGTCTGAGTAACGTCTGAAGTCGCTGTAGTTCATGGCCAACTCTTTTGTTTAAAGACAACCATCGCTCTTCCAGCTTCCTAATCTGGCTTCTCATTTCTGGGGAGCTCACAGCAGTCAGCAATTTCTTCCCTTCTTTCACCAGCTGGTACAGCCTGGCGTGCTTTTCATCAACACTGCTTTTGATTTGCTATCAGAATATGGGAAGTTTGCAAAACAATAATAATTTAAAAACCGAAAACACAGTTAGCAAAACACTTACCATTTGTTCTAACTTCTTAATTTCACATTCCCTCTGTCATGTTTTTCATTTTCCAAATGGAACAAATGTGTACTTCATTACGGGTATAAGGGACGCAGGTTATTTTTTTTCGTTTCCTCTGGATAGATCAAGACTCATCTCAATGTAATTGAGACACATGATCAGAATGACTGTGTAACAATTTGATGGGCTTTTTTTGACATGTGTAAACCTCAAGCAATGGACAAACACTCTCTATCACTTCTGGCTGCATTGTCCAAACATGAATGTCCTCAGCAGAAAGTTATTGCCCTCCTGTTCTTAGAGGGCCTTCTGCCTCACTCCTATGTTTAAAAAAAATTTTTAAAAAACAGCATTTGTGTGATGTGCGAGTATTTCTCTTCTCTCCAGGCATAAGAGGCTTGTACAATATTATTAACAGGGATATTTCTCTCACAGGAATTTAGCCCCAGAGATTTTCATTCTGCTGCGTCCTTGAAACTGTGAAGCTCCAATGCTGGGACTCCCCCCAGAAGCATCTTCTAAAGCCTTACTACTTTGTTTCTGATGTCTTTGAAGATAAAGACTTGAGATTGAAAAGCTAGTTATGACCTTAAAAAACCAAAGTGAACCAGGCAATTTCACTATCAATAGCTATGCAAATATTGCACGTCTCCCGTCTCAATGTGACAGGCATCAATAGCACCAGAAGGTAACTGTGATTGTAAATATCTACTGTCCTTTTTGCCTGTATAGTCTATGAATCTAAATATCAATCTGGACTCAGCATAGACCCAAAGACTCAACTCAAAAATTTCTACTAGAGAAGGTCCTCTAAAGACCGAGAAAGGCCAAACCTGACAGGAATGCAGAGCACTCTCTGAAGACAGATACTATTTCTTCTTAATTTCATAAAACAACCATAAAGGCTGCTTTCATATCCTCCTATTCAAAGCTGTTTAAAACATAAATAAAATGTTTCCAACTGGATTTGAGGTTCTAAATAAAGGTGTAGCTCTGCCATCAGCTGGGAACATACCAGGAGCCTATTTGCCATTCTATACAAAAGGAATTTTATTCTCTTCGGCCAGATAGAAATCAGGACATATTGTTTTGAATTCTCAGAATTTTAAATGGATCTGGTAAACCTGCAGACCTTCTCTTGCAACCAGGGGTTCAGATATTTGAAGGTACTAGGTTGATTCTTCCCTTCCACAGGTTATACATCAGGGCATGAAAATCACCCCTGAATTACAGAGAAGTTGTCCTGTGTTCATTCCAAAGTTGATGTTGGGGCCTATGTAGCCTAACGCTATCTCCTCCCAGATATCTCCATTTGAAGACCAAGTTCTAAAGCAGCTGTAGTCATTACTGCCACTTAAATGAACTTATAGCCCCTGGCTGAAATTATCAACCCAATTTCCTGCTACTTTTAAAAAAGTTTTCAGCTTGCAACCACATACAAAGCTCTATAGACCCACGAAGAAAACCGGTCAGACACAGATATATAAATACCTGCAGAAGTGCAATCCTTTCCATTAATCTTTCTTCTGTTTCTTCAACCAAATTCACAGAAGGCAATGTAGAGGCAAGCGCCTCTAACTCCTTATTGAAAACTCCGCATTCATCATCAAATTCTGTCCATTCCTAAAAAATACATGGCATCATTAACATAGCACAATCTATCTGCCTTTTTGCTACACCAGACTGAAGTCTTAATGCTTATTCTAACACCAGCAGCTCTTAATTGAATGAAACAGAACATGAAAATAGGTGAATAGTATGAAAATATTGAAGTGAGACATGATTTTACCAGAGATGAATTAATTAATTCATTCTCTAATATCACAGAATCCTCACCCACAAGCTCTCAACTCTCTCTTTGTCTTCCCCCAGGGAGAGCTTTAGGGACATCTCCTCACTTTCTATCCACTCCTTAACAAGGAGGGCAACATCTGCACCCCTCCTGCCTCGCCTGTCCCTTCTGAACAGTCTGTAGCCCTCAATAGCCACTCTCCAGTCACAGGATTCATCCCAGCAGGTTTCAGTGATGGCCACTATATCTTAGGTTTCCAGCAGCACTGTAGCTTCCAGCTCCTCCTGTTTGTTGCCCATGCTGCATGGATTCATGTAGAGGCACTTCAGCTGGGCTGCTGGCTGTGCTGCATTCTTAAGGGAACACCCCTTCAGGTGTCTCTCAGGTGTTTCCCTGTTGACTTCGATTACCTCAAGGTTTCTTATTTTAAAGTGATATACTTAATTCTTTATTCTCTAGGGGTGTTTTAAGATCAATTTTTAGGTTTTATTTTAAAGTGATGCTGGTATTTTTGTGCCTAAAATGGCTCTAGTGTCAGTCCAGGCACTCAAAAATTACTGCAAGGAGTCATAAAGTCCCACCCATGTCAGAGTGATGGGTTGAAAAGTTCACTTCCAGAGGTTTTCAAGGAAAAAAGCCAGTTACTGACACAAACAGAACAAGCAATAGGCTGTTGCTGTGCAATGGAGACAGGAAAGGATAACATCAGGCAAAGAATCACTGGTGCAGAAATGGTTCCCCTAAACACAACTCCTCTTCCTCGCTCCAGCTTTTAACCTGGGTTTCTTTTAATTCATTACCTTTAAGAGGGTCTCTAAGTGTATACCATACTGGCGGGCCTTCTGCTCCAATAACTTGACTTCATTCACCAGCTCTCTCCAGAATTCCTCTCTCTTTTGTAGGATGCAGGGAGTCACCTTCTCGGAAAACACTTGCATGAAAGCCATGCGGTTCATGAGGTTGTGGAAAAAGTCCTGAAAAAAAAACCCAAAACAAACAACCAAGTTAAAGCTTGCTCTATATGAGAAATCACACACCCACAGGAGGAGAATGAAGAAGACAGAGAAGACTCGCTGAGAAGAGTGGCCAGTTTCAGGGTCTCTCATAACTCAGGCTCAGGAGCCTTCTACCCAAACTCTGCACCACCCCAGGATGGGCAATTACTGATCATTTTACCAGTCATCAAGAACCAGTGATAGGACGGAATGAAATGGAACAGAATGGAGTATTTTCAGTTGGAAGTGACCTACAACAAGCATCTAATCCAACTGCCTGACCATTTCAGGGCTGACCAAAAGTTAAAGCATTCAAATGCCTCTTAAATGCTGATAGAGGGGCATCAACCACCTCTCTAAGAAGCCTGTTCCAGCATTTCACCACCCTCTCAGTAAAAGAATGCTTCTTAATGTCCAGTCTAAACCTCCTCTGGCACAAATGTGTTGCATACACTACTTCCGTTTACACATTTCTAAAGAAGAAGATCTACATTTATACCTTCAATTCACATTAAATACAAACATGTTGTGGGAAGATGATGGAAAGAAATGTTTAACTATAAATAAATTCATAGTTTAGCATGAGGTAGTCATCACCAGACAGCCATTATCCAGTTTGCTTCATCTGGATGGGAGATGACTCCAGGCACCAAGGGTATTAGCAGTTGTAAGGTCTAAGCAATAGACAGGGCAAATAATCCTTTGGGTTAACTGGGTAACAGTTTGATATAGTTATGGCTGAGCTCTTGGGAAACGTATGAATCCCAACAGAACACCTTCCCCCACCAAAAACCTTTGAGGGTTTAAGATTACATTCTTCAATCAAGATCTTCTTCACTGAGAACTAATAATTAGTACAAGAATTTCACTTAAGGGCCGTACCCCAGGCATATTCTGTGTGAACCAGGGCAGGGAAAACGGCTTTTGCAGGTTTCTTTTGCTTTTGTAAATCAACGTATGCATATTTGGACTGCAGATACATTATTTGTTTTCCTTTTCCTTTCCTAAATAAATTCCTAACGTTTTGCTAAAGGCAATTTGCAAGTGACAAACAATTCCTATAGCTCTGGAGCAGTGGCTTGCGGTGCTTGGCATCATGAAGCAGTTCTTAAGGGAGGTTGAGCCATGTGGAACAGTTAAATCAAGGCATTGACATGATAAAGACACCTTTGAGTGACCAGCGGTGGCCAGGGCTTCCTGCCAAGCAGCAGGACAGTGAGGATGCAGGTGCCTTCTCACCCATCTCCCACCAAGCATCCAGCAGCTGGGTACCAGGGACACTGGGCTGCCAAGGGGAGTATCTAAACTACCCACTCTTCGGAAAAGGAGCTCTTATGGGTAAGTTTCTTCCCTCAGACCATGACAGCACAGAATGCTGAAAGCAAAGGCTCAACTCCCAGTTGCTTGCCAGCAACTTCAAGAACCTCACTACTGATTTATTGTTGGTAATTACAAGGACATGTGTTCTCCTCACATGTCGATATGTTCTGAGGCAAGTCAAAGTATTATTAGTCTGACAAAACTGAAATCCTGATCTTAACTTGTCATCAAGCCTGTAGTTAAAATAACAACCTCTCTTTCATATATTAGTGGGTCCTATTTTGGTCTGCTGAAACCTTTTGCTTTGTTTTCTGCACATACTCCAACCCTTGCTCTGTGCTATGAGCTAGTTATTCCTCTCCATAAAACTGGAGAGAAACCAGTCACAGGAAATAGTGCTCTGACTCTGCTGATCTGAGCAGCCCTGTGATAAGCATCTTATACCTTGTGATTTTCCAGGTAAGACTGTAGAGCTGCTCTGCTTTTTGTTAGCTGCTTTGGATCTTGTGCAATCTTCTCTCGTCCAATAGCTATCAGCTCTGCAAATCCATGAAGTAAGTCCTCATACTGGCTCTCACTGATGGAAGGAGAGTGCAGCTCCGCGTACTTCGCTTTGAGAATCCCCCACATGTCATCCAGAACATCCTACAACGTAAACACAGTTGAGCGATTCATGAAAGACAGAAACCCTACAAACCCACACACACATATTCCCAGAATGCAAAATTACCATCAGCCTTTCGATGGTAAAAATACCTTGCTTAGAATAATCAACCCTTGCTGAGTAAGTGGAAACTGTGCTGTGATCTTACCTCTAATTTATAAGCTTCATGGATTAAGGTGACAGGTAACTGAAATGTTTCCCCATGGCCTCTCAGTCTTGCTACTTGGTTTTCAAAGTTTTGCAGCTCCAAAGCACAGGCATCAGTTTTCTGCATTTTAGGACAAAATAAGCTATTAGGAACAGTTCTGTTCCATTACATTTCCTATTATCACTAGTATGGCAGCAGATCCAGGGGCTGGATCTCTGCTGTGCTAGTACCACGTTAAGTTCACAATGAGACCCTGAGATACAATGAGCTTATAAGCTAAATAGACCAGACTGTTCATGCCTCAGCTTCCTGGGTGCACATGACACAGCCAGGAAGGGAATTCAGGTCTTGGGTCTCAGTCCAACATCCAACACTCATTTCAGTTTACTAATTCAAGAGCAGCCATTAAAAGGAATCACGGACTCAGAAAATACCATTTTTTCTTATGAATTAGAAAAACTTGGTTAGGGATGGACTGAGACAGGTTCTCCCTGAAGGGATGGAAGTTACGTACTTCTAGCATTCCTTTTCCAAGAGTGGGTACTTGACAGAAGCAGGCCTGAATATCCTTCCAATATCTGAAGGGAGCTACAGGAGAGCTGGGGAGGGACTCTTTGTCAGGGGGTGGAGTGACAGGACAAGGGGTAACGGTTTTAAACTGGAAGAGGGGAGATTTAGATTAGACACCAGAAAGAAATTCTTTCCTGTGAGGATGGTGAGGCACTGGAACAACTTCATCCTGCCCAGGGAAGTCGTGGCTGCCCCATCCCTGGAGGCGTTCAAGGCCAGGCTGGATGGGGCTTTGAGCAACCTGGTCTGGTGGGAGGTGTCCCTGCCCAGGGCAGGGGGGTTGGAAATGGGTGATCTTTAAGGTCCCTTCCAACTCTAACCATTCTATGATTCTATGAATATATCTAGGGGAGCAGTCCCTTCTAGGGGATCCAGCAGCTCTGAACGTAGCTTTCAGCTTGGCAGAAGGTCATGTCTGTAAACAAGTTTATGAGCTCATAATAAAACAAAAGTTTCGGGACCCCTCTTTTCTTCACCAACAAGCAGATAGATGGGTGATGACCATTCTGGAGAGGATATGCAATCTGTTCATTTTTAATTCTCTGCTAAACCCTATCAAGGTTGAAGATAATAACTTAACTGGTCAAATGCCCTATTTTAAAGTGCTCATAAGTGCCGAAGGAGTAGATATAAATACTGGAGTACTATTCCCACAAAGAAAAGCTCATTTTGCATATAAAAAGGCATAACGTGTGAAAAGCTGTACTTTGCATAGCTCTTTTTCTTCCCTGCTGTAGTGTAATTGCTCTGAGAGGTTGTGGACAGACTGGTTCCTCCACTCCAACTACTAAAAGGACTCAAATTAGGTCTCCCTATGGATTGAGGTGTAGTTAAAAAAAAAAAAAAAAGAAAGAAAGAAAGGTGGCAAATACTGAACTTTCTCCTTCTCCCATTCTTCAAACCTAAGTGAGACTCAAACTTTAGAAAATATGAAACTTAATGGGTTGCAAAAAAACTGGAAATAATAGCTAATGCTGAGAGTTTTTCCTCTCCTTTCCTTCGAATGAAATTACCTGAAGCTGTTCAGAAATATTATGTCCACGTATTCCATTCAAGCACTGTTGCAGAGCAGCTTTTTTCTCAGTTAACTCATCATAGAGCCGCCTGGTTTCATTCTGCAAAAGAAACAAACATCACAGGTATATTACATATCAGGAACATCATAATGACTAGACAAAATTACACAGCAAACAAAATAGTTACCTCTTAGGGCAAAAGCACTTTTTTCCTCTTTAAAAAAAAACCAACATAAAGTATGCACATTATGGGCTAAATGCAGTAATTGAGGGAGAGTCTGTGTAGTGTAAGAAAGCAGATTACTCTGTCACAATGATCCTCTACGACCATAAAAAATTGGGAAACTTATAGAGAAACAAATTCTTCTTTTCTGAAAATGAGAAATTGGGCCCATTACTGAGGGCTGATGGAGCTCCGTGAATTCTGCATAAGTAAACATTGCAAGACTAGTCCTGCTACTGTTTGGAGACAACATCTCAGCGTTCTTCAAAGGAACTGTTTTATTATTCAGCAGTAAAGAGCTAGGCTGACTTGCAGATGAGGAGCACACGAGAGTTTTGCTGGACATTGGAAACTATATTTCAAAGACCAGGCTTTTCTTTCCTTACTTCAGCCTAAATACCTCATCTGAGTATTTTCCAGCAATAGCTAGTAGATTTAGCCCATCCCGAGAACCTATGGAAAAGTTTCTCATAATCTGCTCTTCTGAAAAAGAACCAAAAAAATGCAAATTCACAAAACTATGGCTTCTGCTACTGTGGCACAAAATTTAAAGGAACAGCAAATACAAAGTGTCAAATCAACATCCAATACATAGCTAAAAGTGGCCCAGTGCCAGAAATGGCACCAAAAGGGAGCGAGTCCACACAGCAGCAGAAAGAATATACAAAACCCTCCTTGGCCTAATCCCTACACACAGAAACTTGCTTTAGCCTGTAGCTCCGTGTACACGGGATCCCCGGTTACATCCATCCTTTCTACATGCAAACTTTCTACTGTGATCAAGGCCTCAAAGGCAGCGAGCATTACAAACAGCACTGTAAACTCCAAAAATTAATTTGTTTCTTCAGAGGCCAAGACAAGTTTGTTTAGTACAGGGGAAAAAAAAGAAAAAGAATAAAGAAAGTCCATTATAGATTGCTCATCTGTAACCCAAATGCATTAACACTGCCAAGTCTAACAGATGCTACGAAACAAGATGTGCATTTGGCAGTGGAGTACCTGATAATTGCTATTATGATCCAGCCCAGCTTTCACAGAGCTGCTCCTTGAAGCCGTGGCAGCCTGAGTTTGTTCCAGCCGTGCCTGCAAGTTGTTAAAGCACTCGCAGAACACATCTGTGCTCCCACCAGCGCAGCTAATAGACTTTAGAAGGTCATCCTTTCTATCACTCAGGTCAGCATGAAGTTTTTGCAGCTCAACAGAAAGAGTCTAAAGGGTTGAAAGAAAGATAATGTGAGTGAAAACGGTCTCTGTCCGAAGATTCTTGCCTGTAAAAAGCAGCAGGACTCAAGTCAATAATTGTTGTTGAAAGCCATAGGCCCAAATCTGTTCAATAGCAAATAGTTTGGTGGAATTCTTCCTGAAGAATAACAGAAAAACAGAGAGGAAATATCAGGCCATATATATTCCAGAAATCCATTGGGGTTTCTTGTTCCCTCAATGCTTTAGGACAGTTACCTCATAAAGAGCTTGCTGCACTGCTGCCTCTTCAGTGGAGAGGACTGAGGTGTTTAACATCTCCTCCATGTTATTCAAACATCGGCTGATTGCCAGAAGCAGCTCAAACAATTTTCTGTCCAAATTGGAAGAGACTTCCTCTGCCACATTATCCTGGGTAAAGGCAAGTCAGAATTTTTCAGTACTTTGACCCAAGGCATGGTTAAGATTTATTCACTTGTATAAGGTTAGAGGTTCAGTCAGCTAATAATAAAATCAAATTAATGCAATACTAAGGACAAAGTTCATGAGACATTTATATGCATGTAATATTCAGAGCCGTCAAGCTCAAAGCTGAGCCAATGACCTTTGAGGTATTGGGAGTGGCTGTGGTCTCAAAGGTCTCTAATCTCAGGAATGGGCACAATACAGTATGTCTTATCAGCTCCAACACTGCAGATTTACTGAAATCCTTCACAGGCTCCTTGCTTTAGGTAGCAGAAGTATCATAGCTGAAACCTGAAAGGTTTCCTCTCAAAATCCTAAGGTGATTTCTACGTTATAGTCCCTACCTGATGCAAAAGCTGCACTACAGTGAACACCATTTGCAGTGATGTGGTTATTGGCTTTTTCCTAGTGGCCAGACAATGTCTTGTGTCTAGAATTCCTGATACTTTTTGCAATGCTAGGACATGCCATTTTTACCTGTGCATGCATCGCATTTGCTTCTTGGCTAAGGTCTCCCAGCTGGACGGTGAAAGTTTTCAGTTCTTCCACAGTTGGGGTTCCTGCACTAGCGAACGCGCCTCGGGGCAGCACGTTCACCTTTGTTGTAATCTAGTATTTGGAAAACAAACATTGCAATTAGGTGAAGAGCTCATATGAAGACAAGGCTACAGGCAACTAGATAACACTCCTCTCAAAAAGCATGAAAATGAAAATTTCAAGGCATTAATATAAGGCACCTGGATAGCAGGGTTCCCCGTTCTACTAGCAAAAATTAGTTGGGTGGGCTATGCCCTAATGGGAGGTTGACCAAGAAAAGGGTCCTCTGATTCCAAGCTTTAAGGGCTACAAGTTGTGCGTTGTGTTAAGGCAGCCCTGCTGCCCACTGCAGTGTAAGTCCTGCCTGAAAAAGAAGGGCTGACATTCACCCTTCTACAAGACTGATATTCTTCCATGTAACGCAGTAGTTTCAGAGAATGGGGAATCTAGTCATTCTAACTGAATGCGAACAAACCCCTTAGTAACAGAAATGATAGTTTTGCATAAGCAGTAAAATTCTGTTGCCTGCTCAGAACAAATACAGGTGCTCTCGTTGCAGTCCAAACTCCACTTTTGATACGTGAGAAAGAGAGAACACAATGGAGAACGGCAAAACAAAATATAAACCAGAGATTTGTTTTGGCCAAAATATTTTCACTTGGAAGAACTGAGACTTACCTCACATCCATGACAAACAGTTGGGAGCTTGCTGGCTAACTCGCTCAGCTCTCTTGAAAGAATTATACAGATAATATCTGGTCTGATTGTTAACTATAAGTATTCACCTATATGCTCCCATACTATTCTTAGTAGTCACTACTTCAGAGACGTTATTTATCTCAAAGTAAAATTAAAAGACAATCATGAACACAGTATAAAGAAAAAATTTCCTCTGGAGAGCGCTCGCATAGATTTCAGTTACCTGATGTAGAGACATGAAACAATGATGCAGGAAGATACACTAATTGCTATTTAATTGCTACAACCAACCGCCTGCAGAAGTGTTTTACTGAATATAAACGGACCTGAGGTTCCACAATCTGGCAGAGAGGAGACTTCATCTTCGATGACAGCTCTTCCTGTAAATATTGCCATTTATTACCCGTTTGGTCCTTTGGAGTTAAGGTAGGATCAGCCTGCTTGCTCTTTGGATCAGATTCTCCATTGCTGTACGGAGAAAACGTTACAATGGCAAATACTGAAGCAGAATAAGCAAAATTAGATTTGTAAAGTTTCTTGTATAGGATTAGTTTCTAATGCCTCAAAACCCGTGTGAAACCAAATGCATGGATGACATTTAATCCAAGCTTTGATACGTTTCTTTGGGCTTTTCCCTTCCCATGAAAGGGGCCAGCTGGCAGCCTCCATCTCTAAAATGACACTATGGGGAGCACAGCCCTGTCACATGTCTTGGTTCCATGCTGGGAGGTGCACGATCCCAATGTTCCCTTTTCAAAAATGCTGCCTTCAAACGTGACTGGGTGTCTCCATCTGTTTGTACAATAAAGGCTGTGAATAGAGATACCTAAACTTGCCTCCAGACAGGCCTGCTTTAGTTTATGGCAGGTGTCAGTCCTGCCCAATAACAAGACTGATTCTAAAAACTGGAGTCAGCCCAGTCTCAAAGAGGCCATCACATAAACCATACTCCATTTCTCTAGACTGTTGATGGCAGAAGTGTCCCAGAGGCACATATTCCTGCACAGAACCAATGGCGACACTGCGAAGTTTCAGCAGGTTGAGGCAGTTTTACATCACTGAATTTGGGAACTGATTGTGTTATTTTGTACCTTGATTCCAATTTCTGAGTCACGCTGTCTTCAAACTGCGGCTGCATTTTTTCCACGCACGACTCAATGAAGTCCATGAGGCTTTTCTGCTCTGCTGCTTTTGCTTTCAGATCCTGTGCACAGAGAACAGCGTGAACAGTCAAATCAGTTGTGTGCACTGTATTAATCTGAAATGATGCCTGTGCTTTTCCAGTCACATTATACATTAATTCACTTAGTAAAGAAAACCAAAGTACATCAAAGAAAAAATTTCCTCTGGAGAGCGCTCGCATAGATTTCAGTTACCTGATGTAGAGACATGAAACAATGATGCAGGAAGATACACTAATTGCTATTTAATTGCTACAACCAACCGCCTGCAGAAGTGTTTTACTGAATATAAACGGACCTGAGGTTCCACAATCTGGCAGAGAGGAGACTTCATCTTCGATGACAGCTCTTCCTGTAAATATTGCCATTTATTACCCGTTTGGTCCTTTGGAGTTAAGGTAGGATCAGCCTGCTTGCTCTTTGGATCAGATTCTCCATTGCTGTACGGAGAAAACGTTACAATGGCAAATACTGAAGCAGAATAAGCAAAATTAGATTTGTAAAGTTTCTTGTATAGGATTAGTTTCTAATGCCTCAAAACCCGTGTGAAACCAAATGCATGGATGACATTTAATCCAAGCTTTGATACGTTTCTTTGGGCTTTTCCCTTCCCATGAAAGGGGCCAGCTGGCAGCCTCCATCTCTAAAATGACACTATGGGGAGCACAGCCCTGTCACATGTCTTGGTTCCATGCTGGGAGGTGCACGATCCCAATGTTCCCTTTTCAAAAATGCTGCCTTCAAACGTGACTGGGTGTCTCCATCTGTTTGTACAATAAAGGCTGTGAATAGAGATACCTAAACTTGCCTCCAGACAGGCCTGCTTTAGTTTATGGCAGGTGTCAGTCCTGCCCAATAACAAGACTGATTCTAAAAACTGGAGTCAGCCCAGTCTCAAAGAGGCCATCACATAAACCATACTCCATTTCTCTAGACTGTTGATGGCAGAAGTGTCCCAGAGGCACATATTCCTGCACAGAACCAATGGCGACACTGCGAAGTTTCAGCAGGTTGAGGCAGTTTTACATCACTGAATTTGGGAACTGATTGTGTTATTTTGTACCTTGATTCCAATTTCTGAGTCACGCTGTCTTCAAACTGCGGCTGCATTTTTTCCACGCACGACTCAATGAAGTCCATGAGGCTTTTCTGCTCTGCTGCTTTTGCTTTCAGATCCTGTGCACAGAGAACAGCGTGAACAGTCAAATCAGTTGTGTGCACTGTATTAATCTGAAATGATGCCTGTGCTTTTCCAGTCACATTATACATTAATTCACTTAGTAAAGAAAACCAAAGTACATCTATCAGAACAAAATGCAGTTTACGTGTAAACATGAGTTTACCAAACAACCCGTTTTCTGAAAACGGTGTATTTTTATGGAATATATTTATGCCTGAGCTAAAGATTTAAAAGCAAAAACCATCAGTCAGATACAAATTATGCACATGTGGAAATTTAAAGACCATTGACTGCCATCCTTATACAGAGAAAAAGGCAAGGGGGAAAATGGGAATTTCCTCAAATATGAGGTTGAGTTCGAGTTCCATTAGTTAAAAAGAGAGCGTCAAGTGAAAAGTGAGCAATTTTACCAGTGCGGGCTGGCTCATTTTCTTCAACTCTTTTCTAACAGCACGAAAAGGACAAAACCTAGTTTTGAGTCAGCAAAACAGAGGTAGTTTACAGAGCACAGAACATCATCGGATTTTTTTTTATTGCACTAACAACAACCTTAAAGTCATTGTGAGTTAGCCCATGGGAAAATGCTCACACAGCTTTATCTTCAAATTCGTCTCCAAAAACAATGTCCATATATAGATCCAGATTTCAAAATAAATCAATGCTTCAAAGACAGGAGATCGGAAGGACAGGTGATGCCATCTGAATCATTATGAGACAAGACAAGTGTCAGGGTACCATCCACCTTCATAGTATTACTAAACCTTTTGGGCACAGGATTTTAGGGGTGAGGCCTTTCTCCATCCTAACAAACTCCCCTAAATCCTGAGGAGAGGGATGGCCAAAATCTGCCCCTCACAGACTTGATCCCAGAGTGGAAATTGCAGGAGGTATTAAAGGCAGCCCACACCCACAAGGGATATGCAGCAGCCGGGCTCCTGGACGGTAGGAGAATTACCTGTGGGTGCTGGCAACTGTTGTGCCGAACGAGCGGCTGGGGCACGCTGGAGTCATTTGGGTGTAAAACCTCAAGGGGCTCTGGGTCGATTCTGTTCCTGTTGTGACTCTGTAAAGAGAAACCCGTTGTGGGAAGGCTTCCAGACTTGACAAGAGGGCAGAACCTGCAGGGGCAGTGTGGGGAAAATGGCGAAAGCGGAGCCGTCTCAGACATCCCATACACAGACTCTGCAGTGCATCAAACACAGTTGCTGCCCTTGCAAAGATTTCCATCCAGTTCCATTTACTGACAGTTTGATCCATTCTAACCTGCTGCTAAAGCCCTCACATTTCTCTCCCTGACAGTTACAGGGCTGGTTTGGCTCTTCCTGTTAGCAGATTAATTGAGACTAACCCTCATTTCTTGTTGTCTGACCAAATTATAGGGATGTGCAATTCATGATTGTAAGTTTGCTCATCCACCTGGATTTTCTATCTGTCTGTGCTCACGGGGACAGTTCAACAGGAGCCTTTACCAGTGCCAATGTTCTCCTGGGCCATGCAAGCTCCCTCTTAGACTGTGCTCCTCCAGCACTAGAGAGACTGTGGCTGCTTTTACACAAACACATTAGGTGCGCTGCCCTTGAAAAACAGAGTGGGAATTGGCTCTGAAGCTGGGATTTATTGTCTCATCCATTGGGAAACTCAGCAAAGACTGTGCAGCTGTGGCACAGGAGAACTGGCAGAGTCACTGCCCTTGCCACTGATGCATTATTGAAATAGGGAGTTACTGCTTAAGTGCCTCTGCTGCGACACTGTCACAGACAAACACCATGGCATTTCAAAGGCATTAAAAAAAAACAGAAGACGACACAACCAAAACAAAACACTCCCACTTCTTATCCCTTTCCTGTACTCCTCACAAGATCTTAACCTCTGTCACTGAGCACTTAGAGAAGAAAGGATGTTGTTCAGAGATTCATTAAAAATCCACTACTTGCTGCAAAGTACAAATAATTATACAGCACTGTAAAGTAGAATAACAGCAAGTCTGACATTTCTGATTGACTTTTTTCCCTTCCTTGCTTCACATGGTGACCTCTAACTGTTCTTCTGCAACTACAGCACGTTAAAGCACCGTGACTCTCTTTTGCTCTGCACAGCATTCATGTGCTATACCTGCTCTTCACTGTATCTGTCTTGAAGCATCGCCTGGACTTTTTCCAAATTGCACTTCACTTCCTTCAGCTTCAAGGAAAGCGCCTCTGTCTCTTGTTGGTACTGTGCACTACCTCCACAGTCTTTCCATAAAGAAAGGACATTCTGTTCAATCTCTGACAACACCACCTAAAAGGGACAGCAGTCAATTATTCATTCTTAGAAGTACAACGCTCCTTTCCTGTTAACATTCTGAAGGCAATGCTCACGCCTCCCCTGTCTGAAGAGAACACAAACATACAGGCAAAAAGAGAAATAGCTGCAAACACCCTAGAAATTCTCCAATAGAGTATCTTTTGATTCTGAACAATCAAATAAAATGTTTTCAAACAACAGCTTCTTCGGGGAAGTTATATTAACTTCAGGAATTTTATTAACTCAGATACAGAGTTATAAACTCAGATATGGACTTATAAAAGGGGGCAGCAGAAACGATAGACTCCCTTTGGATGCAACCAAGAAGGCAACACACACCAGTGGGGGAGAAGGAGGCAGTGCACAGACCGCTCGCATCACACTTTGGGATGAATGATGCTGAATTAATGTTAATTATTAATGTTATTAATGTAGTGTTATTAAAGTCATTGAATTAATGTTACCATGTGTCAGCCAGGCCATTGTAAACCGTTGGGGTCTGGTTTTGATCCAAGCTGCTGTAAATCCAAGTGCATCTCTGCATTATTTTAAACTCATGTTTTTAAGGTGACCTGGAGACAGGTACCATGACTCAACTGCAAAGCAATACATTAACTGCTTTACATCAAAAAAATATTCCTTTTTTTTTTTCTAGCTGATTTAGGATGAAGAGATCAATGAAGAATTGCTTTTTAATAGAGGATTCAAAATTCTGAAAATAATCCAAAAAACCCAAAGCTTTAAAAATACTCGAGTTCTACCTATATCCCCCAGGGTGCATAAAGATCCCTATTGTAAAAATAGGTATTTTAACTAAGCCCTCGGAAAGTTGCACCTGAAACTGAAATCAGGGGGTTATCTGTTTTCTGCACAGTGTAACGAAGCCGATTAAGTGAGGAGAGAAGCAGGAAGCGTAGCTCTTCTGCAGACACACACACACCCCCCCAGGGAAAGGCAGCTTGTTGGGATGGCAGCAGCAAACTGACCCCTCCTCCTTACCTCGCAATCGGCCAGCTTCTGTTCCACCATCTGCTGCATTTTGGGGGTCTGGGGGTCTGACCCCAAGGACACTTTAGTTTTGTCTAGGCATTCTTCCAGCTCAGCAACCTGGGCCTGGCACGCCTGGAGGATCGTTTCTGGCTCAGGCCTCCCACCATCCACCGCTTCGGGAGGCAGCGTGTCACTCTGAAGCAAAGCACATGAAAGAAAGAACCACAGTTAGATATCTGGTTTTTTGGTTTTGGTCTTTTTTTTTCCTTTCTTTCCCCTCCCCTTACCAGTGGGAAATGTTTTAACTTTCACACTCACAGAGCTCCGAAAGAACTCCGCAACCGCCTTCTCAGATTAAACAAGAAAAAAAAAAAAAGGAGGAAAAGAGAAAAAGAAAGGGAAACTCAGCAGCCAGGCGATCCCGGATCTGGTGTAACAGGTTTCCAGGCGGGATTTGCATTCGCTCAGGTACACCTGAGCGCACAGGATATGGGATGACTCACCATTAACCAGTTCTCCCCTGAGGAGAGATGTTTTGCTGTGGGAGTTAGATGTGAAAACGAAGCAGTTTAAAGCTGCAAAGCAAGCTTTTGGGTAATGCTTATAAGCTACTCACATGGTTGGTTGCAAAAGTTAAATATCTTTGTTCGGGCTTTGTGTCACACAGAAAAAATGGTGTATTTTTAAGTATGTCTTGTGTAATTCTTTATACTTGTAATAAGTAATAATTATTAAAGTGAATTCTTTGTAATAAGGAGAAGTACTTGGAGATATCAGCAGTCGCTTGGAAGGCTGTACAAGGTACGTATACACCTCCAATACCAGTACTTGGTAAGTAAATCAAGCACACCAGCACAAGAACAAAACTACCTGGACACTCCCACGGCTCTAGAGATGGTGTCAGTGGCAGCACACAAGCTCCGTATTAAAATGAGATTCGGCAGAAAAACAGAGAGCAAAACTGCATCGTTTCATCTATCAATGTCTTACTTTAATCATTACTGTTCTTGTTTGTCTCTAAGATGGTCAGGCATTGGAATAGGCTGCCCAGGGAGGTGGTCAAGTCACCATCCCTGATTGTGTTTAAGAGTCGTTTAGATGTGGTGCTGTGGGATATGGTGTAGGGAAGAGCTTTGTAGAATTGGTAGCTTTGTAGATGGTTGAACTCAATGATCCCAAGGGTCTTTTCCAACCTCAATGACTCTACAATTCTATAAGACAGTATGGGACAGCGTCATTAAACACAGAAAGTCAATCTGAGTGTACAGATCCCAGAGCAGTCTAGAAGGTCTTGCGAGGTAGACATGACCGAAAAACTAAAAAAATACCAGTTTACTTCACTGAAATTCCACCTGAAATTCCCACCTCTAGTTCTAAGCCTGTTTGTTTTAGTTAATTCAGTTAAATAACAAAACATTACACACATATAATACTGTGCACAACCACCTTTCGTCACACATGGATGTGTACACAAGGATTTAGTTTACACTTACAGCATGCCCGGCCACTCCCCAGCCAGACATTGTTACTGTCGTAAAGTCTATCCCCTTCCTCTACAGAAATAGACACTGAGATAGGTAGTCAAATCAGTTCACTAAAACAAACTGGTATCATCTGTGCAGGTGTTCATGCACATGGCATGCATTTGTGTGCTGAGACCATGGAGATGCCACGAAGTGGACAATTACAGTGGCACAACTAAAATACAGTAGAATCACAGAATGGTTTAAGGTTGGAAGGGTCCTTTAAAGAGGCAAGGATATCCTTCACGAGATCAGGTTGCTCAGAGTCCCATTCAACCTGACCTTGAATGTTTCTAAGGATGAGGCATCTACCACACCTCTGGGTAACACGTTCCAGCGTTTCACCACCCTCAGTGTGAAAAATTTCTTCCTTGTATCTAGTCTAAATCTACCTTCATTTAGTTAAAAACCAGTACTCCTTGTCCTATCTGAACAGGCCCTGTTAAAAAGTCTGTCCCCATCTTTCTTATAAGCCCCCTTCAAATATTGAAAGGTCCTAATAAGGTTTTTTTAAGAAGGCACTTTCCCAGGGGGTCCTATTAACTAACTCCTTGAAGAGCTGGGAGTTTGCTTTCCTAAAATTCAGGGTCCTGACTTTACTCTTTGCCTGACCCATATCTTTCAGGACTGCGAACTCCACCAGTGTGTGATCACTGCAGCCCAGGCTGCCTCCAATCTTGCTGTCACCAATTAGCTCACTTGTGTTGGTGACCAACAGGTCCAGTAATGCTTCTCCTCTGGTGGGACTGTCTATTACCTGGCTTAAGAAGTTATCCTCCGTGCATTCCAGGAGTCCCCTGGACTGCCTATAGAATTAATAACAGCGATGGAGACCTCAGATACCACCTCCAGAAAACAGAGGGAAGGTGGAAAACAGCCGGAGAGAGCAGCAAAATCCTCTTCCTCTCCAAGTGGAAAGTCAAGGCATTAAAAAACAGGGGAGGCAGTGAATTGAGGGAGCAAGTCACACCTGGAATTGCAGGAAGGGATTCAGGCAGATGGGGCAGGAGGAAAGGTGGGCACGGAAGGAAAGATGCGGGCAGAAGAAGAATTAGTCACACGGGCTGGCTGTGTGTTCCTGCACAGAAAGCTCTCCTCTTCCCAGCCTCAGCCAGGGAGGTCCCAAAAAACACACATCAGGGAGGGGGCTTCTTTCAAAGTTTTACTTTTCCATCAGATGTCAGCAGGATGAGAGCCTGCAAGTGTGATGCCTCCTGTGGCTGGAGGCTTTGTCAATAGACACCCCTTGATCGGGCACCCTGTAGATACCAACCACAAGGTGCCCTTTGTTGCCTCAGTCTCTTAATTCTTACTCATAAGCTTTCAACCTGCTTGTGCCTATTTGTCAGAGACAGCTCTTCACAATCTATCCACTTCTTGATGCAGAGGGCACCCCCTCTATCCATCCTGTCTTCCCTGTTCCTTCTGAACAGCCTGTAGAATCAACAGCTGCATTCCCTCACGAGATTCATCCCACTGAGTTCCAGTAATGGCAACTAGGTTGTAGTTTTCTATTAGCATGGTGGCTTCCAAACCCTCCTGTTTGTTGCCCATGCTGTATGCATTGGTGTCAAGGCACTCCAGCTGGATTGCTGGCCTTGTCATTTTCTTAGAGGAACACCCTTTAATTCCTTTGAGGTGTTTCCATGGTGTTTCCCCATTAACTCCTATTAACTCAGGAGTCCCTGGCTCATCTTCATAAGACTTCAAGTGTCCTCCAGTGTGCCCAGCACGTCTCAGAGCAGCAGGCTGAGGGCCCTTGCTAACACCCTCTAGGGGTGCACCTCGGTGTTTCATCCCACAGCTTTTCATGGACGAGCCCGACAAGCTTAGTTTAAGCCTAGTTTAAAGCTCTGTCAGTCAGCCCCACTAGCTCACCAGCAAAGATCCTCTTCATCCTCCTTTGAGAAAGGTGAGTCTCATGTCATTTCCCCTAAACAAAGCAGCTTGAATGTCTCCAACACTCACAAGTACCAGGCCTTCTGCTCAAGGAACTGATAAGGCTAACACCCGCTTATCTCTTGTGTAATTCATGAGAGAGAGAAAAAATTCTCATCCTCCAGGCAGGAAGACAGTCTTAGACAGAGAATCACCCTGGTTTTTGTCTCTTGCAGGGCTACCTGTTTCTTCAGAAAGCTGCTATGCCTCGTGGTGACCTTTGCCTCCATTATCCGTGAAATGCCTATTAAAGTTCACACCCCTGCACATGCTAACGAAGATTATCGAAATCACGCTAAATGTATGTGACTGTAGCTCTCGTCTCCCCACCAAAATCATGCTGTGTGCTACTCCTAGGGGTGGGCAAACAAAAAAAGGGGACGACTCCTGGAGAGAATTTTTTGCCTGAGAGTTGTTTTTTTTCCTGAAGGAGATTTTTCCCTGGGGATACACAGAAGAGCGCTCTTATGGCCCTGTCAGCTGGACCGAGCTGGAACCAGGACAGCTTCATCTATCCCTCTCAACCTCTTCTTCTCTATCCCGTTGTTTCTTTTATTTTCCTTTTCTCTTTTCTTTCAAAGGAGGAACACAGGGCATACCGTACTGCTTGTCACAGCTCATTGTATACCTGTTATTAAGTACCACTTGCCATAATTTGTTGTATACCTGTTGCTAAGTAATGCAAGGCATACCTTACCGCTGGCCATAATTTGTTATACACCTAACCAATTATTGCAGACCTAGTTAAGACATATATTAATCACTGTGGGAATCTAATAAATGTTTGCATAGGGACCTTGAGAGTTGTCTCACCTTAGTCCACACTGCTGGGGATTTGCAAATCTGAGTCACTTACATCTCCCCCCGGCCCTTTGCTGAGTGGGACATGACAGCCAACAAGGCTGGTGTTGTGTAGGCCATCCCATCACCAAAAAAACCCAAAACTGTGGTGGTGGTGACACCAGCCACATAACCGTGTATTTACAGACTGGGTCCATGTTTTTCTTCCAGTTGTTGCTGCCCACAACTGGAAGGATAGAGAGAAAAATTACCTGAGCTCCAGATTCCCTTACCAATTACCCCAAGGCCCTGAAGTCTCTTTTGGTTGCCCTTGCACTTCATGTTGCGGCTCCATCACCACCCATGTGGAAGAGCAACAGTAGGTAATAGTCCAAGGGCTGAAGCAGGCTAGGAAGTTTCCTAGTGATGCAGGCTTCCCTAAGAGGAGGGACTGCCTGGCATATTGGACCCTCTGTTTCCCTCAGAAGGGAGTCACCTACAACTACAACCTGTCTTTTCTTCCTCATCCAGTAATTCAAATGTTTCTCTGAATCCTAAATTGTGTTTTAGGCTGCTATCACTGAATTAGGAAGCAGGTATGTTTGCATGGGAGGGACAAAATGCCAGAGGGAGGAAATGGTATCATTTAGCAATCACTGAGAGAGTAGGAATTAATTTTAGCATGCAGTTAAGCTCTAAATGGAGAACATAATCAACTTCATAAATCTCTACATATACACACGTCTCTAAGGTAAACAAATAGATTTATCATGTATAAAAATAAATGTCTCCTCCCTTCTACTACAAGGAGCCGTGTAGGGTATGGAAATGCCACCGTATAGAAAAACACTGAAGTGGATAAGATGCTGCAAGCAAAAAAGCCCTCTGGTAGGGTTTGAGAAAGGAGGCCTTCTCTAAAAAACTTGTCTGCTTGAGTAGAGAAGGACCCTGGCTTACAGACCGACAGCACTCTCTCCACCGAGTTGCTGCATCCAGCTCAAGGATCTGCTCCACTGAATTTCTGTATCACTGGGTCCCACCACCTGAAGGCAAGATGCTGACAAAGCACAGTGGTGGCACGTAGAGGTGCCAGGAGGGTGTATGCTGCCTCGTAAGGCTCCTGGAACCCCAAAACATTCAGCTGGAGGTTAAATCTCTTGAACACTGGTGTCTAAAATCCTATTATCCTCAATGGAGAGTGCAGCCAGGGGTTCAGCTCAGACTAACACGGGCAAGCGTTCACGGTGGTTGTGCAGTGACTACATCTCCTGTGGCTGCAAAGGGAGCTTAGACATGTCCTGCACACACAGACACCAGCAGTATCACAGTGCAGCAGAGAAAAAACACAGGGAGATCACATGTACAATTACATCATATATAACACACTCACACGAGGCTATTTCTTTAGTACCAATACAGAATATATTGTGCTGCTGGCTGGGTTTTAATAGTTTTCTGTGGTTTTTTTTTTTAACTATAAGTTAAAGGTTAAGTATGATGAAAGAAGTCAGAGGAAGGGGAGATAAAGTGACCTGGGAGCCTGCTCCTGCCTCAGGCAATGACAGATTCTGTCTTCTTTCCATGCTCTAAACCCAGGGAGAGCTGAGGCTGTCCTGCTACCTGTCTGCTACTCTTGGCCTTCCTGGAGCACTCATGTCTGCCTCCATACACTCTTTTGTATAACCTATAGGCTTTCTGCATAACCCATAGGCTTTGTGTAACCTATAGGCTGCTGCCCACTCCTCCCTTAGCCTGTGCATACCTCCCACAAAGCAGAACATATAGGAGTGTCAATCTCCTTAATTTCTCCTTTAACTGCTACTTAAAAATCCCATAGTTGATGCATGTTCACATCACTTAAACCCCTCCATTCATGCTTGTAAGAAAGCCAGCATCTTACTTCCTGAAAGTACTCCGGTTTGTTCCCTAGCAAAGTGCATTCTCAACAAGCAAATTAAAAATCTATTAATTATCAACCAAAGCAGCAACATAAAGAGGCCCACAAAGGGTTGCAGGTGTAACCTACTCAGGTCACCTTGTTCAGCCTACTTCATGCCCTCAAACTCACCATGGCTCGACTGCTGTCACCTCTGCCAGGGTCTTCAGTGCTCTGCAAAGGTCGCATAGATGTTTCCTTATCATGTGTACTGTGTGACTGCATTATCTCATCAACATCCTGCAAAGACAGAGGCAACAGTGGAAACACTTGTATCATTATTGACTCGTTTGCCAGAGAAGTCTCAAAGGGCAGCAGCCACTCAATCTGCAGTGGTCCTGACCTAAGAGCATTCACAGAGAAGTTCTCTTATGCCTGTAACTTTGTTACACAGAAACTAATTGCAGCTATCACAACATTATTGAGACACCACGAAGAACAGCATGCCTCCAAAATTGTAGCCAACTGGGTGTCTTAGATGCCAATCTTCTCAGGTACAAAGAAAATCTCTTCCACAAATCATCCCTCAACAAAATGTACATTTTGCAGCCTTTCTAGGAATTAGCAAAAGAAATGAGAATCCTATAATCATAGAATAGTTTGGGTTGGAAGGGATGTTCAAAGATCATCTAGTCCAACCACCCTGCAGTGAGCAGGGACATCTTCAACTAGAACAGGTAGCTCAGAGCCCAGACCAACCTGACCTTGAATGTTTCCAGGGATGGGGCTGCTTTGCTGCTTCCAAACGTGCATTTCTATCTTTGAGGTTTTTGTCAGTCTAGAAGAAACTAATATAGCGTCATAGAATTATTTAGGTCGGAAAAGACCCTTAAGGTCATTAGGTCCAACCAGTATGTGCAACAGGAAAAGAGACTTAAAATGCAAAATTTAGTGTGATATGGAAGGTGAAGGATCTGAATAAGGCTATTATGCCCTGCATTTCTACCATTCTCTTGCTCTGCAGACTTCAGCAATACCTAGTTCTTGTGCAGTTCTTTTCCACAAAGATGAGTTCCCATCCCCGTGGAGACAAACCTTAGCACATTACCTGAACGATGCCATCTGACAAGGTACCAGAAGACCAGGAGGTTGCACTGTCTTCCTTGTGCCTTTCACCACCTCTTTCTGAAGGCCAAAAGCTTAGATCTTTCTCTGTGGCTGTACTTCCCTTTGAAAGCAGTAACAGCTCAGCATTAGCTTGTGATCAGGAAGCTCAGATATTCCTTCAGGCAATGTGAATTACTGCAAACCTTTAGTAACACTTTGCTCTATTTCTGCCTTGTTTATCTATCTTTATTGCGTTTCCCAACTCCCACCTCTTCCCTTGCCCTATAGCTCTGCTGCAAGACGAATGGCAGCTCGATGACACTGACAGTTTTCTCTAGACATCTCAGAGTATCCTCAATTTTTCACACTACTTTAAAAAAATTAAGAATTACAGGAAACAACCTTTCTCCTGTTCTGTCCCCTAAAAAGCCCTGTATGTAAAGGAAACTGTACCAATGAAGCTGCAGAATCAGAAACCTTGAAACTGAAGTGTTTTGATCAGAGTAGTAAGACAGAAACTCTATCCAAGTTGTTTGGACATTTTCGCACTGCCATGCAGTTTCATCCTTGCCTAACCTAAAGCAACCCCTCCAATACTCTTATCACCTCTGCTGCAGGAAAGCATACAAAGGTTCACGGATTTTTCTTTGGTTGTTTAAGTTTTAGCACTTCAGAGGCTGCCTGAACCCCACCCCCACAAAGAAACACAAGCATTTAGGCCCGTATTTTGCCACTAACACTTCCATAAAGCGGGTATTACTGTATAAGCAATCCCACATCACAGAATGAGGTGCTGTGTCATATTGGTACTGTAATATTGGTAGACTGGCTCAAGAGCAAATTCTTAGTATCCTGGAGTGGTAACAGATATTTCAAATTATTCTGAAGTGTTTTGGATTTACACATTTTTCATAATTTGTCCTGTAGCAAAATCTTATATCTTACATATAATGCTATACATAATATATATATTGAACTCACCTTGCTGTGGGAAGAAGAGTCTTCTGATTCTTCATCTAAAGAAGGTAGAAGAGACATCATTCCTCTTTTTTTCAACTACGAAAATACACACACAGAGACAACCCAATTATTCATGACAAGAACAGTAAAAGCCTCTTTTCTGCTTGAAAACTGAAAGAAAGTTACCATTTCCAATTTTGGAGAATCACTGAACACCTCCCACCCTACATTAATGTAATTGAAAGCTGCAAGTACTAAGCACCTCTGAAAACTGGTACTTTTCCCTGTGCTGTAACATTTCAACATCACAGCTATAGTTGGGATACATTTTATTTTGCTCCATGGTGGTCTTGCTTTGGCAGGGGAGTTGGACTAGATGATCTCTATGGTCCCTTCCAACTCTAAAAATTCAGTGAAATTCAGTGAAAATACAATTTACCAAAAAACTCGGAACAGCTGATTATCAACAAAACTACACATCGAGCATTTTGCTGTTGATGGCTTGATGTGAACTTCATGTTGGATCTGCTCATGCTAAAAAACAGCCAGAGGCACATCTCTCTCCTGTCTTCTCCTAGACATGCATGATACTTAGTCCCTCTGGGATCACTAGGAAGCACCAAGGAGAGGAGAAGCAGTACTGATTCACAGCTGCAGGGGCACTCCTCTCTCAGGTGCTACTCCTCCTGGAGGAAGAAGGGCTATTGACCTTCCTTCTTTGGCTCTCAGGTAGGTGATCACAATGTAGTGCTCCACTTACCTGCTGACCAGAAACATCAGTCCCAATCAAGTCACTTTGTGCTAAGACAGAGGCTGTGGGTTCATCTCCTGATTCAGGCACTTCTTGCTGCAAGCGCTGGTGAAGCTCAGACATTGAATTCTTCATCCCGGTGAGGATATCTTCCTTTCGTTGGCACAGCTTTATGATTTCTTCTTTGACAGCTTCCATTTCTCCCTAAGAAGTAACAACATCTGTCAGCATCCATTTTTCTTAACCAAACAGTAAAGTAACAGGCGATACCAGTGATGTATCTTACTGGGACTGGGGCTATTTCCCCTTTTTCCTTTTTGGGGGCATTGGGGCAGTTCCCCATTGCCACTGCAGGAGATGTCCAGACACATGCAAAACAGCAGCAACAGGTTCAGCAACAGGACGGCGCTTGCCGCCTGTAATGCAGAAGTCAGTCGTCTGGAAGGAAGTGTGAAAGGCTGGATAACTAATTCTAACTGGGTCCTGCATAGCCATGGGAATACGGGTTTCCTTCAGGACAGAGGGAATGCAGCTGGGTGACATTACTCTGTGTGTCAGAGCAGGTGATGCTACTTCCAACTACCATCTCTGGCACCTGACACAAATCACTTGAGATAGCCTTGATGAGGGCAAAGACAGCAATAAGGGTATCTCAGGGCTGAGTCTTCTTTGCTGACACTGGCCTAAAAGAAGGAAAAATAAACCACTCGATGGGTTACAGTGAGATGGCTACGGACAAAACTACCCTATGTATTTGAATGTGATATTGGGAGCAATGGCCCCTAGCAAAGTACAAGAAAAATATTTAATGTTCTGCAGGGACTAAACAATAGCATAAGTAATTCTGCACTAACAAAAGGGGAAATAAATCTGTCTTGGTCTCCTCCCCTGCCCTTACAGCTTTCTGCAACTGCCTTTCCTTACCACCCAGTCTCCAGGTGAGCAAAGAAAGCACAACAAATCACAGAGTAAGACAGGAAAAGGAATAAAATGGCCTACTCCATTACTCAAGATTTTTGAAGCACTGTTGCTAGCTCAGAAAACTGAAACATGGCTAAATATTCCACTGCACGCTGGGCTCAGTCCACCAGAGCAAGGTTTGGTGCCAGGCTTAAAATAATAACAGCATGCTCTATCATGGAGTGAATAATGCTATGCAAGTAATAATCTGTGACAGATGAAAGCAGTAAAACTCTTGGTTCTGTTTTGACTGCAGCTTCTTCTGTTAATAACACTGGTGTGACTGCATGATGGGGAAGAGAACTTTCAAAGGACGTGGGAACTCTGCTCAGACAAGGATGTTTTTTCCTTTTGTACACTCAAAAACACAAGGAAAAATATTCAACAAGTAGAGGACAAAAAAAGTCATTGGAATGAAGAAACAGCCGTCCATGATTATTTGACATATTTTTATAAATGTCCATTAAGAACATTATGTCTATTTGTTTCATTGCAGGAGGAGACTTTACAGCATATGTTTACCAGCTTTGCAAACTTAGCTAGCCAAAAACTTCCTCAGAAGCCAAATCTCCATGAACACCACTTCTTCATCTGAAACCCCTCAACAAGATGGGCAATTCCATTGCCACGTCCATTCATTAAATGCTACAACTGTGAAATGGGGTTTTTTTTAGAACAAGAGCTATGAAACAGAGAGTTCTACATTCAAAGACAAAAACAAGGAAGAACGAGGAAATGAGTCATGCTTAGTACTAGCATCAAGCCTCCAACCACCTGGAAACAGAGCAGCTATGTACTTAGTAGCCTGCCAAGTGATTATAGTTATTAGACAAGTACAATGTATGTGTATTAACTTTATTGCGACTGACTGCAAAAAGCTGAGCACTTCAGAGGCACTTTATAAGTAGTTATTACACTTAGTTAGTCATTTCCTGATTTCTGCAGTGCTGTCCTGAAAACACAATCTTATTTTTGCATTAAATAATCAATTTGTCCATTACAGAAAGCAGCTGACTGCAAGGAGAAAAGCAACATGTGTTTATCAGTTGATGAAAACACAGTGTGGCAGTGAGGATGAGGAAAGGAGTCTAAAGAATCTAACCCTAACCAGAACCACCAAAAGTACCATTATATGGTCAGTGATCAGAATCAGTTCTCTCCTTATCCCAGGCTGCTACCTCAGTACCATTACCAGGATGCTGAGCACGGGCAAGCTATCAATGCTGCATATTGTTTCACCAAAACAGCTGTTAGCTGTCACAAAAACAACGCTCTAAATTTTTCTTAGAAGTTGAGATAGGTACGAATGACACATCAAAATCAATAAGGAGTATATTGAGAAAGATATACCCAGCTTGCAAATTCATATTAATTGTAGTATCTCTTGGTATATGTCAGTTTACATATGTGTAGTCATACTACAGCATTCAATTACCTGCCTGACTGTGGCAGGGAAGCACACTGCTGTTTCTCAGTACTCCGAGATGGAATGATTAGTGTTAGACAGGACAAGTAACAGACATGAGAGAGAAAACAATGCAACCCACCTCTGGACGATGAGTCTTCTGAGCCACTGGTTGATCTTCATGGGATATTTCAACCAAGTGGCTCTTTAAGAATTGTTTCAACTTCTCAATTTCTTGCTCGCATTCTTCTACTTTCTTTACAGCTTCCTGTGGAACAGTAATCCTCAATCAATTTAGAATTAAGTAGTACAGAAACAAACTAGTCAGAAATGCAACAAACTTATACCGAAGAGTACTGAAGCCTCCTTTGCATATGTAGTTAAATGTAAAAGAAACCGTGTTTGTTCTGCTAAGCTTGCGTAACTCTATCCTCACTAAGTTTATTATTCACTTGCTAAAGACAAACAAACTGCTCTATCCATAAGTGGAAGTATGGCAGGGTATTCCACCGAGGAGCACATCTTTGCTTATTCCAGACTAGAGCTATGAATATGGCTATAAAATGAAAATGGAGACATTTAATCACATTCACTACAATTTAGAATGGGTTGGGTTAAAAAAAAGAAAAAAAAAAAAGAAAAAGAGACATTACAAGGTTTCATATTAAGTTAGAAAGCCTACCTGGTATTTACTGGTGCTCACCTCTTTACTGCCAACCAGTTCTGCACTGACCAAAAAGGAACCGTGCAGTACACTGGGCAGACACTGCAGCTCAGAGGACAAGCCAACCACAGTATCTGACAATTTGAATACTTCCTATTAAAATGATAAGTATTTCCACTTCATGTAAGCTTCCTCTTCTTACATGACTTACAGGAAAACATATTATATATGTTCTAAACAGCCAAATTATTTTTAACTTTTACTCATTTGATAGTGACAGCAAAAATCTCATCAATGCCCATGCTTTTTGTTTGGGTTTTTGTTGTTTTGTTTGTCTGTTTGGTAGTGGTTTTTTTTTCCAGCAGCACCTGAACAGCCTGACAGGTGGAAAAATCTCCCTGCAAAGTGTACACAGACTCTGCCTTTCAGAGCAAAGAGTCTCCTGCTATCAACAGGAACGGTGCCCTTTCTTCAGCCACTTTTCACATAGCACCTGCTCTCAATAAAATGCAAACTAATAAAGTTTTAAAAGGAAGAAAACAAAAAACTATTTTCCCCCCTTAAAAAAAGAAAAAGCCAAATGGATTTGGAGAGGAAGATATTTAATTGTGGCCTATAATCTTAATGCCACAGTTAAGGAATCAAAGGACGAAAAAAAAAATAAAAATACAGTATGTCTTCTCCTGCGTGGTTTTAATGAGAAACTAAAAGTCCTTCTAAAAGGGAGATTCTCTTACCCACATCTTCATTTACACCTAAAAAGACTGTTTAGTAACAGGTAAAAATACACACTACCTCAAATTTCCTTGACTAATTAGAGAATATAAATGTTTTGTATACAGACTGCAATGTCTCCTGTCACAGGCCAATGTGAATATAGCCACTCGCCTGCAGATAACTCACCTGTCCCCTGCCTTCCACTGAGGGGCAAAAAAATCTTATTTTATGCTTTTCATAATATAATATAAATTATTCCACATATGTGTGACTGAATGTCTTCCTACAAGTGTTGCCCTTCTTTGAGTTATTTCCTGATTAGCATTTGCTCTTTACTTTTCATATTGTGCTAATACTAGAAGACCTACCCATTGTATTTGTTATGGAAGAGCTCACTAGAAACAAGCATGGTAAATCATCAGATATGCAAATACTGCCCCTCTCCTGCACAGAAAACCCATAGAAGCAGCTGTGGCTTCCAACTTCTCTTCCTGATGATGTTATTTAGGTAGACAGGTGTGGTCCTTGACAGGCCATAACAAAAACAGGTGGCAACTTTCAACACAGATCTAAGTCACCTGAAATCCTGCCCCAAAACATCCTATGATCCTATTACAGGATTACAAATCCTACCTATTACAGGTTTTGTTTCTGTTATACTTTTTCAGGTGTTGCAGTGTAACTTAATCATACAAAAGTTACAAGTGCAATCTCCTAATGCACCACCAATAGCAAAATATGGCCAAATGCACCTAAACACTACCATTTCAAAACCAATCCTCAGGAAAAAAAATCATAGAATCACAGAATGGTTAGAGTTGGAAGGGACCTTAAAGATCATCCAGTTCCAACCCCCTGCCATGGGCAGGGACACCTCCCACCAGACCACGTTGCTCAAAGCCCCATCCAGCCTGGCCTTGAACCCCTCCAGGGATGGGGCAGCCACAGCTTCTCTGGGCAACCTGTTCCAGGGTCTCACCACCCTCACAGCAAAGAATTTCTTTCTAAAGAAATCTAAATCTCCCCTCTTCCAACTTAAAACCATTACCCCTTTTCCTGTAGCTCCCTTCAGATATTGGAAGGCTGCTCTAAGGTCTCCCTGGAGCCTTCTCTTCTCCAGGCTGAACAACCCCAGCTCTCTCAGCCTGTCTTCACAGCAGAGGTGCTCCAGCCCTCTGAGCATCTTCGTGGCCCTCCGCTGGACCCGTTCCAACAGGTCCATGTCCTTCCTGTGCTGAGGACTCCAGAGCTGGACACAGCACTCCAGGTGGGGTCTTACAAGCGCAGAGTAAAAGAGTAGAATCACCTCCCATGACCCCCTGGCCACACTTCTCTTGATGCAGCCCAGGATGCAGGTGGCTTTCTGGGCTGCCAGTGCACACTGCCAGCTCATGTTGAGCCTCTCATCCACGAGCACTCCCAAGTCTTTCTCCTCAGAGCTGCTCTCCAGCCATTCTTCATACATATTTTATAGGAAACCTGCCTCCCATTTGCTTTCCTCTCTATCAGGGTATGTACTATTTTTCTAATGCAGCACTCAAAATGCCATCCTTTAATAGCTTTATCCTTTGTTATGTCTTAGCTGGTGCTAGACTTGTATTGTAGTACTGCTACCTTCAACCCATTCAACAGGACTGGGAAAAATCTTTTTGGCACAGTTTGATATCCTAACTACCAGGAATTGCAATTTTTCCAGTCTGTTTTCTCACAAAGAAATTTTCACTCAGCTACAGATTGCTGGATGCCTATTAGGTAAAGGCACATGCTAAGCAAAAAAAGGTCACAGCTGTTTCAAAAAGGAGAAAAATCTAAACCTTGACCTAATGCACCACATAAACCAGTTAAAAATCTCATGATAATGCTTCATAATTGCAAAGCTCCCTGTTTCTCACAGTTTAAAAGTGTTTCAAAAATTCTCAAGTATTTAATCTGGCAACTCGCTGAAAAAGGTACTTCTTACCACATCCGTTTTTCAGACATAAGGAATGGTATGGACTGAAAAAAAAGATCATAGGGACTGGCCCCATCCTCTTGACACCCCCCCTTGAAGTATTTATAAGCATTGATCAGATCCCCTCTCAGTCTTCCCCTCTCTAGACTAAAAAGACCCAAGTCCCTCAGCCTTTCCTCGTACGGGAGATGCTCCAGGCCCCTCATCATCTCTGTAGCCCTTAATGTTTCTAAGCATGGGGCAACCTGTTCCAGCGTTTCACTGCCCTCAGAGTAAAAAATTTCTTCCTTATATCTAGTCTAAATCTACCCTCATTTAGTTTAAAGAGGTGCTCTAACTTTTGTGGATCTCTTCTGGACCTATTCCAACAGGTCCATGTCTCTCCCATGCTGAGGGCTTTAGAGCTGGATGCAGTATTCCAGAGGGGTCTCACCAGAGAAGAGGAGAGGCAAAACCACCTCCCTGGGCCTGCTGGCCATGCTTCTTTTGATGCAGCCCAGAATACAGTTGGCTCTCTGGGCTGTGAGTGCATACTGACAGCTCATGTCCACCTTTTCATCCACCAGTACCCTCCAAGTCCTTCTCCCCAGGGCTGTTCTCAATCCCTTCATGCCCCAGCCTGTATTGATACCAGGGGTTGCCCTGACCCAGGTGCAGGATCCTGCACTTGGGCCTTGTTGAACCTCATGAGGTTCAACATAGGCCTACTTTTCGAGCCTGTCCAGGTCCCTCTGGATGGCATCCCGTCCCTCAGGTATGTCAACCACACTACTCAGCTTGGTGTCATCTGCAAACTTGCTGAGGGTCCACTGATGTAGTCACTTCAAGATAAGTTTAAAGACTTGAACTTTGCAGATGTGAGCAACTGTATGTAGCACTCAACTTCAATCATCAGTTGTGCAAACCTCGGCCATAAGGCATTTGGGCCTTCCTTTCTTCTACCATATGCTAAAACACATGGTGTCAGTTATAACTGAGTTGGAAAACTGAAATGAATTTTAAGACCGTCCAGTGTGCCTTGTTGTAGCATCAAATAACACAGAAAAAAGAACAAAAAAAATCCCCAAACCATTACACAGAAGATATAGTAGGTGTACTATAGGCCTGTAAAAGCAATATTGTCTAGTGATCAAAATTATAATAAAATAAAGGTGGTTTAGGTGACAGTAAAAAAAAATAATAAAAAAAAAAATCAATTACCTCCAGTAGGTCATTTTGTTCCTTAGTAATTTTTTCTAATTTCTTCATCTCTCTTAAGAGTTGTCTTGCTCTTTGGAAGACTGGGAAAGGTTGCATTTCCACCCCCGGCAGATGAAGTGTTTCTTCATAGGACTGTATATGAACAATGGTCTTCTGCATGGGACCAACATGGTCAAGTATAACCTATCAGGACACAGGATAGATGACAGATGTGATATTGAGTTGGAAAAATCAACACTGAACAGTTTATACTACTGTCATGATGTGCAAAAGTTCTCTCTGGTGAGTTTCCCATTTAAGGAGGAAGAATATTTTCATCTTGGAACAAGTGAAAATGCATGGTGAGGTTGTCTAAAGCAAGATGAAGACATAATCTACATTTACAATTCTGCTTTTTCTGCATATACATAAAGTTTGCACGGTGACAAAAAAATGGGTCACATTCAGATTAGTTAATTATCAGTAAGTGTGTCATTTCAAAGTGGTGCATCTTTGGCAGTGAACAGTTAAAAAAACTGGTGCAAACTCTCTGATGTCACTTTAGCCAACTCTGGCTCAACTTTTTTTGTGCTGCAAGCCAAACAGGAGATGTCCTATGTCAAAGCTAGCCTTTCATAATGGTCCTATAAACAGTCTTATCAACGTAGCAGAGATGATGAACCAGAGTGGAAGCCAGGAGAAACCTCTGAAGACGGCTTTCCTGTCAAAGTCAGCATTCCATATCACAACACCCCGAGCAGATGCCCAGTTTACAATCACCCTTATCAGCTTTGGATGAACAGAAATGTACAGTTTCATACCACGATACATGTTTTAAGGAAAACTCAATCAACTTACAAAGACAGAATGGCAATACCAACTCACAATTTCCTGGTTCTCCTAAAAATCCATTAAATCCTACTGATCCCTCATTCAGCTGGGAACTTCAGATGAAAAAAAAAATACAAATACAAACCTCCTCTGGGCCTTTTAATTGCTAATATTTTTCTTAAATTCTCTCTGAAAAAGATTTCAATTCCCAATTGGAATAGAGATGTTTATTCTCTTAATCAGCCTGTATCAGGATTTTTTAATTATTAGCATACTATCCAGGTTTTAATTTGAAGTAAGAAAGTAGGTGAATATTTTCCAGAAAAAATATTACTTTTGTTTTTCCATATAACGTAGGCATTACCAAATCATTCTCTTGATTGCAAATATGAGAAGTACAATGACATTTTTATCCCTCCCATAGAAGTAGAACCAATGCTTTCTGCATTTCAGTTAGCTAACAATGTGGACTGCATGTGGTATAAAAGAAAAGATACCACATTGTTTTGCTTTACTTCACTCAAACAGAGAAAGGAAAACCATCTGGCCAAGGTATCTTTGCAGTGAAGTCCCTGCATGATGAAATATTTTTATGCTAAGTCACTCCAGCCCACATTTTCAGAAACCTGCTAAATTTTGCCTTCATTTTTGGAAAAATAGTGCCCAATTTTCAAACTTTCAGGTTACTTACTGTTTGATCCAAGAGATGACTTGTAAATTCCCCAAAACAAATGGAGAGATGAAAGGGAGGGGGAAGAGACCCTCCAAGCCTTTCTGAGGAATGTCTCAAACACTCCCAAGTATCTAGAAATAAGGCTATAGCCACAGGGTGGATAATGTGGAGTCTGGATAATGCATACCTTCTGCTCAAAGAACTGATAAGGCTAACCAGCTTATCTCTTGTGTAACTCATGCACAGAAAACTCGCCTGAGGTGCCCAGAGAAGGAAGTTCTATGGAGACATGACACCCCTGCTTTTCATCAGCAAGGACAAGATAACAGGAATCTGTGTAGGTCTTTTGTTTCTTCACTGGGCCATGCCCAGTGGTGACCTTTGCCTTGTTATCCACAAAATGAGTACTTTCACACCCCTGCATATGTCAATGAAAATTACCGAGATGACGCTAAACGTATATGATTATAGCACCCGCTCCTCCACCCAAATCTTGCTACGCGTCACCTGGGGTAGGGGAGAAACCTGAGACAAAACTGCCACCGTAGCAGTGGGGCAGGACATACTGAAAGTGTGAACATAAAGCAGGAAGGTAAGTGCCTCTGGGGAGATTTTTCATAGAGGAGCTCCTAAGAACCAGAGACCTCCCCCATAGCTGGCTGAACCAAGGCTGGAACCAGGACCAGTGATCTCTTCATCTCTCTCTCCCCCCCTTGTTTCTTTTTTAAAGGTCTCTCTTTTAAAGTATTCTCTTTTAAAGTCCATAATTTATTGCATATCTGTTGCTAAGTAAGGCAAGGCATACCTTACTGCTTGCCATACTTCATTATATACCTAAATAATTATTGGGGACCTAGTTAAGACATATATCAATCACTATGGGAATCTAATAAATGTTTGTATATGGACCTTGAGAGTTGTCTCACCTTAGTCCATGCTGCTATGAACTTGCGGATGCGAGTCACCTCCCCTCTCTTCAGAGTGGGGTGTGACAGTGCAGCAAATGCCTCTGAGAGCCAGGCCATAAGCTTTATCAAATGGAGATGCTCAAATACAGCAGGTACATCTGACAACATACTCTTAAGCTACATACTTGAGCTATCCATGGGATTAGAGCTTTAATTTCAAATGTTTTTGTTCAAACGCTGACTGTGCTTCTTGAAAGGATCTCCCAGCAGTCTCACGCTGAGGTTTACATCGAGCAGTTGTCTTGAACCATGCAAACAGGATTCCTTTCAAATGAAACTAAAGAAGATACTCTCCAGAAGAGCCCCTGATGACACCCAGCCACCCACGGTTGTCCATTCTACAGGATCAGTCCAAATTAAGCCCCCAAGGCACATACAACACAGAGAGCAGGTTCTCTGCACTAACTGGTTTGCTGTGTGCTCCTCTTGGATTGCGCAACTTGCTACTGTAGAAATATGCAGCCAGAATCATGACTGAAATAATACTTCCAAGTTTTGACCCAAGAATTAGAATTTGTGTGATACTAACATTTCAGAGTCATATAGTAAAAACTCATTCATGGTAGTTTTCAATCACAAAACAGCCTTATCCTGTGAAAGCACATTTATGCTAACTTGTGCATAAATATATAGGGAAAAAAGCCTATGTAGGGGTTTTCACAGACCTGTCCATGTTTAAGTTGGTCTTTAGGAGAAAATTCTAACAGATCTTCTGATGACAGGATTGTCTTCATCTTGGCAACGTCCTTCTCCAACACTTTCACATGAGATTCAATGGCATCCAATTCCTAAGTTTTGGGAACAAAGAGCATATTTGTAAATAGTACAAATACCAAAGCCAGCTCGCATTTCTGCCTTCCACTTAAATTTAAAAAGAAATAACAAAAAACAAGGGCAGCACATGCAGCATATGTTAATGGCAGATATCAATCAAAAGGCCAATTATTATAAATTACATATCATCATAACTTCTGGAGGAATTAACTATCTATGGCCACCTGGTGTGTTTGAAATCCTGAATACAGAATTGAAATATCCTTGAAAAGTCATGTTATAAATTACCAGTAGAGACAAGACACTTTTCCAGTGGTGACAATTACCAGTGCAACAAACTGGTGTCATTACGCTGTTGCAGCTCTTTATATGAAGAGTCCTATGTCAGATGAAAGATGGATGTGCACACAGTACAGCTGCTTGTGAACTCTCATTGAGACAGTCACAGACTAAATTACATCAGAAGGGACCTCAGGAGGTCTCTGGTGCCCATCTGAGCAGATCATTTGGGGCCTGATCCTGTTGAGATTTGGGTAGCTACTGAGAAGGGGATTTTACCCACCACCACCACCCCTCTTTGGGCCTCCAATTTAGTGTTTCACCCATCTCACGGCAAAAAAAATTCTTCCTAATACGTAAATGGAATTTCTTTTGTTATAATATGGTTCTGTTACTACTCATCTTTTCTCTGCACACCTCAAGAAGATTCTGGCTCTATCCTGTCTATAGTCTCCCATTATGTAGTAGCAGACAGCAGTAATTCCCACCCATCCCCAAGCTGCCTCTTCTACAGGCTGAACCAACCCGGGGTTCCCAGCCTTTCCTCTTACAACCTGTGCTACAGCCCCCTGACCACCTTGGTGGCCTTCCTGGACTTGCTCCAAGTATGTCTATGTCTTTCTTCATCCTCCCATGGACCTCCTGGCTACACTCTTCCTTAGGCAGCTCAAGATGCTGTTGGCCTTCTTGCTGCAAGGCCACGCTGCTGTGTCATGATCAACTTCTTGTCTACCAGGACCACTGGCCCTTTTGGCAAAGCTGCTTCCCAGCTGGTATTTGGACAAGTTCAATCCTGAGTGCAGGATTTTGTGTGCCTCTTTTGAACTTCATGAAGTTTCTGTCAGCCCATTTCTCCAGCCTGTCCAGGTGCCCCTGGATAGGAGCCCTACCCTCCAACAAGATAAGCCCTTTTAATTACCCAGTCAAAAAGCCCTGCATTTCTCCTCCTAAACAAGAAATTTCATCGATGCTTTTAAACTTTACAGTGTAATTAGATGCCAAACACCTTCTGATGGTTTGTTTCCCAAACAATTAATTTCCTGACTTGACACACCTACTAAAACCAGCACACCTTTCTTCTGTGCAGGCAATCTAAGCTGTATTTCACAACATATGGTGCAGCTCCGATAAAAGGCACTTATAGATCACTCAAACTTACATCAGCCACCTGCTGGATCTGCGGAAGAACCTCTGCGATCTCATGCTGTAAAGTTGCTACTTGATCAGCTATTTCATTTAGCTGCTGCATTACGCTGTCTGTTTCAAAGATTGGTGTCAGCTCCTCCAGCTCCAAGTACACACTGTGTAGAAGATTTTGCTTTTGCTCCGAGTCTTCCAAAGCCATCTGGAGACAAAGTAAGAGCATAGTTTGATCCATCAATGGTGAACATGGAAGTTTCACAGAGGTTAGGACCTGAAGAAGCCAGTTTTGATTTCCTGTATGTCATTGACCATTGCATATATTCCCAAAAGCTTAGTTCAGACTAAAGCACTTTACTCCTAAAGTAAAAAGTTACCAAACTGCTGCATCCTGCAGGCAGAAAACAGAGGCTGATGCCATGATTTTAAGGGAATAGGTCTACATATTATAGATAAAATAGGTCTACATGAGCATGACAAAAGGCATGAAGAGGAAGATCTCACACTCAGAAAAAGGTTCCACCCCCAAAAAAGAAAAGCATGAGATCCTGGAGAAAAGTCCTCTCCAGCTCCTGTGCCATGGTCAGGCTGACCCCTGTACATGAACAAGATACATCACCCAGACACCTGAAAAGGGGTTTCTGCACACCAGCCTGTAGACAGCAGATGTAACAAAATGCTCCAGAAAATACGTGGCCAGTTGTGCACAATGGGAAGATTTCCCATCTCCTGCCACCAAGTGAATGAGCCTCGAGATTAATAAGAGCGAACGCCTTCATGAAGAACAGTGAGGGTGGCAAGAAATGCATGTGATCCCCTTTGTCCCCTTTGTGGTGTATGAAGGACAGGACTGAATGCAGATCTCAACTCTAATGCACGCCTTGGATGCATTTTCAAATCCACAAGTTTCCCAGCCAAGAACACATAAAACTCTCCAAATGACAAATGCAAGAAACAGTAAGCTTTTGTCACAAAAATGATTGCAGGTTTTGGAAATCACAATCACATTGTGGCTACGTGCTCCATAACATATCAGCCCAGAACACTCAGCTACTTTTTCTAAAGAATTCTTATTAGTTTTAATACAAAAATCTACATTCAGAGCACCAACTTTCTGTCTTGACCTAAGCCAAGAAGCAGATGTACAGAAAACTCAAATTTCAAATACAAAATTGCCAGAAATCCTCTTGGTACTTGCTTGTCCCTGATCTTCCTTGTAATAGTAATGTTGAAATTACCAGTCAGAATTACCTCCAAGATACAGAAAGAACTGCCTTGCAAACCACAATTCCCTTCAAAGTTTGCATCTAACACACATGCATCAAAATACCACTTTACCATTTTAGGTCACATACACACAATACAAAAAGAACTGTATCTATTCAGGCAGTAAAAACTGACCATAGCCCTACAGTAGAGTAACAGAAGACAACCACACATTTTCAGAACGTAGACGCGCTACAGTTCAGCACTTTCACAAGACAGATAAGTTCAACAATGAAAAGTATCTATCTATATTTCATGAAGATTAACTATAACTATATTTCACTTAAAAGCATTTACTGAAAACGGTGAATTATTTATGTCAGTCAGACAAAACTGTGTCCATACAGAGCAACCAGTTCTAACAAGACCATGTATCTCTGTTAACACTTACTTGAAGGTCATCAGTATGCTTGTGTAAGCTTTTGGCAGAGTCATTTTGAGGATGTGTTCCTAGCAAGCAGTTGGTGTTTTCTATCCAAACTTTCACATTCTTCAAGAGTTCATCATATTCTTCCATCTTGTTGGCAGCCTAGGAAATAACAGAATTTTACAAAAAGGCACAAATGCATTTCTACTCAATGTACAGGATAAATGCATCTATGGACAAGATTAAAAGAAAACAGGAGGCATTTTCCTCAAGGTCAGTTAGATTAGTACAGTAAAATAAAGACCATATTTTTTCTTAAACAGTTTCAAGATTTCAGGCTATCTCCTCTAAAGTAAGTTTGGTGCTTATGTACTTACATTTCACGGGGGTATTGTTACAATTTATATGGGAATGTTACTTTAATAGGTAATAGTTAGTAGAGTAATAGAGAACCGTCTCATCACCCATCCAGGGGCATGAATTCCCCCTCCTAATCCCTGTCAAACATGGGGCAGAGCTGATCCTTTGGGGTAGCAGCTGGAAGTGATGTTTGCCACTCCAGAAACTCTTAGCTACACCCGGCTTTTGACTCTATTGAGCCTTTGTTGAAATTTTATGCAAAGACTTTATTTTGTTTTTTTTTTATAAGATGTTAATTACGTTTTTTTTTAATTACATTTGCATCTACCTTGTTTAAAATGGCAGTTCTGCGCTCAGCGAGCTGTGAGACCTGTTGGTACTGCTGAAGGGGGGTCACTAAGATATCCATCAACTCCTGTGCGTGGCAGGAATCCTGCTCTACTATATCATGCACCTCTGCATCCAGCTCGTTGAGTTTGTAGTGCCAAAGGTCCAGCATATCCCAGATTTGCTGCATGTGGAGAAAGGGGAAATGAAATATAAGGTCAGGCTCAAAGATAACGGCAGAGTTATTTGTTCTTCATGTGGGGCATGAGGAATTGCTAAGATTTCAGAACTGATAGGAGAGAGAGAACAGAACACTCTGCATCCACTGGTGTGACTCACAGTTGAAAAAAAAACACGTATTTTCCTGTGAGAAAGAATTGGTAAATATTCACCAGCTAAATGCTTGCTTGTTCTTCTCCTTTTACAGACATAAAAGGCACAGAGGGCCACTTTACACTCCTGCTAAACCAGGCTCTGTAGAGACAACCAAAAATCTTTTAACGCCCACAAAATTTTTTTGGCAAGATTACCTTCTGAACTTCTTTGGCTTTTGCAATGTTTTCGCTCTTCTGTTGTAACATCTTTTCAATAGCTTGAAGGCCATTGTCAATAGTTTCTGCTTTTCTTTTCAGCAGGTACTGGGGAGAGCTCTGCAAGATTTCAAAGCTAACCTGTCAAAGTAAAGAGAAAACAAGAGATTACAAAGATCTGCTTGTTTCTGTGCACCGCTTCACCAAAACCATCCAAATACTTTTTAGGTTTCTCTTGATGAGTTCTTTAAAAGGAATGGAATTACAAATGCAGGGAGAAACATTAATGTGAGCAGGTTCAATGTTTATATGTCGTTCAATAATTTCCCCTCAAAATGACTGGTCTAGAACGGCAATCCCTGAAGAAACACACAGTGAGAGACTGCAACTCCCTGGGTGCTTTGCTTTGGCTGCCCCTGTTCTAATCCGTAACAGAGGCTGATCACACTGCAGCGTGGAAAGGGTCACATTTAGATTAGTGCTGTAAGAAACCCAGAACAACACCTTTATGTCTCAGCTGACATCACTTCCAGGTAAGAAATAAGGGAATACGGGAGTGCATCACCATATAGTGAATTTCTAAATAGATAAAATTACTTATTACTAAAATAAAAGGCTCTGAGCCCCATAAGGTATGTAACACTTAATTTTACTCTGCAGACTCCACAGAAATGAAAAACTGGCACACTGGAGGGCCTGGTTTTGTATGTAAAGAGAAAAACTCTCAAGTAACTGCTGGAGCACAGATCTGAGTGACACAGTAAGGTACCAGGTTGCTACAGACTAGATGAAGTGCAGGGAGTGAGTTGCTCTTAGCCCAAAGCAATGCTTTTTCTTACCCTGCTAGCCATTAGGGTCAACAAGAGGAATTAAGATCATTATTTAGTTAATACATTAATTATCCAATTTTATTTCTTAATGTTATTAACGTTATTTATAGATTCCAATATGTAGTGTCAGACCAATATAATAATAACTATAAGGTACTGTACTGATAAAATTGCATTAATCAAAATAAATGTATAGAGAAAAGAATTACAGGGCTCCCCTCAAATACTTGTGATTATACAAAAAAAGCTATAAAGTCCGTACTTGGTGACTAAGACTCTCTGGAAAAAAGAACTTAAATTGTAATCACAAAATGCTTCACCATTACTGCTATCCTGGAGTATAGTAAACATGAAAAATTCTAGATGCTGGTAGTGCTGGTTTCCAAAATAGAAGAGAAACATGGATGAGTGACATGACACAGTTGGAAATAAGAAAGCAGATGAAGTACTGGCTTCCTATCCTTCTTCAGAAAAAACGCCGCATCTGTCAATACTCTGCTCAGTGGTAGGGTAGGATTTTAATTTCAAGACTTCTTACTGGGATGAATTTATTGTATTTTTCAGATAAAATGCACAAGATCAAAAGCACGATTTATTTTCATTTTTAGGTTAGCAGATTTAGAAGAAAGCAGAATGCCTTTAAGATATGACAAGTTAATTCAATTTAACAGATGCTGGTATCTCCTAGTATGTAATTAAACTCATGCTCAGTTCCACTAGGATTTAGTGTTTCCTAAATGCATTTTAAAAAATTCCAAGGTAGTTTGCATTGTTTTCCATTACCTAAATGTGGAAAATCTAGTTTCCAGGACCAGTTCTTTCACTCCAATGTGTAATATGTGCATTGGGATAATCTTTTATCTCAGTAAAAGAAAGTAAAAAACAAAAAAACCCACCCCAAAACAATAAATGCCATTTTACTGCCATTCTCCTTCTCTCTCCAACCCTGTTGTTGGTTCTAAAAAGACTGGTTCTGTTTTGAAACAGGAACTACAAAGTTAACCAAATTTAAACTAATAAGCTGTAATAAACGTGTCTCTAAATATTTAATACAACATAAAATGAATGAATAATCTGACAGACAGTAACAAGTAACTGGATTTTGAAATTATTTTATTAAACTTTCAAGTTTTATCAAATTAACTGAGATTTAGCCTTTAAAATTGGCATTAAACATTATTATTTCTGAAATAAGAGAACTGAAAGATTTTTTTCTACTTTTTTAAAAGTAACACAGATGAATAAATAACAATGATAATAATTATACCAGGCTAAAATTTGACCTCAAACTTACAGTATTAATCCTTTTTCCTTTAATTTCACTTTCAGTTAACTGTTTATACCCCCTGTAGGTAGAAAACATTGCAAAAAGCAGAGGCAATGTTATTCAGTTATTTAAAGTTCCTGCCTGCTTTTAAAGGAATGGAACCGTGTCCTGACTAGTGGTATAAAGAACCATGCCCTGATACAACACTGTGTGTGCAACCTGGATTAAAAAAAAATAATAATAATTCAGTTTCAAATTCCTCTTATAACTCAGTTTTAAAAATACCTTCTTGGTTAAGCTGTACAAACTTCCCAATCAACTTTGACTACCAGTTCAGTTTAAGAATCAGACTGGATAGAAGACAGGATCCATATCATATCCAAGACTGTATTGCAAGTGGTTCTGCCTGTCCTCCTTTAGCAGAAAAGAAAAATACTATATTCACACTGCTTACTGTAAGGGTTTTCTAAAACGAAACAGTTAACACGAGGAATCTCTCCTCACACACATTTTCACTGGGAGGAAAATGCAAATGAAAATAATCAGTGTTGCAAGTTGAAATTTACAGTTACAACATTCATCAAATATTTCTGTACTTATTTATAGATCACAAAAAGGTAAATATGAAAAGCACATCAACAGTTACCTTTTCTTCTAGGTCTTGCAATACTTTCTTGCAGTCCTCCAACTGTGTTTCAATCTCTGCAGGAACTATTGTATACATTTCAGAATACTTGATCCGGAGTTTCTCCATTATATCCTTTAGAGTTTGACTTTCTTTACCAACCACACTCTGAACCTCCTACAAAATTAAGAATAACTTCAGCGGTTTTACCCAGTTTTTTTACTGAGCGCAGATGCACGTGTGTAAATGTGTATATTTATATACATACATACATATTGTGTTTTATATTTCCTGCCATTATTATGGTTTGGAAAAGTTGTTTTTGTGGTATCAAACCAAATTTGACTATCTCTGCGAGCAGATTAACTTTGAGAAATATTCACTCATTTAATCAAATGATGCGCTCCAATCTGTGAGAATTAATTAAACCTGATACTGCTCCCCGCCAGGCAACTGACGCACTGGTGTTTATCGACAGGTATAGCAAAGTAATCATTTCCAGTGCTCCTAGGAATAAATGTTAACCTTTGTGCTCTCCCCCTCCTGCCAAAAGTGCAGTTTCTCTTTGAGAGACGTTTAATAGCCACCGTTTATTCCTTCATTATTGTAAACACCACAAAGACCACAAAAAGCAACAGGTTCGAAGCTGAAGTGTCTGCTTTCAGGCAATTATGCAGAGCAGCACAGCAGGCTCCTTTCGAAACAGTAGTTTCCAGTTCTGCATGAAGAATGTAGGTTTTATGAGATAAAAGAAACTTGAACAACTGTCTACGGCCTGTGGCCTAGAAATAAAATCCGATCTAAGTCCTCTTGCAGAAAGAATGAAGAAGCTCATTTGTTTTGGAGGTTTTCTAGAATTTCAAGTTGGAAAGTTCTGTTTGTTTGCTTTATGGTTCTTTTTCGCCAGTGCTCAGCTGTTTGAGAAACTCAAGTTATTGGGGAAAATGATCTAAAGCTCCTACCAAGCAATGAAAGACATTAAAATCAACAACCTTTATTTTTCAATCAGAGGTAATGGTAATCCATTAACTCCTAGTCTCCACTTGGGAATCTTTTCCATCGCACAAATACAACGCGCAGAAGAAATATGTTAAGTCTGATAGATTTCCTGTCATCCCACAACAACAGGGTCTGATATTAAAAAACTGCAAGCCGTGAAACAGCTGTGTGGCTAATGCTACCACAGAGCAGGCTGTTGTTGTCAAATGGTCCCATAACGATTGTGCCAACATTTATGAGAGTTTACAGATTCCCTGACTTGAATTTGAAAGAATCAGTTTCAACATTAGGCTCCAAAACAAATAGGTACTTCCAGTCAGTAAATGCAACGGAGTCCCAAATAATGCTACAGATTTTATATAAACTAGGTTTTCTTTGGAAGCAGGGACGAAATTGCCCTGCAGATTTTAGCTTACTGGTGTTTGCATTAGGTAAAATTAAGGAATTTTTCAATATTTTCAGCTGAATTTTCACAAAAGGAACAGGCCCCCTGGGATATACTGCTACAAAGAAATCATTGGACGGGATTGCTGCTAACATTTGCTTGTTCTGATGGCTTCAGGAACAGGAGCAATGTCTAAACCCAATTTTGGGTGAGTTTTAGGTGCCCAGAGTAGCACAGTTGGAATATCAAGCAAAAGAGCAGGTGTCAAGTCTCTGCAGTGATAACATCTCCTCTTGGATTCAAAGAGCTCAGTAGAAGAGCAGACCCACAGTCATGCTGGCTCATGGGTTTTCAGAACTTCCCCAAGATTTAGTTAACATTTCTGTCTCATGCTAACCCCTAGGAAAGTGCTCATATCTGCCATTATGGTCTTTGGCTTCTGCATTTTTCCTAGCCCTTTGCCAGCTTCAAGCATCCACGTCCTAAGGAAAATACATGGTGGGAACCCACAACTAGCTTTTATATAAGACACAGGAAAAAGAGACCAAATTTGTATTAGACTTTAGTAGGCTAGAATAAATAAACGATAAAGTTCTGTAGTTAAAAGATAACTCAAATATAATTAAAATAATTTTTGATCAATATTTAAAAATTAAGATAGTAATATAAACACAATGAGACTAAATTGAAACAATAAATAAGTAACAGGAAGTGTTAGGAGTACTGCTGTTTCATAAAGTCAACAATTCAAAGCAGGATAACAACAACATGTTGAAATGATAGAAATGTATAGACTGGGTTGCTGCACAGTGCTGGCTGCTGCTGGTGGAGACTGTGGTCTTGATGACAACTTGTTTTCTAAAAAGCATTTACCAGGCTCACCTCCTGATGTGGTACATCAAATCCAGAGCCTCTGAAGCTGCCTTGCCTAGGTACTCAGAGGGGGGAGAGGCACAAGATGTACACTAAGCAGTCCTTCCTAAAAAGGCATGCAACTGGCTGTGAATCTCTCTGCCATCTGGAAAGGCATCTATGTCTGCTAGCTCAACCACATACAAGAAGAGGAACACAGACCAAGGACACAGCAGGTCCAGTCATATTCTGCTGAGCCAGATTCATTCTCTGTAAGTCAATGTGCACATGCATATAACTTTGCCACTAATTTTATTTAGAGCAAGTTCAAGCCCCAGCATAAAAGAGAACATATTCCTAATGCCCCTACACAGTAACAGCTCCGTTACCAACCTCCAGTTGTCCTGCCTTTCCAGTGGCATCTTGCGATAACGCAGATGCAGCATTCTGTAACGCGTTTGTCACGGCACTTATTTCTTCAGTGATCTTGTTCCTCTCTTGAATCTCAGCTTGTACAGAATCCTTATGGTCTTGAGCTTTTTCATACAACCTATGAAAGATTTCCAGTAAGAAAATACCAAGTGTTAGACTTTACACTAAGTAGGAGTAATCAAAGAGCATGCTTAATACAGCTATTTTTAAAAAAATATATATCCGGAACCACATTTATATGTATTTTTATATTATTTTCTGTAACTAAATCTTTGAGTTTCTGTCCTTCATTGTCTCAGTTTCTTCAGAAATGAATCTTCAGATATTGCTAGACAAAGTATCTTTGGTAGACCAAATCAGATAGCATGGAGAATCAGAAAATACTGGCAGAGCAGAAGATGAACATCAAAGATTTCCATGTCAAAAAGCAGGCGTGGAGATGGGTGAGTGCTATCACAGATTTGCAAAAAAAAAAACCACGTTTGAGGCAAATTTTAAACAGCGTCACTCAGTAAGGCAAAAGTTGCATTATTGCAAAAAGTACAAGGTCTGATTTTTAGTAAGAGTGCAAGACCCACACATTTCACGCAAGTTCACAAGTGCTTGGAGCCTCCAAAATTGACCAGTGTCCCTTCTACATTTGAACACAAATTGCAGGCCACGCAGGATATGGCCAGGTTCAAGTCTTCCCCCGAACTACTATCTCCCAAAGCCCACGCTGGAGACAGCAGATGGGTTAGACAAAGCACTGGTCTGACCCAGTAGCGTATTCACTATCTTTTGAGTGCATTACAGCTTTTAGATAGTCTTCAATATCCTATAAATGCAGCCTTTTGTAAGTAGTCCTATGTCGTATCTTCAAGAGAAATTCCACACAACTTACTTTTTACAGCGCTCCTGCATTGCCTTTATCTCACATAAGGCGGGAAGGGCAGCTTCTGCTTCAGTATTTTCAGGTGTATTCAGAATGTTTCTTATTCGGTGAAGAAGTAAGAGCAAGAGGAGCTGTTGCTGGTTGATGTTCTCCTCAAATGAGTTCACAAAATCTAGTAGTTCTAACAGTTCCTCTCTGGTGGCCTTTTCTTTCTCTTTAAGACTTTCTGGCTGTTCTTCCTGGAGCTTATCGAGAATTATTGTTTCTCGTTCCAGCTAAGTAAACAGCATGTCAAAGTGTGAGACAAAGTGCTTTTTTATTCCATCACCTTAAGTTACATTATTCATTCAGTCATACACATGACTAACTACTGGTAATTACACAGCCAGAGAGCTTGAACCTCTGAAACGTGCCAAAACATTTAAGCTTGCTCTAACAAAGCACATCACCACACGCAGAGTTGTTCTAGGTTCAGAGAATTTGTACTCTAAGTATCGCCATCATTTTTGACTCCGGGTTCAAGAAAGGCTGTGGGTAACTGGCCGATCAGCGGGTGGGAGATTATGTTCTGCACTGATCTCAGCCCTTTCCATGCCACCTTACTGAGGGCTCCATCCCTACCACATTCCTGAAAACTTACAGTTTGTTGAACAACTCACCTCTTCATTGATGAATTTCCATTCCTGCTTTAGTTCTTCACAGTTAATTTCCAGCCCTTTCGCTGCCTCAAGCAGACCCAGCCAATTTTCCCACAGTACTGTGACAATCCTGCCCGGCGCCCTGTCACTTCCCTTGCGTAATCTCCTCAGCTCTCCAGAGACCTGCCTCAGCTTCACAAGATCATCTTCAGCTGAGTCGATGTTGGAGACTAAAATCTTATAGGAAAAAAAGCAAAAAAGTAAATAAATAAAACAGTACAGTCAGAAGTGCTAATGAATCACTAAATTGTTAAGAGTTGGAAGGGACCTCTAGAGATCATCTAGTCCAACTCCCCTGCCAAAGCAGGGTTGCCCAGAGCACATCACTCAGGACGGCATCCAGGTGGGGCTTGAAGATCTCCAGAGAAGGGGACTCCACACCCTCCCTGGGCAGCCTCTTCCAGGGCTCTGCCACCCTCACCAGAAAGAAGCTCTTCCTCCTATTTGAGTGGAACTTCCCATGGTCCAGCTTGTGCCCGTTGCCCCTCGTCCTGTCACTGGGAACCACTGGAAAGAGTCCAGCTCCATCCTCCCTCAAACTGCCCTTTAGACACTTCTAAGCATTAATAAAGTCTCCCCTCAGCCTTCTCTTCTCCAGGCTAAAGAGTCCCAGCTCTCTCAGCCTTTCAAGCATTCAGTTACACGATTAGGATTCTTTAATAAAATGGCAGTCGCTCCACTGAGCTTAAATAAGGCTGCAATGAGAGAATCCTGTTGGCTGAGACTGTGGAGAAAGATGGAGTAAATAAAACAAGCAAAACAAACAGGAGAGCGGTGTGCCCCGGCAATCTGCTTGTTCTTACTTCTTTCTGGTTATGTGCAAGGGAAGAGGAATGAGGAGGAATTACAGATGTATAAGATGGCAAGGCTGTAATACGATGAGTACTAAAAGAGAAGCCAGCAAAGAGGCTGGTTATTGGAGAAGTCTGGGGGGCAGGCAGTAAGAGTGCTGGGTGGGGAAACTTTCACTTCTGAGGGAAACCAACAGCGATGTTAGAAATCTGATCACCCTGGGTCCTGCAAAGAAGTAACGAGGAATTTGAACAGAAATGCAACACTACCTTAAGCACAGATAATGTTTGATTTCTGCAGCAAGAAGATGTACTCTTTTTACATGGCCTATTATAACCTGATCTTTTTATAGGTATATATTCTGTGGGTTTATATATATATATATAAATACAGGAAAAAGAATTTAACTTCTTTCTACTACGATATCCTATGGTGTGCATAGCTGCTGTATCACAGTTTTGCACGATCTTTTCAAGTTCTTCAGAGCTTCTCTTACCTTGCTTTCTTCTAAGTGCTCCAAAGCTTCTTTATAAGATGTTGGTATTTGAGACAAAGACTGGCTGAGCATCTTTTCCAGATTGTTAAGATTATCACACACCTTATCTTTGGTTTTTGTGTAGCTTTTGTATTTTTCAAAATACCTGTAGGAAACAATTAACAGATCAATTAAAATCTATTGTTGTTATTCCTCTCTTCAGCCATAATGCCCACTAGAATAAAAAAAAAAGTATTAAAAAATCTCCTGAACTGCAAGCTATCTTCAATTAGCATTTATTATACGCTTCTGGTCCACTAGCTGAGATACTTTAGATACGCAGGTACAAACGCCCCAGAGGTAAAGAAATATAGGTATGTATATCCATGCATCATCCATGGAGCTGCTCAATAAGGTTGCATGTCTTGATTTAAGACTCCATCCTCCTCAGATGTTCTCAAAAATTAGCTCCCAGTTTGCAACACACATTCTGTTTGTCCCTACTATGCATGGTCTGTACAGTTCCAATTCCTTATTTCTGTATCGTATCATCTTGTTTCTATTACCAAAGCCTTTAAAGTCACCCAATTCTTTGATTTTAAAAGCAGATTTTAAGGTTATGCTCAACAGAACCAGCAGCACTGGATCATGACTAAGCAATTTAAAAATCCTTTACTCTATCTCCCAAGCTTTTTTTGTGCATGTATCTGAAGGCCCTTCAGATCTCTTTCATACCTATATTTGAAGGAAGAAAACTATGGCCTGTGTCTGGTTTGTTCTTTACTCTCTCAAGCCATAGAATAGCCTATGGCAGACATGCATTAGGGCCCCTCTGAAAATTATTCTAACCTTTACCAGCACTGAACTAGAGACTGTGGAAATGTGCTTTCTTCTGATTCTGGTACCATACGACACTCAGTTGAGTCCCACACATACTTTATGGAAGATACTAAAAATTACTCTATTATTACAAATTATCACTAATTTAATAATACTAAATTACTAATTTAATAATTACTAAATTACAAATTATTACTAATATGCTTACTGTCTGGTAATTTTCCTTCTGTTACAATCACATCTGGGAACCACAGAAATGCTTACAGTTCTTTCTGGCTCTATCAGAGCAGAAACAACGCTGCATTTATTATCAGTCAAATTTCTCATAATATGGAGCGTGATCTGGGAAGATCTCTTAAACCTACCTCTGTTCATCAGCTTCCTTTCTTTGAGCCTTCTCCCTTAATGCCACACTCTTATTGACTAGTTCCGTTAAAGTGTCTTCCAGACATATTTTGTCTTCTGGTTTCACTAGGTTTTTCAGCTTGGAGCACAGGTTTTCTATGCTAGACTTTACAGAGTTGAACTCTTCTTGTTTCCATTGTGGAATCTGACAGATGTCCTCTGAGCTATCGAGCTCTGCTGCAGCAGACTTGACTTGAGCCTCATAGTCCTCCAGGAACCCGGCAGCCCTCTGAACAGCCTTGGCATAAAGCTCACGGGTCTTACACGCCTCCTGTAGAGCACTCTGAAAGCGTTAAAAAGACAAAAGAACAATCAATAAAGACAGCTGTGCTCCTCTGGATCACCAGATGGTCTTCTTAGAATCTCACACCTTGTTGTCCTTGAGACCAATGCTCCCAGAGTTGGCCTACAGAAGTGAGGGAGGACACATGGCAAACGCACTCTGCTACCTAGGTAGTCACAGAGCAATCCACACAGTAACCTGTGGGTGGACTGCCCTCAACCACAGGATCGGGGGTTATGAGGGAACCGCCAATACTGGATAAGTCCAGAGAGGAGGATGGCAGGACACAAGAACCATATGATCCCTTATGGACATGGCAGTATAAGTCCTGTTCAGACAAGGAAAGCCCACAGGTTGATGTTTTATTTCGCTCTAGGGGATATCTCCACTATGACTTCCCAAACTGCTTCTCACTAAACCTGCTGATGTATTTCTACACAGAATGATTGGTGACTTTGCCAGCTCTTGGATTCCCACACAGCAGAAGAACTTTGTCATTGTGCTTCCCACAAAATACCCAAGCAGTGAAGATGAAGCACAGCAAACCAGAAAATGTGGCAGCAGGACCATAAATCCATCAGGGATGCTGAGTCCCTCCCCCTCTTATTAGCTACTACTTCATATTTCCTCATTTGTATCCATTGACCTCTTGGGCAGTCAAGACATAGATCTTCTTGACCAGGACACAGTTTCAGAACCTCTCTGCTATGAAGGTTACCATGCTTCTAGTTTCCAAAATAAATTTATTCACTAATTCTTTCTCCTCCTTTCTCTCACTGCCCTTTAGCTTCAGGAGTCCTTTTCCAACCATTAAGTCTACCCTCCAGCCTAATTACATTTCTCAGATAGATTTCCCACTTGCCCTCAGCTTACGAGGTTGAGCAAATTCAGTTTTATTAACCGCCCTCAAAATTCCTTATCCCTCCAACACCACCTGTTCCAGTTTGAGTGGACCTTTTCCTGAAGGAAGAATCATGAAGAATCAGATCGATCCTCCAGCAATGCCTTATCATATATTTGAGTTAAAGCTTTGAATCCCCGTTGCCTTTCCTTTGCTCACCCTCCCTGAGCGAGGCCTGATCACATTGGTTTGACCTGTGCTTTACTCCCCTTGATCATTCCCAACTGGTAAGCTTTTTATTTATTGTAGAAACAAAAAACTTCCAGGTTTTTTATATCATTGTCACTATGAAAACGTTACACAAAATCATTCCCAAGAATAATTCCAGGACCTGGTCTTTCTTCAGCTCAATATTTCAAAACAACCTTTCCCTTCACCCCCTTTACCTTTCTTCTCTTGTGCTAATCCCCATTGCTTGATTATAATCAAACCAAATACAACCTGTTTCTTTGTATCCTTAGTGTCTTATATGATTCCGGTCATATCCACCAGTGCAGAGAAAATGACAGGCCAATTCAATTATTAGAATAAGAAGTGGATAAACTTAATGAAGATATAAACACTGCAGTCACAAACACCTAATCAAATTATTGGGCAAAGACATATGGCTATATCTTACTTTTACTAAATATACTTACAACACGGGCAGCAATGTCTGTCTTCAGTTGTATTTCATGATCTTGCAGTGTTTCTAATTTTGCTTCTATACCAGGAACAAGAGATTTTTCTTCTTGGCTTTCCCTCTCTTTTTCCATTATACATTTAATATCAGAGAACTTTCCTTGCATCATATTCTGAATTCCTTCCCATCGCATCTTTTCATACTGCATATTTTTCATGTCTATCACAAGCGGTTGCTGGAGTTCTAATTGAATATGCTTTATGATGTGGAACATATGTTCTACTTCATTCTGGACATCTTCCTTGTTTACACACTGGAGACCAGAGACCAAGTTTAGAAGAAACTGATTCAATTTCTCAACATCTTTTTCCACGCTCTTGATTTCTTTCCTCTTGGATTCTTTGAACGGTGTATCAAAGACCTCATTTTTGTTTAGTTGATTTTCTACCTCCTGGGTTAAGCACAAGATTTGTTGAACTGTCTGCAACAGAATCTGTGCAGATATAAGATTCTCAGCAGGAGAAGAGCTAGAACTATCCTTCAGGAAGTAAGCTTCTTTTCTTACAGTGGATGTCACAGTCTGGATTTCATTTAGCAATGCTTGAATCTCATCCCATTCCCTAATAACATTATCAATGCGTTTTATCTTCCCTATAATTTTATTTTTAATTTTAAAAAATTGAGTTTGCAATTCATCTGGCTGCATTGAGTCCCATTTTAGACCTACGCATTCAAAGATTTCTTTGTACTTGATTATTTGTGACAAATTGGACTGAAAAGCTAATAGTTTTTCTCTCAGTGCTCTGCATTTATTCTTCACTTCCTGCTTGGCACCTAGTAATTCTTCGAGGTTCATTTCACTGTGCTGTAGATCGTTAAGATCTTGCTGCAATGAAGTTATTCCTTCAGCAAACTCTCTGTAGACAGACATCTTTTTTTCTACTTCATGAAGTTTACTCTGAATTTGCCTCTGTGTCTTCCTTGCTCTATTCTTCAGACTTCTTAACTGATCAATCAAAAATAGTTGTTCAGACAGGCTCAGTTCCCCAGCTGTGACCTGACTCTCTTTACAGTGGGATGAAATAAGCCCTTCTATTTCCTTTATGTCCTTTAAAATCTCCTTTAAAATGGCTTGTTGATTGATCAATTCTGACCACGTGCTGGTTTGGTTCCTGTCAGGCCTAGCAAGCATCTCAGCATTTCGAAGCTGACAGTGAACTTTTTCTACTTCTGCAATAAGTCTTTGCCTCTCCTCCAGCTGGAGCTCGAGGTGCTGTAATCTTTGAGCTGATTTTAAAACAAGAGCCTTGTAGGAGTTCTGCAATGTTTGTAAAAGGAAGGTCATATCGGAGATCTCCTCCGGATTCAAGTTGGGAACGATGTGCTGGAGCCCATAATCCAGTGACACAATCACAGGCTCCCTGTTTACAATTTCTGTGCTCATAAGCTGACAACTTCTGATCTGTGATTTAACATCACTGGGGAAAAGCGCTGCTTTCTGATCAAGAGAGGACAGCAAATCTTTAACCCATGAGATATTTTCTTTCAGCCTCTTCATCATCTCGTGTTTGATGAGAGCAGGACCAGTAATCTGAACACCCTCTTGAGGAGCTTGTTGTGCTGATAATGCTTCCAATTTGCTCTGCAAATCATGTATAGAGTTCTCCAAAGCTACCTTCTCTTGATCACTCCAAATTCTTTTCATCTGCAGTTCAATCCTTCTTTTTAATAGGGAAAGACCATGTTTAATGTCCTGTAGCTCTGTGGTCCAAAGTACAGGGTATTTGGCTTCTCCTTCAGATGAGGAATATGACTCTGCTTGTAAATACTGTTCTTGTATCAGCCTCTGAATATCCTGTGCTTTACTCATAAGCAGATTAAATTCATCGATTTCTGCCACAACCTGATCATGTTTCTTTTGCACTGTTTGTTCCATGTGTTGCCACCATTGCTCCAGTTGCCTCATTTGGCTTTCGGTTAACACTTTATCCATGCACGTTAAATGCCGAGATAAACTTTCTTGCTGAGTTTTCAACTGGTTTAAGACATCTTTTGCTTTTCGTAAGGACTCTATACAGGCCTTAATTTTCTCCAGAAGAACCGTGTTGTTCATAGGACCCCTGCCAAATACAGGAGTAGTGTTTAAAAAACAAAAAATCCAACCAAAAACTCCCCTAAAATATTTCCTCGACACATTTTGAAAATAGAATCTCACTGTTTAGAGAACGATTCACTCACTTTATTCACTTAATCCCATGTATCTTTCAATATTCTCTCACAAATCTCCTAACCACCACTGCAGTATCATTATTTTTTATCTGTACAGCATTAGTTATTTCTAGATAAGGAAAGGCACATACTAATGTACATTCTCTAAAACTGCAGTATATACTAATATAGCAGGTATCATTTCCTAAAGGAATGTAAGCTCTCTTTAAAGTTAAACTAAATTTTTTTTCAAAATCAACAATATTGTTAAGTCATCTCCATGTAAAATAACATTTTATAGTAATTTCTGATTTAAAATGAAGATAAAAGTTATGAGAAAAACTTCAAAAAATCCCATTCAAGATTGATTCAAATTAATCTACTCATTCGAATTTACCTACTCATCTTTTATTTCCAGGAGTATTTTGAAATTCCCACCTAAAATACATTTAGCAGCTAGATTTTAATTCCATTTTTTCCTCAGTTTCTTTGCTGTAAATTAAGAACTTTATCAATTTTTTTTGAAGATTTTTGAATTATAGTAATACATCATTAGGACCCATATGCTAGCTCCATGTGTTGAAGGCTAATTCATAAACGGTACTAAATATTTTGTGTGCATTGGTTACCTCTGAATTCATAGAATCATAGAGTAGTTTGGGTTGGAAGGGACCTTAAAGATCATCCAGTTCCAACCCCCCTGCCATGGGCAGGGACACCTCCCACCAGAGCAGGTTACTCAAAGCCCCATCCAGCCTGGCCTTGAACCCCTCCAGGGATGGGGCAGCCACAGCTTCCCTGGGCAACCTGTTCCAGTGTCTCACCACCCTCACAGCAAAGAATTTCTTTCTGGTATCTAATCTAAATCTCCCCTCTTCCAATTTAAAACCACTACCCCTTGTCCTGTCACTCCACTTCCTGAAAAAGAGTCCCTCCCCATCTCTCCTGTAGGTCCCCTTTAGTCACTGGAAGGTCGTTATAAAGTCTCCCCCGGAGACTCCCCCTTCTCTTCTCCAGGCTGAACAACCAATAGGTACTGTAGACTTATTTATTGCCACAGAATTCTTCTTATCAAATAAGGTTAATTTTCAGAAAGTGCTCAGAAAAGAATTAGAACTGGTGATTCCGTAAATAAAAAAGTATTTCATATCTGTGATATTTTGCAAAACTCTACTTACATTTTTATGTTATCTTTTTCTGTTGACAAATTTTTCATTGAGGACCGCACGGCAGAAAGATTTTTCTGGTACTCATTAATTAAACAGTACTGTTGTTGCTTCACTGCCTTAACAGCATCTAGTTCTTGAAGCAGCCTGTCCCAGCAGGGCACCACGGGCTCTGGGGTTTGTAGCTCTGCTCTGTTTGATCCTGTTGTTGCATTGGGAAACGCTTCTTGACTGGGACACAATGATTTTGCTTTCCACGTTTCCAGTTCCATTTGTAAATTCTGCAATCAAGCCCAAAGAGAGAGAATTAGAAGAGGATCTTAAACACTTTCAGCTTTTAGCACAAAATACAGTTAAATGCTGATAGATCTACAAACATACACTTGCTCAGTCACATGTAAATGAGCACACATGATGCCTGCACACATCATGAAAGCACACGTGCAATCATAGGTGTATTTATTACTGCAACTTAGAAGGGCAGTACAAAATACGGTATTTAAGTGGACATATTTGCATTAAGGAAGAGTGTTTATAGATTACCTGCTAGACAAACTAACTAATCATAGGAATATATGCAACAATTTTGTTTTGGCTAAGTGAGTAATAATTCTGTAAGTGTATCACTCCATTAACAAAGAGGAATTGCTTTGCAATTTCCATACCTCCAGCTCTTTTAGTTGTTCATTTATGAGCACGATATCCAGTTCAGCTACTCCATTTTTCAGCTCATTGACCTTTTCTTCCTCTTCAGAATATTCAGTGTTTACTTGCACTCCAGGAAACAGTTCCTTCTGGACAACCACTTCTGCACCTGTGTCCTACAATGCAAAACAGAATTCTTATTTCTGAAGGTCCTAAAGTAACAAGTTTTTTGACTGCAAAACTTCGCTTCACATGTTTAAGGCATACCTAAATCCTGCTGGTGCTTCCCCCACAGCCTCTGTGGGTCAGCCAGGACCCAGAGACTGGAACCTCCACCAATACTCCCCCCTCTGCAGTCACGCTGCCTTGCAAGCAGTGCTCAGATAGCTATGAAATCTCTGCCCATCATTTTAAGTTTGAAACTTTGATATCCCCACCTAGGAATAACATCTTCCCTGCACCCACCTCTGCTACTGATAAATTCACAGGTCTCTCCTGTCTTCTCCCCCTCCTCCTTACACGTTCATGGACCTTTAACCTCTCCTCACATCCACATTCCTTGTGCTCAGCACCTGGCCTTGATATACTGCTGTGTCCTTCACCAGGACCATCTCTCCCACTGTTCTCCACAGGGCGACTCATGCGTGAAGCAGCTTGGCTGTGACACAAAGCCATGGCTGCTACTGCCACAAGTGCCATCCGAAATCAGGCGTAAGACGAGAGCATTAGGGAGCCATTACTCAATCGGGGTGGGGAGGAAGGGAATGAGGGGCTCCAGGGCCAGTCCCTGGCACTGCCATCGAGTCCCACAATGACAGGAGACAAGTCACTTGTGGTGTGGCCAGGTTTAACAGCCCACCAGCTGAGCTGAGCTCACTGTCCAAGTGGATGCTCTTAGCCACCCCCAGTTTAGATATAAAACAACCCTCTAAATCACCTTCAGCTATCGCAGACAAAAAACATAAATGAAATGTCACAGGTTTATTGGGTTACACGGCAATACCTTAAAAATCTTTCTGTATTTCCCTTTGCCCAGTACCTGCCTGTATCTGTTCCACATATAGACCTTATGTGAGTGAATGCAAACATATACACTGATATGGCTACAGTGTCAGCTTCTCCATGGTACAAACATATAAAAACAAGAACAAAACAAATTCTTGTTTGGTAAACGTACTGTATTGCTACTTTTGATACTATTTTACTAGGAAGCAGCCAGCTATCCCTGCAGCCATATCACTAAGCCATCACTGTCATCTGTCTCTCTATGGCTCATGAGCCATCCAAAATATACCTGCTTACAAGTGTGGGAAATACATATATTGTAGCAACTTGTAGATATTATCAGAAAAGAATAATTGCATTTATTTGAACATTTTTGGTTACGTTCAGTCAAAACTGAAGGGGACCACTCATGCAATAGTCAATGGGAGAACTTTTCCATTTCTCTGTATATACACACCCATAATAGCTGTATCAATTCAGAAATAAGATTTCATCTTAAGAGACTTTGGAGTGCCACAGAACTGAAGTAACCTGAAAAACTCAACTAAGTTATCACAGAGGACGAAATCCACTTTACCAAACTGAAATATAACTGCTTTGAAACACACAGAAAAGTAAGCGCCCTGACACTAAGAAAAACCTCGGGATTGCTGTGTATGTGTTTTGCTGGTTTGTATAATGTTCTCAGTGTACACCGTGGCACTGCCTCCCCAGTCACACACATGTAGATAGTGTCAAATCTCCCCACATAATAGTTTTGGTGTTTCCCATAGGGATGTCCATATACAAGAAGGGCTGGAAGGAGGATCCAGGGAACCACAGGCCTGTCAGTCTGACCTTGGTGTCTGGGAAGGTCATGGAACAGACCATTTTGAGTGCCATCATGAAGCATGTACAGGACAACCAGATGATCAGGCCCAGTCAGCTTGGGTTTATGAAAGGCAGGTCCTGCTTGACAAACCTGATCTCCTTCCATGACAAGGTGACCCACTTAGTGGACAAAGCAAAGGCTGTGGATGTTGTCTACCCACCTTTGGGAGATTTTGTTGTGGTTCCCAGTTAGAGTAGATGTGCAAGTCCCAGGTAAGACCTGCCAATGGACACGCCAGCTATGGACCTGCCCATAGATTTAACTGTGAAGATTAGATCTGGCCCTACGTTCTACTTATGAACATGGTGACCAAGGATCAGTAGTCGTGGGGCACTTGTGATGTAACACCCTTACTCTTTAAGAAGAGACTTAGTAATGTCACTTAGTAATGTACTTTGTTATTGATTCTCCTTTCTCTATTTTATTTCATTTATTTTCTTATGCTGGATCACCCTTGGATTTCAGTTTTCTGATCTGCCTTCCTTATGATGGCAAAGACTATCACAGCTAACTATAATAACATGAAAAGAAGTTGTATTGATTAACAACTTAAACTCTAAAATCACAAAATAAAGACTGTTTATGATGGCTTTGAAAACCAATATTGCTCTTTTGAACAGATCCACTGAAAAATATGATGTGGATGAAGTTCAAATCTACCATGGACATAAAGCAGAACTATAGACAATGGTCTTGATTTTGATGTCTCTTGTTTTATAACAGACTTCAGCTGAAGCCCATGTGGAAACAAAAATTCAGAGACTCTGACAAATGTAGCCTGAAATAAGAAAATGTGAGTTACCTCAGGCACAGAAACTGGGGGATTAGATTCCAGACCATCTTTCTCAGCTGCTGCAGATTTCAGTACTTGACTCCTCTGGCACACCATTTGTTGGACCTGCTCTACACCTTCTCTGTATGACTGATTCTCGACATCACTACGTTTCTCCTTTTGGTGTAAGAAAACCAAAAGAAACAAGTAACTAAAAAGCCCTAATCAAGCCTTCACAATAGTAATTACAGTGTTTGAGATGACAGAGTTACTAAGCCCGTAATTACAGGTAGATGAGGAAAAACCACAATTACACCTCACAATTTATTCTGGGCAAGGTTATGGCAAAGGAAACCACTTAGAAGAAGCAGTGCTGTAATTTTGTTAAAAATTTATAGAAAAATTGCAGATTGCAAGTGTTCTTCCTCTGACCTACACTATTCACATAGTTATTCTAACCATGGACCTTGAGCTGTGTACCCCTGGATGCAGCCTTGAATTCATTTTTTAAAGGTTTATTTTTTCCTGAGGTTCCACTCTTGTACTTGAACTGTAGACAGAGAGTCTGTGGTCACACTCCCAGCCGATTACCAGGCACAGTATTTCTGTGGGCAGCCCATGCATTTGCTGTATGTACATGCCGAGGTATTTGCCAACTGTAGAGTCATGACCATGGTGGAGAACACAGCATTAGGGACTGATCCATGCTGCATGGATATCTGAGCTAGTGGCTGCAAGTCAGATAGGATATACACTGAAAGCAGCCCACCCACAACTCAGAATGAACAAATTAACCCCAATTCTCAGCAAGCTCATGAGTGCACACTGTGCTCCATCTTGTCACAACTACACTGCTTTCAGCTTCTCACACAGTTTGTGAAGGTCTAAGAAAAGTCTGGCTCTGTCTACTCTACAAAACCCTTTCAGGGAGGGGATTACAGCAATGAAACCTCTGTTAACCTTTTCAACTCCAACAAGAACTTAGCATCTTCCCACTTATTATGGCCCCAGCTCCGAAACACTGCTCTGGTTTGTTGAAGTTCCCATTGTACCAGGGTGCAGCACACAGGACACAGCATTTCAAATACAACTTCGTATGTGCAAAGTAAATATGTACATAAGAAATCTAAATAAACGAAAGAGACTCAAGCAAAATAACAGTATTTAAGCAAAATGGTAAGACCTCCAGGCGACTTGGGATACAATATCCTCAGAAAACCACTTTGTGGCAGCCCACAGTAATGAAAAAAAATAAAATCCCTCCATACTAATTTCAAATATACAAGAAAGATGTGTTAACTCTCTGAATCTTAAGTACACAGCACATCAGAAAAAGTAGCCTGGTGTAACTTGAGGGTTTTTTTTAATTTTACTTAGTAGTACTATGTTCTACTGTAACTAAACTGTATATGTGTACCCTCAAATTCAATCACTCTTGTGCAATCTCATGTCCAGTTACCTCTGCTGAATGGGTTTCCTTTCTTGTTTCATCACCTTCAATACCAACACCATCCTGATGCCTTTCCAGTTCTGCTTCACCACTCTGAGCCGCATTGTCCAGAACGTCCTCTTGGACCCTATCATGTCTGTCCATACCTGGGCTCTCTTTATCAACCTGCCCCTGATTTGAAAAATACAAAGTGTTTACAACCAGTTAAAGTTGTAGTCCAAAATCTATGTCTACTAAGAAACATCACACACCACAAACTGTCTTCAGCTTAGCTTAATGAATGAAGGAAAAGGCTGAGGTAACCCAAACCCAGGGTCTCTTGGAAACACCTACTCAGATCAGTTTTCTGTACCAAGACCTTAATCACTAAAAAACAGTTTCAGGATAAACCAGACAGGAGTAAGTGCTCACATGATTTTTTTAATACTGTCATAGAAGCTTCTGCTTCTAAGTATGACATATTTGGCAACTCTAACTATTCATCTTGCTCCTTCTCCAGGAATCCCAATATGGATGGTTTCCACTCCGACATTTTGATAGTCATCTCTCCCAGCTACTGTTATCACTCAACGTTCAGGTCAATAAGAGCATTCTCCAAATTGTTCCCTCAGCTTTGCACATGTGAAGTGATTTACAGCGTGAACATCCTGAGGTCCCCTAAAGATGAGTAGTTCCAGGTTAGTGACCTCTCATTACCTACCTTGTGCACACGGGTGACAAAACCTGTTGAAATTACAGGTATGTTACAGGTTTTGCATCATGGAGAAAGTGGGTCTAAGCCCTCGGGGCTTGTAGAGATCATCGGATTGATCTCTTGCACACTTCACATGAGCAAAGCTGAGGGGATGATTCGGAGAACACAATTTATCATTCCTTTCATCAGATAAGGAAAATATGCCTCTGTAAGACTATACATTTTATGGAATTACATATGCATCTCTAGGGAACAGACACACAAACAAACATATAGATATATATACACTGATACGTATTAGAACATATTTGTCAGGTACCTGAACAGCCTGCCCCAATCTGTCCTTGCTTCGACAGCCACTCTGCAATGGACTGTCTGACAAAAAGCTGCTTTCCTCCAAAAAAGAACCATTTTGCTTCTCTTTCTCTGATATATTTCCATTTACCTCTTGACCCTAAGAGAAATAATATAAAAGAAAACCTGCTTGTGTGACTGTAAACATTACATTTTAACATCAGATCTCTGAATGGCAAGAATTATTATTTATGAAAACAAACAGGAGAAATATTGTGCTGCAGTTCTAAACAAGTCTTACTGGTTTAAAGAAGCTCTCCAAGTTCTTTGGCAGAGGCATATCTGCAATTTTCTGATCTATACACCTTATCTCCTTGTTTCCTGACCAAGGATACCTGCTGTAATCATGTGCAAGAGAAGCTATGTGCAGGTTCTGTTTAAATGGAAAACTCCAGTTTTAAATACACATTAATGGCTTGCGATAGACTTGTTATAACAAGTTGAAGGAGTTCTCCACATCTTTGATTTACACACATAGATTTACAGAAGGCTTAATTCCAATGAAATTAAGGATGCAATAGAAGATGCAATATACAAAAGGCATTTGAGAGACAGATGACACTCTAACCAGTTTTCCACTGTCATTATTGACAACAAATAAGCTCACATCATGAATTTCCGAAGGCTCCTTGAACTCCACTGCGGCGGGGCTCTCTTCTGCAGCGACAGGAGTATCAGCAGTGATTCGTCTCTCTCTCTCCAGCATTGTATCTGCCTTATCTTCCATTTGTATTTCATTACCAAGCTCATCTTTTAACTCAAGGGCTTTACTGAAAATATTTTCCTCCTTTCGCTTGACATTTTCAAGTCTTTCTTCCAGACTCCTGTGTTCACTCTGAAGTGTTTCTATCTCTTCCTTAATAAACTTCTGTCCTGGTGAAGAGGTGTTTTGTTTAACAGCTTCTGCTAAAACCAAAATCTTCTTTAACGTGTCTTCGCATCGACTAAGAGGTGCTTGCTGTTCCTTTAAACATGAAGAAAGCACTTTATTGACAAGTATCTTCACTCAATATACTTAATGCTAAGATCTAAAGTCAATCACTAGAACCATAAATATTTGTTATGAACAACAAACTGTGCTGAAAAGTACATGCAGACCTAATTGCTGCAGAAAGTCAAACACTAAACCAGTACTTTTAGCCAGCCATTTTTGTGAACAGAGGAACACCTGAAGCTGTAAGCTTTATGACAATGATAAAATAAACAGATAGCATGTTGTGAGGTGCATAGCAATCTTTCCAAGTTCTGAACTCCACTCCCCTCTCCTATTTCTTTTTACTCGTTAGAGGTATAGCAAATTCTGGAGGAAGGGGAATTGCAGTGTTCCAGATTTGAGCTATGATTTCAGCTTTCAGTAGCTCTCCGCGCTCACAGCTACAAGACTGTTAACCATTCCATCAAAGTGCAAAAGTGTGTCTACTTATGCATGAAGGACATGTCTTAAAGCTGAACTTGGCTCACTGACATTTTCCTAAGCTTTCCTAAGATAATCGACGAAACTGAAGACGACGGTGTTCTTGAGCTAGGACAATTCTACCTTCAGTTCAGCTGACAGTAAAGGTCCATTCAGTTCATTAAGAATGGTTTTAGGCCTACAACTATCTTAATGAAGACCACATACACTTTATATTTTAGAAAAGTTTCTTAGTTTTTCAGTTTGACACCATTAGGAATTGTCTTTTATAAATGTAATGGTCTCTACAAGCCCTTAGGGCATGGACCCACTTTCTCCAGGATGCAAAACCTGCAACATACCTGTGATTGCAACTGGTTTTGCTCAGCTGATGATTGTTGCATTGCTGAACCTTCACAATCAGCAAGCTTCTCAGAGACAGTTTTCAGCTCAGTGCTCAGGCCTGCTACCATATCCTGAAACTGCTGGTGCTCTTGAACGTGACTTTCCAATGTCCGCACTATGGTCTAGAAACCAAGGAGTTTTCAGGATTAGTACACCATTAACTCCAATATAACTCCTCCACAGATTGCCACAGCTTTTCCAGGAACTCAGCAGCACAAAAAAACCTTGCTCATTTCCCATAAAATACCCAGCTAACCACAGGTGCACAGAAAACATCTTTCCCCTCTTCCCCTGCACATCATGGATTCCACAATGAACAAAATCTTCATTAGTAGAGGCAGCAGAAGAGTTTTCATTCCGTAAGAATATACTTCTAAAAGGGATGTTTTCTATTCAAAATGGATGAAAGATTAGATGTAGAATGCCACAAAGTGCAAATGCAATTTGCACTAAACAAACAAGATGCAGAAAAAGCCATTCATACTTTCAAAAGGAAAAAAAAAAACACAGAACAACTACCATAGCTTGGAGATTACAGGAACAAATGCTTCATATTATAGCTATCTGCATCTGTTTATACAAGTATAAAATGTTATTCTTCACACTTACCTTGGTCTCAGTTGTTTAAACATTTACCCCTCTGCAAAGCACAAGGCAGTGGAATAATACGAGCTTCTGGTGATCTTTTTTGCATAGTGACAGTCAGAGAGAGGGGAATTCCCTGCCCTTTTACTGAGGAATTTTCTCCATTCCCAGTTTTACCCCATAAACTTGCCAGGTGAATGACACTACAGGCAAACAGTAAGAACTGCAATCAAAAAGCATACTAATAATCTCCTAAGGAAAGAGGAGGGTTCCAACCTGTAGCTGGCTGAGCAGATTTTCATGCTGGTGTTTTAATTCCAACCATTCTACCTCTGTGAAGCAGGGATCCCCAGTGTGACCCTGTAGGTGATCTTCCCAGCTTTTCAATTCCTTAAATCGGGAAGTTAAGCCTTCTGCTTTCTGCAAGAGGTCAGCATAGTTTGTCAGCTGAGCTTGCTTCTCCTGCAAACCAGGCTGAAGGGCAAAACCTGTTTCCTGTTGCTGTTTCTCCAGTTCAGTTAGAGCCAGTCTCAGATCTTCCTTGATTTGCTCGTATTGCTCCTTGTTGAGCTGATGTTGCTCCTGGGGGCTAAGAAAAAATAATTGTGTTTAATAGTATTTTAAAAAATTGTATTCATTACCTAGAAAATGTCAAATTGTGAACAAGTCAACCATTAGAATGAACTTGAGCATACAGAATACTTTTCTTCACATTTTAAATTGCTGATCAGCTTTAAACCGGAATTTTCAAGCTGATGAAAAACACTTAAGTTATTGCTGCTGAACTGGACTTAAATGCAGAACAAGCAACTAACCCTCTTAACCCTTAACCTATAAAACCTTAGTTTCCAGCATCTGAGATGTGATGCTTGTGCTCTGTATTTTTCCCTTTTTCATTATAGCGGAAGGTCTGTTTAAAAATGACAATATGTCTATGAATCTCTTTTCCTTGACAACGTCTCAGCATAGTCTCCTGAAAGGGAATGTTCTGTGGAAGATACACCTTGCACCAGTTGAGATGGAGCATTATAGAGATACAGACAAACAAAACCAGCATATGCAGCATGGGTCACGTTAGCAAAGTCCAGTGCCTACTTTCCTGACCTTGACACTGGATTTCAATTTGTGTGCTTTATAAGCATGCATACTGATCTGCCGAAGGTGAACAGGTTGCTTTTGTCCACAGGAATTATACAACTATGATCAGAGAGACAAAAGTAACATTTGTATGTTCGCATTTAGTGATGAAGCACAGATATTTTTCCAGATGGAACTTAAATGCCAACGTTCGAAAATATGGTCTCACACAAACAAATCCAAATAAATAAAGTCTGGTTATAGTTCTGTAAAGTACAGCAGGATAAATGAGGACAAAAGCAAAGCTTAAGTGTTGTGGGTTTTGCCCCTCGAGATTCATGTTTTTTGGCAAATGATAAATAAAGCATAGCCTCACATACGGTAAGTACTCCTACTTCAGATTCCAGCTTCACGCTGCTGCCATTACCATGTTGCATCTGTCATTCACAGGCCTGATGCTGCAAGGTCCTGAGCATCTCTTCAGACATGCTGAGCACCTCATCTCCTGTCTTCAACACACTGTGAGGAGGGTGCTCTGCATTCTGCTCGGCTGGATGCAATATAGCCAATGCTCTATCCTTCTCAGCACCACTTGTATTGCTCATACCGACTGCCCACTAATAAGAGAAGGCAACTGAATATTCTCAAAAATACTTGTTTTTAATAATTCGTTCCCTGGTCATTTTTCAGAGAATACACAGTAGGTCTGCTCTAGTTTCATTCATCTCAACAGCAGAGTTCCCAGTGATTTTACTGAAAGTAGGTTCAAGGACATTATGGCAGAAAAATATCTTGAAAGCATCTGCATGTGCAAAATCAGAACTTCAGTTTATGTTTACACAACACAGCTGGAATCCTCTGACATGTTTTAAAGGATCCATTTGGCTCTCAGACACCGCTGCCACAGCGTCAGGGACACTAAAGTGCCTTTGCTGACTTAGCAATACCAGCTGCCACAGCCAAGAAAGCCTCTCAGAGCCAGAACAAATCAGGCTTTAAAAATTCTACTTTAAAAATCCAAGCCTCCTGGATTTACCCCAAAACTCTCTTCTGAAGTAGTATAGATCTATGCAAAGGTAGATCCCAACTCTGCTGGGTGAGTATGTGCTTGGGGCACAGAGCCCAGATCCCACTGCAGGGAAGGGCCACAGCAGTGGTTAAATCAATGTGCCCCCACGGCACAGTCTAATGAAACAAGGAGCAATGGGTGCATGTTTGTTTTGTTTTGTTTTTTCACAAGAGCAGCTGAGTTACTGCAGTATCAAAAAGGAATCTGAGGCAAGCTGGACAGACCTCATCAGTTCGGTTCAATCCAAACTATGATCTGCCCCTCCACAACACTGCAGAAATACAAGTATTTTTGTAGGTATCTTGTTCCGTCCCCCCGAAAAAAACACAAATTCAATGGAACTGTTGCAGGAAGAAGAGAAGAAAGTCAATATAGCAGTGAGTGATCTGTACTGCCTGTTGACAAATTCCACCTTACCTGCTATATTCAGCAGCTAACTGACAGGTACTTTCCCACTGCTTCTGGAGCTCAGAAATAGTCTCCTGAATCGCTGACTTCTGTTTCTCATTTCTCATTAAAGTTTCTCCTAGAGCTGCCATCTTCTGTATTTTGGCCTCTCCTGCATCTTTGAGAGCTGTGATTTCCTGTATTAAACAAGAAGCGGTACATACACAACTATTTTTGGTTACAAAAGAAAACATATTACCAATTATTTTTTTTCATACTCTGTACACTGCTGTGCAAGACATAAGAATTCTCTTCCCAATATATCACATAACAGAAGTATAAATGGATCATCTAGTTTTAGAAAGTCTGGGATAATGAAACTGATTTATTAATTATTCTCCATATAACAAAACCAATATTGTGCTGACAAATAAAAAAATGCTGGGAACCTTAGGAAGGGATATTTGTCACAATACTACCCCTTCCACAGAACGAAACATGTAAATCCTAGCATCCCCATTTCTGGCTACTCTGTTAGGAGGCCTCCTGAGCAGTCAGAGAGAAGAGACACCAAAGAGGACAATGGGGACTAAGAGATCCACCCAGGCAGTGGAGCAGCCCAGCACAACGGCACTGCAGGATGCCTGAGAAGCCACACACGTGTCAGAAGCTCCCTGGATGCCTCAGCCCCATTACTGACCTCCCTCTCCACCACTGGAGTAGGCTATGATGAAAAGGTCCACAGCCACCAGCACCTTCTGAGTTCAGTGCTCTTCCATCCAGAGGTGCAGCAGAGAATCTCATCTTATTTGAGTAATAAACTATGCAAAGCCAAACAAAAATCCCAAGGCTTCTCCACCCCTCAAATATGTCAAACTCACAAGCAATGAGCATAGACAGTATCTTTTTTAGGAGGTGCTGACTCATCGAGCATTCCCTTAATATTACCATGAGCTGTGAAGTGGAAAAGAAACTCATTTAAACACAATACCTTTATCTGATTAATCCTTTCGTCTGATGGCAGCTCACTTTGCTGTGAACACAGGTTAACAGCCCCCTCGAGCTTTTTGATCCAGCAAGCAACATCCTGAGCAAGTTCTTCAAAATTTTGTCCTTCCACTGGAAGTCTCTCAGTATTCCCTGCCATTCCACTTACATGTGTTAGCAGTGTTTGGTATCTGCTAATAAGATCACTGGCTTCTGAAACGGTTTCATCTTCTGTCAACTGAGCCTCCCTCAAGGAATTTGCTAGCTGAGCTATGGAGTCAAATGGTTTTCTGAAAAATGCAAAAAATTAATAAAGATCTATTTGTTGTAACAACATGGAACAATCTTCTTTAGAAGACAATTCTTAGATAGAGACCAAAGAAAACAATACCTCTGCATTAATAGTGTTTTATGGAAGTTTTCAAGTTTTGTCTCATCTTTTTTGATCTCTTCTAGTTTTGCTTCCTGAGCAGTGAGCCATTCTTCCAAGACTGTGCTGCTTTCTTCAAGGCTAAAGGGAGTATAAATACAGATACAGGTCAAAATGAGAGGTGCTACATGACTAACACCTGCTGCCAGCAGTGTTTTGCTGAAAAAGTAACATAAATACCGTGCACCTAATCAAGCAAAGTTTTAAGCACAAGCTTAATTTTTAAGTATCTCAGTTCATATCAGTGAAACTATCCATAAGCACATACTCTCATATAAAACTGAGTCTGCTACAAAGTGAAAAAACACATGAAGCATACAACAAAACACTCACTACCCTTTACTAAAATACCATCTTTAATAAAAAGCAGGGTTGTTTGCCATTCACTATGGCTGTTTAATAATGAGTCATTTTATATCACTTGTGATTAAAATGTCAGAAACTACGTTAAATCCCTTACCTACTGAGCTGCTGGAGAGAAGCATCAAGTTCCTTTTCCCGTTTCTGACATTTGGAGATCAATCTTTGGAGTTCTGCTTCTTGATCTCTCACATGGCTGTTAAGGTGGTTAATGCTTGCTTTGGGCAAGTAATGCTTCACTTTATTCAATAAAGTTTTAACCTCTTGGATATCTCGGTCTTTGCCTTCAGATGTTAGGAATCGCTGGAGAAGAGCACAAACCCAAGATGCATTTGTCAAATTTGCTGTTGTATAATAGAGAACTGTCACAAGAGTTTATCAACTCCTGTTACCAACACTGTCTACAGCAATTCCAGTTCCTATATATTTTTATTATATAAAATATATATGTTAATTCACAGTTTGCTGACTATTCCATTTGCAAATGGAAAAGCTGCTGTCTGCAGAAAAAAGAGAAAGTGAAGTAGATACTTGGATTTTCTTCTCTACAGCACAAATACATACAGAAGAAATAGGCAAGCAGCATTCAAACCTAGCACTGACATGACATCACTATGTCTTCTGCCACTTATCTGGAATTGCTTCTTGCGGGTGGTATTCACCAGGGTAGGTGAATTCATGCCCAACAATCAACTCCTGTATAAAAAAGTAAAACTTCAAGAACAATCAGTTTTAAAATTAGAACATTTTAATACCTCACCTTTAGCCTCTGCAGTCTTTCTTCCAGTATCGTTTTTGTTTCTGAGGGGTCAAAGCAGTCCTTCAAAGAGAGCTGAGTGCTGCTGAACCAATCATTAAAATTCTTGCACTGGCCTGAAACATAAAAAAAGACACATTCCAATTTTCTTCATTAATTCTATTCTGTAAAAGAAAATCCTATTTAACATGAAGATCTCAGACAATTTGTAATTACATTTATCAGCGCTACTGTCAAAGGTTGCTTTTCACTACAGACTTTTTGATCTCTTCTAGTTTTGCTTCCTGAGCAGTGAGCCATTCTTCCAAGACTGTGCTGCTTTCTTCAAGGCTAAAGGGAGTATAAATACAGATACAGGTCAAAATGAGAGGTGCTACATGACTAACACCTGCTGCCAGCAGTGTTTTGCTGAAAAAGTAACATAAATACCGTGCACCTAATCAAGCAAAGTTTTAAGCACAAGCTTAATTTTTAAGTATCTCAGTTCATATCAGTGAAACTATCCATAAGCACATACTCTCATATAAAACTGAGTCTGCTACAAAGTGAAAAAACACATGAAGCATACAACAAAACACTCACTACCCTTTACTAAAATACCATCTTTAATAAAAAGCAGGGTTGTTTGCCATTCACTATGGCTGTTTAATAATGAGTCATTTTATATCACTTGTGATTAAAATGTCAGAAACTACGTTAAATCCCTTACCTACTGAGCTGCTGGAGAGAAGCATCAAGTTCCTTTTCCCGTTTCTGACATTTGGAGATCAATCTTTGGAGTTCTGCTTCTTGATCTCTCACATGGCTGTTAAGGTGGTTAATGCTTGCTTTGGGCAAGTAATGCTTCACTTTATTCAATAAAGTTTTAACCTCTTGGATATCTCGGTCTTTGCCTTCAGATGTTAGGAATCGCTGGAGAAGAGCACAAACCCAAGATGCATTTGTCAAATTTGCTGTTGTATAATAGAGAACTGTCACAAGAGTTTATCAACTCCTGTTACCAACACTGTCTACAGCAATTCCAGTTCCTATATATTTTTATTATATAAAATATATATGTTAATTCACAGTTTGCTGACTATTCCATTTGCAAATGGAAAAGCTGCTGTCTGCAGAAAAAAGAGAAAGTGAAGTAGATACTTGGATTTTCTTCTCTACAGCACAAATACATACAGAAGAAATAGGCAAGCAGCATTCAAACCTAGCACTGACATGACATCACTATGTCTTCTGCCACTTATCTGGAATTGCTTCTTGCGGGTGGTATTCACCAGGGTAGGTGAATTCATGCCCAACAATCAACTCCTGTATAAAAAAGTAAAACTTCAAGAACAATCAGTTTTAAAATTAGAACATTTTAATACCTCACCTTTAGCCTCTGCAGTCTTTCTTCCAGTATCGTTTTTGTTTCTGAGGGGTCAAAGCAGTCCTTCAAAGAGAGCTGAGTGCTGCTGAACCAATCATTAAAATTCTTGCACTGGCCTGAAACATAAAAAAAGACACATTCCAATTTTCTTCATTAATTCTATTCTGTAAAAGAAAATCCTATTTAACATGAAGATCTCAGACAATTTGTAATTACATTTATCAGCGCTACTGTCAAAGGTTGCTTTTCACTACAGACCACGTGACAGAAAATGCTGCAGTTCATACTTTTTTTTAACCCAACTTTAACTGACAATAAAAATAGCTGTTCACTTGGGAGGGACAGTCTGCTATACGTAGCAGTTTCAGTCAACAGGATCTGGATTAGTCTACTGGCCACTTTTCTAATTTCCACACAAACGACTATCACTCAAAAACTATTTGAAGATGAGGCTCCCTTCTGACTTAATTCTACACCTGCACAATCCTTTGTCTGCATGAAACAAAACATAACTGATAACGCCATTCATTCTCATAACTAAGATTAAATAAAAATGACTGGAAAAAATGAAAAAGCTTGATTTCTGTATTTTTAAATTAAGTGTTCTGACATTTGTTCCTGGATTATGCTTTATACTTCTTTTATCTGTTTTTTAAATGCAAAAATAAGAAACAAAATAATTTGATTCAGACTGAGTGTTTGTTGGAATCAAAAGCCATTTTCATGCAAATCTTTCTTTTGTTCAGAACCCTGAAGCAGTTTGAGATATCGAAGCAGTTTCAGACACCGAACCAAACGTAAATTAGGCACATAACCTTTAAGAGATTATGATGGTCAACACAAACCTATAAAGCTACATAAATGTGTAATGTGTTTGCTTACGGTTCAAAACTCCGATAAAGTGATCTTGAAACACATGTTTCTTCTTATTAAATAAATCAGTGACACATTGAAGCTGCTTATTTAATTCATCCACATCAGGACAATCTGTCTCTTCTTGGAGTAATGTCACATGGTGCTTTTGTTGCAGAATTTTCTGGTGTATCTCCTAAAGTTTAAAAAAAAAAAGACAACTTTTAAGAATTAAAACTGTAAATGCAAGGAGGAGTTCACTGAGCAGAGCAGAGCTGCTTCAGTAAAACTAGTTTTGCAAAAGGTTTTATTCCTGCCTATCTATCAAAATAATTTCTTAAAGTATATTGACATTAACAAGGCAATAAATCGGCACTAAACTCTCCTTGAGCAGTGGGTATACATCTGTATGCATAATCACACATACACTCACGCACATTTTAGCATCACACAGAATAGATACGTGCAGTGCACAGTAATATAGTATGTTCTAGAGCACATAATACCTAGAAGGTGTAATGCCTCAGCTGACATAGGCACCATTCCACCCCTAAATGCCTTACTCTGTATGTCAAGTCCCTTTCAAGTAGGTTGAAAGGTAACTTAGAGCGAGCTGGGAGAATTAATTAAAAGCTGTATCTTTCTTCCAATGCCTGTGATTTCAATGGTGTGACACCCAGAACAGGCATAATCCACTCACTGCTCAACAGGGGGTTTAAATCTCACCAGCCTTAAACCTCCAAGCAGGAAGCAGTTCTTTCTTCACCTCTCTCCCTGGTGCACAGAGGATGGAAGAGTTGGCTTAAATTGCCTGCTCAGAGCTCCCCTCACGGGCAGCCTGGAGTGGCACAAAGACAACCTCTGGGTATTACCCAGTGGTAGAAAAGATACAACTCAGTACCCCCAGTACTGCTTCAACGTACCTTGGGTGGTGTACTGTTGTCACACCTATCACTAACCATTTCCAACAGGTGCAAGGGTTAACTAATTATATCTGATGACACTCAGTGAAAACACCCTTTTCACTCATGTTTCTGGTGGCTTAAAGAAATATTCAAGCCAGGCTCTTCACTTGAGTTATTCCAGCAGTTTACAACATAGACAGTAGAAGCACTTCAGAAGACTTGCCCCAGGAGAGAAATAATGAAAAAAAGATTATAAAAGACGCATAATTTGTGGTACGCTACCTCTAATTTAGTGAAGATCTCTAAGGTATCAGAAGGAGACAAAGCTTTTAAAAGCGATTCAGTCATTCCAATTTGTGTCTTGGCCAGATCAAGGTCTCCTTTTAGTTCTGCTGTATTCACGCCGAGTTCACTGGTCCCCCGCTTTGCTGACAAGAGCTCTTTGATTAGCTCCATTTTTTGCACAACAGATGATCTGATGACCTTAAAATTGGAATTAAACATACATAAGAAATTATTCAGAATTGATTTCCTAGAACATTACAGAGCTCCAGGATAGACATAAAAAGCAATGAAATGATCTAAGTCCAGACGTTTCAATCACAGCTTGTTCCAGTTTCCTTCCCTCCCACTCCACAAATTGAAAAATAATAGTATTTAAGCCCTGCTTTTACCGAGGAGGAATGATCTCAGTTCATCTTTATTAGTGATGCATTTACTGGTGCTGCTTTACTAATAAATTTATTTGTCAATCTACTCCAGTGTATACTCTCAGCTGGAAGAAGGCCTTACATGCACTTTGGCTACCTGGAAAAAGAAGGTGTCAGCTCTCTTTGTAACACACCTTCCTGCAGTGATCCCACCAGGGCAAATTTCCCACAGCGACCCAAAAAACAGGCAAGGACAGCAGAGAGGTGAGGAGCTCTGGCTGGAAACTAGTCACTAAGGAGCAACAGGTCCTTCACCTCATCCTTAAGGCTTCTACAGATTGCTTGCACAAGGCAGCAACTCAATGGGACCATGGCCACATGCTGAAACACCACCCCAGGGGGCTCAGGGTGTCTGGTGCTCCCAAGGAGCACAGTGTGGACAGTACAAGGTTGTCAAGTCCTTTCCTAAGCTCCTTACATCACTTTGCCCGGTCAAACTCCGAGGAGTTCACTGCCTGCTGAGGATAAACACACAAATAGCCAAACCAGGTCAAGCTAAAGGTGTATCTGACAGACTGGGAGCAGATGCTTAGGGAACTGGTATAAGATCAAGGTAGGCTAACGTCTCAGGGGAGAAGGATGTATTCTTTGCTGTTTGAAGTTAACACAAAAAATAGGAAGGTTTCCTTGCGATATCCCAAAGGAAAACATCACAGTAAACACCACTCTACCCAAATAGCTACATACTGCCAAGCTACATTCAGCCACATGCAGGTAAAGGTACAGTTTAAAATAGGCATCCACCAAGCTGGGATCCCCAAAGGGATGATGAGGTCCATCATGCCTTGGTTCTTGGCCAAGAGCTAAAAGCCAGTTATCGCTGATACTGGCCTCTTTCAGCAGGGTCAGGTCTAAGTGCCTAAAAGGTACAGGACTGAGAGAAGCCTTTGTGTTCAAAATGACAGGCTTGGGTCTAACAGCTTGAGAAAGACAACAAAGGAAAAGTCACTGCTTATAGCCAACAAAACACCTCCAACTCTCTTTGGGTATATTTAAGTCAAATCAAGAAATGATTATGGCAAAGGCGATAATAGAAGCTGGGCTGTAGTAATTAGTACGGGCTTATTAGCTGTAAAAGCTTCTTCATACCTGTAGCTCCAGTGGAGGTTCATTACTATTCAGAAGTTCTTCTATCTCAGCCACCGTGTTGTCAAATTTCTGCAGTTTCTGCTCTTGGACTTTTAAGCATGCCTAAAGGTGGAAAAAACCCACATTAGTAACTTCATTTCCCCCTAAATTAAATTTCCAACGTTTCTGTTAGAAAATTATATTACTAATATTCTTATTCTGCATTTTGGCATATAGAGCTCCCACATCTGGTTGATTTTCATTTTAGCAATTCAGACATTTGTTTTGTATTAGATTAAGACAGACTCTACGTTTCTCAGGCAAAGTAGTTGCTAATGTTAAATTTCTGCTAGATGTACAATCTCAATTATTTTACTTCTATATTAACCCAAATAAACTTGCAGGAAAATAATCTAAATTTTATGTTTATTTCTCGCTGCTTCTTTTAAAAAGCACTTATTTAAATGTAAATCCTTTGTATACAAAAAGACCTCTACTCATTTGAATGGATTTCGGAACAGGCCAGTAACGTGAATGTAAAATACCAGCTTCAACCTATGAAACAGGATATATCTAAAATAGTCATTCTGTCTTGTATTCCCAAATTGGTATTCCAAACTCTCTCAGCACAAAGTATTCCTTTGCAGTCTCTAGACAAGCAGCCATAAAAACCCATTCACATGTTGCAGCCCTTAAAAGAGTTCCCGTTTGCATACTGGCTAGAAGGGAAAGCAGAACTTCTCTCACATTATTTATACTGAAATAATCTTTAAATATTCAGTCAAATAATTCATTACTCTGTTCTTTTACGGGAGGCTTCTTGAAAGCACATACACTGGTCACAAGGGACCCTGGGTTTCAAGTCTATGTAACATGATATATTGCAACAGTTAAGGGTTTTTTTTGTAATTAACCTTAATGTAGAGATGTGTCAGGATCAACAACAGATGAAATAATAATAAATTGTTAAATGAACCTGACGCCTTCTGCACCTTAAAGCACTTCACAAAAACGCCAACGGAACGAGTTTTCTCTCCTTGTATTCTGCTTTTATGGAAAATAAATGAATGCCAATAGAAAAGGTGGTTTCTCTCTCCCTTGCCCTCTCCTCCCCTCTCTTTTCAGAACTCCAGTCTCGTGTGGGAGCAGGAGAGTAACTTCAGCAGAGCCAGAGCCCAGCACAGCCCTTCCTAAGCACCTGTAGAGGCAGGTTGGGGCATGGTCACATCATGCCAGGCTTCAGCAGTTTCCAGGTAACAAGAGCTCTTAAGGTGCAGTTGCCACCTTGGACATTTCTACTGGAGCCCTCAGGGACCTGAACCACCCAAGGTAAATTCTAACAACGGTAAAGGCAATAATAATGTGACAAAATATGCCCCCCTGCACAGCGTGGGTGCTGCTGTTTCCCTGGGAAGATCTATATACAAAGAACACCTTGGCTTTTTATTGAACTGCAAATTAAAACAAATGAGCAGTACTAACATGCTGCAAATAGCCATAATAAAACCCAGGGCATTTGCAGCATGTAAACACTAAGAGAAAACTGCCTGCATGTTTTCAAAAAAGCCAATATGGAATATATTTATCTCTCATCCCCTCTCAAGCTGGAATTTATTTTTGTTTAGTAGACACTGGCTATAACCACAATGAAGCAGCTGGTGGATTATGGTCCTGAAGTCAGAAATTAAAATAATTACACCTGTATGTAAGGCTCTTCAGTGGCACAGAGCTAGTGTGTGTGTTTTTACACCCGACTGCACCCCGATACCAAGAGTTAATGGTACCACGGTGTGCTGATGTCTGCCCATGTGCAGCCCCTGGAGACCCTCAGCAGCCAGGCACTATTAAGGGGTTGCATTAATTTACACTGGGGAGCACACTGGGACAAGGATCCCAGGAGCAAATAAGCCACCTCCAGAACCTCTTCTTGAGCTGTGCATTGCCCAGCCATTTCTGAGGCTCCAGTATCTGCACCGATAGGCAATTTCTTAAAAAGAAACAAAACAAAAACAACCTTAATCATTAGCCTACAGACACTCTCCTCCCTTTCTTCTCTAGGCAGAAGGAAACATACACTGCTGTACTCCAGACTACGAGCTTTCCAGGTCTTCTCTTTGCTGTGTGTTTGTACAGCACAAAGAAATGAGGGTGTTTTTGATTCTAAAGCAGCATTTGCAGCGTTGCATTAATTTTAAACAACTTAATATGCATATACACTATCTATTTATTCGTTTCAAAGACCTTTATTCCCAATACCTTATCCAATATCTTCAGTGACGCTACCCACATACATACAATTGCAAATGTTACAACCTCCTCTGCTTTTGCAGTGCTGATATTTCTATGCAACGTGCATGTTTACAGTCCGAAGTCTGTATCACTACAGTATAAGTTAAGGGTAAAAGATTTCCATTCAAATTACCTTCAACTGCGTAAGGTCCTCTTCAGTCAGACAACGGTCTTCTGCATTCTCAAGTTCTGCGTGTGCCCAAGCGCTGATTGTGCCAGATAAACTAAGAAGTTTGTCCCACAGAGCCTGAGCTCTTCCCAAATTATCACAGTAGTTTTCGGTCTTTTCATTGATCTAGCAGGAGATTTATATAGAGAAAATACACACAGATGTCAAAAACGTTGAGGTATATTCTAAAAGCAAATGCAGCATAATAAAATCTGAGCAAGATGAAACCACCCACAAAAACAAGCAGCGCGACATGGGAAAAAATCTCCTGTGTCTTCACAGTGAACTGGTCACAGAGAAGATATTTAAATCCCTGCCACACATGTCGCCAACCATACCAATCACAATGGCAGCTTGCCAGTTTTAAGGCAGGTTTAGGAAGGAGCCTCGCTCATTAATGTTTATCTACTCTCAGTAAATACCATCTAATCTCAGTATTGATGCACTGCTTAGACTGACAGTGGCAAACACTTCTCACCAAAAGCACCAGAATTGTAATTCTCCAGATTGTCTCCAAAGTCTAAATCCACAGAGGTTTTTACGGAAGCTTACAAATTCATGCAGAAAGCACAAACACTGCCTTTCTGCATTTCCTGGAATTATTTACTGTCAAGGAGTACCCATGATATAAACTACCTGAGAGACCAGAAACATGATGCCAATACATGTTCTGCAAGCTTTGCTCTGGTAAACACTTGGATTTATCTCTTAAGAATGTTTGCCATATTGCACTTAATTTATTCCAAATATTACACACCCGTCAGAATCAATTACTATAATGCATAACAGATAAGACCACCCTGATAATTTACTTTTTACATACATCCAGCCATCTGTCCACAATAATGTTAGCCTCATTCTCGAACGGGGGCTCCTCAAAGCTTCTCATTTTATTGAGCTGGAATTGAAGGTTTTTGCAGATCTGATTTATTTTGTCTACATCTTCAGAGTGATCATTAAATTCCTCTTTTGCCTCTTCAATCTGTGAAAAAGACCAAATGGGCGTTTACGAGTATGTTTACTTGTGACTGTTTATTCAGCAAAATATTTTTAACTGATGTTTAACTGTTCTTTTTAAGTTAGAGAAACACAGAGCACCACACAAAATTATCTAATTTATACAATATGTCAAGACTAGGAACGTATCCTGTGTTGTTATACCCCTGTCATGCTGATAGGAACATTTCCCTGTTAGAAATCCACTTCATTCTGTTGTTGGCTGCAAAATAGCTGAGTGGGAGCTATGGATAACGTATTTCTGACCAAGAGAGCCAAAACTACAATTTGCTTTAGAAGTTGTAATCACAAGGTCCAAGGGGTCTGCACATCCATACACAGAACCTGGGTTATAGAAATAAACAATGTACAATGGAACAATCATCTGAGATACTATTACAACTAGAAAAATTATATCCTGGCATTCTGATTCCTAGGTTTTGAACTACTTTTTAAGGAAAGCTTACACACTATTTAAACATAACCATTGTGAAATATGCCACCGCCAGACACTGACCTTTTTCCTACTTTCTATTTAAACACTAGCCGACTTCTTTGTGCTTAATTGCAACGTCAGTGTTTACAAACAACACAGTAGCTCGCTGGAAAAGAAACACTGACCTCTAGTGTTAGGCTATTTGATATTAAAAGCGCTCCTTATTCCCCAGAGACAAGCATTACATCCTCTGATGTACAGCTACCGCCAGCCACTGAGAGAAGGGGAGGGACAGCAGAGCAGCACTCACGAATCACAACAAGGCAGAGAATCTTCTCCGTTGTTATCTTATATAATTAAAAATAACAAACCATCAGCACTCAAGGACGTGCCTTTTACTGTGCCTTCCTCATCAGAAGGCCTAAAAAACGGGACGTGACCAACCAGATGTGTCACCCAGGCAGGAAATATGAAACCCGTACAATGAAACGGTCACAATGGAGATGCCTCTGTTCACTAATCCATTAGCCACGGACAGCTGTGCCCAGTGGTTGCATTCATTTAACCAAAAAGAACGTAGCTGACTGCCAAATTTTTTGCCAAGGATCTGATATAGAAGGACTGTCTTCTAAGTAGATTTGTAACACGGGAGAAGTGAGAGGAGAAATACATTGTTACAGCTTCTAACTGCAACACAGTTTGGTCAGCAAAGTCAGTGTGAGGGCAGAGATTCACGTTGCAAATATAACCAGCTCAAAGAAATACTGGATGATCAGCCCAGCCAAAACCATTTTGGCCTCCAGAAGTCCAGATCCCAAGGCAGCCCGATGATGACAATCCCCAAGCTGCGACTGAGAGCCACAGCAATGACACACAGGCAAGGACACAAGGTCCAGCCCGGGAAGCAGGATAGATCTGTCATGACCCAGACTCTGAGCAAATGTGCCACGCTGACACAGAATCACAGAATGATACGGGGTTGGAAGGGACCTCTGGAGATCACCTAGTACAACCCCCCTGCCAAAGCAGGTCCACCCACAGCAGGCTGCACAGGAACCTCTCCAGGAGGGTTTGAATGTCTCCAGAGGAGACTCCACCACCTCCCTGGGCAGCCTCTTCCAGGGCTCTGCCATCCTCACAGGAAAGAAGTTCCTCCTCATGTTTAGGTGGAACTTCTTACATTCAAGTTTGTGCCCATTTCCGCTTGTCCTGTCCCTGGGCACCACTGAAAAAAGACCGGCCCCATCCTCTTGACACCCTCCCTTGGAGTATTTATCAGCATTGATCAGATCCCCCCTCAGCCTTCTCTTCTCCAGACTAAAAAGCCCCAAGTCCCTCAGCCTCTCCTCATAAGGGAGATGCTCCAGGCCCCTTATCATCTTTGTAGCCCTCTGCTGTCCCCTCTTCAGCAGTTCCCTGTCCTTCTGGAACTGGGGAGCCCAGAACTGGACCCAGTGCTCCAGATGGAGCCTCCCCAGGGTAGAGGGGCAGGATGACCTCTCTCCACCTGCTGGTCACCCTCTTCCTGATGCCCCCCAGGATGCCATTGGCCTTCTTGGCCACAAGGGCACATTGCTGACTTATGGTCATCCAATGGACACGGCCTGATGCTGATCCTCTGCAGATCCTGCTTGCTCGGGGCTAGGGGAAGATCTCTGCAGAGCACGGCACAGTGCAGACAAACCTTGCAGCCCTGCCTGACCCAGCGACACCAACAAGGAGAGGATATGGTTTTAAATTCTAGCTCAGTAGGAAATACAGAAATATCCTAAAGGGTGTGGGTGAATATGGCTGATTTTAACACATGGTTTTGGTAGGACAGGATTTTATCTTATTTTGATATGAGATCATAGTTTTTCTATGGGTTTGTTTTGTTGTTTTTTTTCTGTTTAATTCCCCCCCTTCAATAAGGCCTTGATGTCCAGCAAAGCTAGACATCAACTTAAAACAAAACCAGAGTACGGTCCCTAAATTTATTTTGGAAGCTAAAGTGAAAACAAGATCTTAATATTTGCCCTGAAGGCTGGGCATTCATGGGCAACCCTACACCCGAAAGCTCCCAGGAAAAGCTTTTCTTTCCTTTTCAGTTAGTTCTTGTTACTCACCTTTGTTATTAGTCTATTCAGATTCTCCTTCCCCATGTAAGAAGTTTGCTGTGAAAGCACAATCTCCTGTTTCTGGATGATGCTGGTCAGACTAGCTTTGCAGCTTTGATATTGCTTCAGGAGGTCCAGAGCCCTTGCACACTGCTCCTGGCTATTAAAAAGAGAAGTATTATTTATGGCTTAAGTATAACAGAGCAGCCTCAACCTCTTGTCTGCTTCCTTCTCCTATATTCAAACATGCAGGGAGTTTAACTACTACGTTGGGAAGAGAGAAAAGGGGGCATAAACTGTACCAGTCATAAATCCTGCAGTACTGGTGTGGCATTTGGGTAGTTTCAGGAATCAGAAATGCCCTCCACCATCATGTGCCTCTGATTAAGGTTTAATTGTGATGTGACCTGAGAAGTTCTGCTTATATGATACTCTCCACCTGAAAGGTGAGCTCAGTCACCAGAAACTGAAATACAATGTGCAGCAGATACCACAACAGTGTGGGTGGTGGACAGTGGGAAATACCACCCCAGCCTTCAGTGGGATATGAAAACAGGTTGCTCCCACTGACACCTCTGCAAGCCATGAGGATTAACGAGAACTGTGCCAGGCCATGCAAAGCCTCTAGACATCTCCAAAAAAATAGAAGAGGAGGACAGATCCCCTGGGTGATCAGTCATAACTTTTCCCATTCCTCGCTCTCACCAACTTAGCAAACCAAGCTCCTTTATTCTTTTCCTGCATAAGAAACTCTTCCCAGCTGTCCTCTTCCATTTGTTTCAATTTGACTTTTCTTTTTGAATGTGCTGGCATGAAATTCGCAGCAAATACAGAAGACTCATTCCCAGCAGCAGCCAAGTTTTTCTTTTGGATACCAATTAAACCAAACACCAAACACTGAATGCTTTTGCTAAATGATGAGACTGTGAGGTCTTAAAAATCAAACAAATTATGAGCTTTGGCTGCAAATTTCTATGTGCAATTCTTGGCATTATGACAGTTTACAGCATCACAATAATAATATTTGCTACTGTATCAGTATTTAATTTGAAGTATGGTGTAATGCTTTTCTGTTGTTTCATTTTACAAGCAAACTTCTTACTTATACAATACTACTTTAAAATGTCATTTTTCTCCTTACCATTCAGCAAGCAAGAGTTTTGTATCCTCCCATAACCTCTCTGTAACTCTGCACTGTTCATTTGCTTCCTCTGCTTTTTCCTCTTTGATCTGTGGGAGCTTATTAGCAATTTCTCGCATAGGTTTCATTTCAACAGCAGCACAATCCAATTCCTTTTCCAGTTCTGTTAATGATTTTACCCTTTATTAGAAAAAATGAAATACAGCCTTATATTAAAGTAAGTCTCTTTTTTTTCCCCTAATGTAATTATTAAGTTCCCTAGAAATTCATCCTGAGCTGCACATACCAACTATATTAAATGACATCATAAAAAGTCTAATCTGATCTTCAGTTCATGTAATTTGACAGAGTCCTTCAGATGAGTTATGCTGACCTAAGCCCTTTCAGAAAGTAATCCAAAATTCTGAAGTCCAATAGGGTCTGTATGAATGTAGTGAATTACTTTCTTTTAAAAGGTAAGTGCATTCTGGCTATCTTAAAATATGGTCTAAGGAAGCTATTCCATAGCACAGGATTTCAGAACTTAAAAATGGACACAGCCTATAAACTCCTCTCCCCTCCCTTTTTCCACCTGCAGAAACAGTAGTGAATTGTTTATTCATCCTTTGCAAGGCTGCAGAGGGCTCCTCTGAAACAGATCATGTTAGTGGCTTTCTAACAAAGTGTGGTGAAATAACACAAGGCTTCTACAGCACAGTCTCACATCCCATGTGTCAGTGCTCAGCAAAACCACCATCTCCCTCTTTGACAGTTTTCTTACTGAAAACTATGAGCATAACAATCAAACTGGTTTTTCTTCATCAATGCTGCTTCAAACAAAAAGATACATAGAAGTTTAAAGGAAAAGTTACTTAGGCTGGGAGGCTGAGAATGAACTGTAAGCTCACAACTTCTTTCAGTGCCGCACAAACACTTGAAGACCCATTCAAGTTTCAGTGCTCTACTGCAGAGGGGGCACAGGCCTCCCGCGTTCACTGGAATTATGAAATTAAGAGCTTTAAAAAAAAAAAAGAATTCACCTTTGTTGAATAGCTGGAATCGTTGGATCCTTCAAACCTATTTTGTTAATTCTGTCACGTAGATCCTGAATGTTTTTAAGGAGTTCACCATTTTTTGTGGAAAAAATCTTGTATAAGTCTTCTTCCTCTGTAAGCATCTGTTCACTTGAGGGATCATAAATCGCATTTAGCTCTTCAGATAAAGTCAGAACAAGGTTTTCATAGCAAGTCTCTCTCCCACATTCAGCATCTTCCAAACAGATATCAACTGTTTTCAAGCGTTCATCCAAACACTTAGCCTCTTCTGCCATATGAGAAACTTCTTGTGCAACCTCTCTCAAAGCTTTTCCTTGTATTTCAGGTTGACCTGAGGGATCTTTGAGGCATTTGATGGAAGACTGAATCTTCCTCAATGAGGCCATAAAAGCTTCCAGATCTTTAAGGACTGTCTCACGGATCTGCATTTTATGGCTCATTTCTTCAAGCTGGTTTTGATAGTAAATCATAATTTTACTTGCAGCTTGCAGGTCTATTGGATTAAATTCATCTCTTGCTGAACTATCAAGGTGGTCCAATTGTTTGCACACTTCAATCTGATTTAATATGGATCTCTGTAGCTCCTGAGATTAAGAGAATGACCAACAGTGTTAGCAAGTGACTAATACCCGTATCCTGCATTTAAGCTGCCCCTATGACTGAAAAAGAAATTATACTTGCAATAAAATAAGTATGCTAAATAGGGTAGTTGAGAGAGAAAACTTCTTTTTTCCTACTCTGGACTTTGGCGGAGGGAAGAAAAAAAAGAAGAAAAATCAAATAAAATGGTATTACACACACAGGGAATTTGGTCAGCGCTACAGAAAGCCCAAGCCTCTTTCCAGCAATCAGACAAAAAGGACAGAAAGGTAAGAGTTCTGGGACCAAAATCAACAGGCTCTCGCAGTGGGAGATCACTCAGAGCACAGGCGAGCACATAGATGTTTGTCACTCTGCCATGTTTTAAGTTTTTTATGCTATGCTTTTGAGGAAGACTAACAGGCATTTAAAAATCTCTTGGTGAAGTCTGCATGCTATCTGGTTACAGCCCTCAGATGAAGAGCAGTTTGTCAGTGCTGTGAAACTCCAAATGTGCAGACAGCTGGGAAAAAATGCAGGACCCTTCCAGTCAAAAAAAGAGTCCTCTGAGAGAGAGAGAGAGCACATGATCTCTGCCCTACAGCTTGAGAGACCTAAACCCTCCTGAGCGCAAGAGCCAAGGGCAGACAAATGCAAACTTCAGTTCTGCGTGGTGGTCACTGCGTTCAGCTCAGGGTGTGTAGCAAGAACAAAACAATGCTCACCCCACCTGACAGACAGGCAGGAGCCTGGGCAAAAGATACTGATAGCAGGTGAACAAGTCATGCATACACACAGAGCTTCCAAAACCATCCTGGGGCGTGCTTAGATACCTCAGCAGATGTGACAATGGGCAGCTTTGCTCAGCTCACAAATTACCACCACATTTTTTATATATAAATATACATGTCTCCACAAAACAATATAAAGACAGATGGGAACAGCGTAAGTCTAGAAAATCCTAAACTAAGACAAAATGTTTCCAACTGTGTTTTTTACAGTAGAGACTATTCAGGGTCGCTGGCTGGCTTTACAGGAATAAGGACATTTAAAACAAAGGGAGTAAAATGCTGTTGGGTGTTAGAAGGTTTGGGAGGTCTCGTGAGTGGTCCCAAAATTCTGAGTAAAAAATCCCATTAAGCTCTCATGTTCTTAGACATATTAAAAATTATTCTGGCTCAGGTGTGGTCTCGGCATTTTCCCTTACCTTTAGTTCCCTATAAGCAATATCACTGTTCATCAGATTAAACTGCTGGATGTCCTTTTTCTTCAGCCGCTGATCTAATTCACATAGAAGATTGGATTCATTTTCTATTGGCAAAACAATTTCCAAAGCAGTCCTTAAAGAGTTTGTTCTGCAAGGAAGGTAAGAAAACATGAACTGGGAAAGCAAGCAAGAAAAGCCACTCAACATTTTACAGCATGAAAAGCCACAAAGATAATGTAATTGACTGTCTATCAGATCTAATCTCCTTCCTCCAGAGATCAAAGGAGTTTTTCCATTGATTAAGAAGAAAAGCAGTGTGAATCCCAGTGAATTTAACCAGAAGGTTAATTCACAATACACACATTACTTACAAATAACTGTTCCTTAGCTGACATCATGTTATTTCATACCTGGTATTTATAATGTCCTGAAGCTCTTTCCATTCTCCTTTTAGTTGGCTTCTCTTATGAGAGATAGCAGCCTGCTGCACTTCATCCACAAGATTTTCTAAGGTAGATGAGATGTTTTCCAATTGTGTCCAACCAGAATTGGTTTCACTTTCTATCACCTAAAAGACATGCAGCATCAATTGCATTAATATGATATTGTATTTCTCAATGGACTCAACAGTTCATAAAGTTACAGTCACATGAGTCTCTGCAGAAAAAGTGAAAACATCACTTGAAAGTAAGAGTCTCTATTACTTTCTTTTCCTTTAAGACTCCATATTTATCTGTATGCAAACCTCTACCAACCTTTTATGATGAAAATTTCCATGCCTAATATATGCCACAGCAACATTTTACAAAAGGTTCGATGAATATGGTTCAGCCATTTTTACTACAGGAATGAATGGAAAATCTCTCAACTTAGTTCCAAAGAACAAAAAACAAATGTAGAACTGAAGCAAGTTCTGAGATACCAGATAACCTTTGTACTCCTTTCAAGCAAGGACTTGAAAAAATTGCAGTAATAAATTCTCCATCATCAATTATGCGCTTTTCATCACCCCCTTAAGGTTCTCACAAACCTAATCAAGTTCTAAGTCCAGGAATAGTTTCATTCTGCACATACACCACTGCCATTTGATAGTTCAACTCAGATGATTCCTCAAGCCCTGACCATGGTCCATCACCTCCCACTCCTCATGACAAAAAAAGCTGCTTTCTGTAGTTATTTCTTCCATTAGACCTATTTCATGCTCCTTTTTCTTTTAGCAATACACATAACAGGGAGGTGAGGACTCTACATGAGAAAGTAACAATTTGGGCACCAAGTATGTTTTTAAGAGATGAATACTTACCTGTAGTTCAAGCAGCTTATTCTGAAGGCATGAAGTGCCTTTTATTTCATCAGTAAAGCCAGATGCTACTTTATCTCTGCTGATTTGTAAAAGTTCCTCCAGGTTATTTCCTTGCGTATTATAGCTGAAGAAAGACACGATCACTTTCAGAGAGAGTATTACTTTGAATTCAGTGGAACGTGACAGGAGTTGGGACTTGCTGACCAACAGATTAGCACAGACTAATGCAAGTGCATAGTTTTACTTAAGTCCCAAATGAATGGGCATAAATAAGCAGCATATTAAAGAGCTGAGAAATTGTTCACCTGGCTAATTTTCAAGTACAAATACCTGCTTGCATTCTCTAAATTCAGTTTTATGAAAGTAAAGAAATCACTTCTTTAAAAACATAATACTTTTTTTAAATTTTGCAGTACTTGAAGTTATTAGTAAAGAAGATACAGATTCTTCTGGCCCAAGAAAACCGCAGAAGAAAAAATTTTATGGCTTTAAGTGTTCTTGCTAGAAAATCCTAATGTTCCAAGCATATAGCTACTATGCCACTTCCTTATCCATCACAGACCCACAGTAAGTAAACTGCAGCAGAACAAGAACAGAGTTCTGCACAGAAAAATTGCACCCTATGTTTGATGCATTCAACTAATTTACGAGTGTCTAACATTGTATCCTCTCTTAACATACACACATTTCATCCTTTAAAAGTTACCTCTCTAATAAAGCTGGTATGGGCAAATCACTGCCTTCCTCAAATTTCTTTGCACAGCTTTCTCCGTTGTGATGTTTCACATCTGGTTCCAAAACTACATCTGCAGCAGGTCTTGAGGTCTAAGTAAAGATGAAAAAAAAAAAAAAAGGCAACTATGACCTCTGCATCATGCTGTCAATACATAGTGAATTCTAACAGACACCTGTGAACTCCTGAAAGAAGGAATTGCTTCACATGTCCCACAGGCCATGAGATTTCAAAGGAGAGGAGATTTCATTCATGAAACAAAAGAGCAATATTTTTTTTTTTAACACTAGCAGCCAGGTAATTTATTCCTTCCACAGATGCTAGGTCTTTGGCTAGCACAAGCTACTTGTGCAAATTTTTGCTGCAGCTCCATGGACACCCTTGAGCAACCAACGAGGCACTGCATTCTGTAGCTTTTGTCAGGCTGCTTATACTAGATGCTTTCACACGTCTCTCACCCTTGATTCCAGGATACACTTGACTCCTCTGATACTTGCTCTGAGGCTGGTTGGAGTTAGTTATACACTTCATACTTTGATTATCCATGAGAACAGATTCCATCATTTTATCAGGCACATTAGAAGCCTTACAAGACATCTGCTTTCACAAGACCCAATTTCTACATATCTTCAAACTTCATGCAAATGCAATGGGGTCCTTCCTATAAGGTGCCTGATGAGCTGTTTGCAGCATTGCTTGCATGAATGTTTATCATAAAGGAGGCACCTTCTGCAGCATCCAAATGCTGAGTGCAGCATCTTCTCTCTCACAAATTATTTCTAAGAAGATATACGTGTTCTGCTTTTCTTTATATTTTTCTAAAGCAAATGCCTCCAACTCTTCACTATTTTTCCTCTGTGTTCTCTGAAACTTGTTCAAATTACTTAAAGACTATGGGGTATTTGCACCTGAACACAGCTTCACACATGACTCTTCCAGCTGAAACCCATCCTTTAGCAAAATGTAACACAGGGTTGGAGACTCACATCTCCTTGGGATGCTTGGTGCTGTACCTTGCATTTTACTTTTTACTATTTACTTAGTCTACATTCCCAGGCACAATGAGTGTTTGATGTCTGACCAGAAACCTGAGGTCCCACCACAATAAGAATAGTAACAGAAATAATCATGTTTTTCTTTTGCCAATGATGTCCCCTAGACAGAGCACGCTTTTCTAGTAAGTATGGACTTCTTACCTCCTGTACCATAAAGACATCAATTTGTTGAGAAGAACTGGGCTTTTCTCCATTCTCAGAAGCAACAATGGAGTTCCTATGGGAGAAAAGAAATTTCAGTTTAAGAACAAAATGTGAAATAAATACAAGGGGAAAAAAAGAAATCATAGAATGGTTAGAGTTGGAAGGGACCTTAAAGATCGAGTTCCAACCCCCCGCCACCTCCCACTAGATCAAGCTGCTCAAAGCCCCATCCAGCCTGGCCTTGAACCCCTCCAGGGATGGGGCAGCCACAGCTTCTCTGGGCAACCTCTTCCAGTGCCTCACCACCCTCACAGCAAAGAATTCCTTTCTGGTACCTAATCTAAATCTCCCCTCTTCCAATTTAAAACTGTTACCCCTTGTCCTGTCACTACAATACCTGACAAAGAGTCCCTCCCCAGCTCTCCTGTCCTTCCTGAAGAGCCTGTATCCCTCCATTCCAACACTCCAGTCCTAGGAGCCACCCACCATGTCTAATGATCAATTAATGACATCCTGGCTAATGATCAAAAACAGTGCAGCTCTGTTGAAGGGTAATCAAGCATTGTACTTGCTAGTTTATGAAACTTAATACTAAATATTTAAATGTACATTTGTCCATAGTAATGTACGCAGTAATGTAGTTGGTAGCACATATACAGTATCACAAAATCTATGCATATATCTGATTTCTATGAAGCTACAACGCATCATGCACTCAGTCACTCACTCTTTCTTAGATGATTGTCCTTTTCCAGCACGAGACAGCAGGGCCGTGTAAGTATCTTCCACATTTTGTTTAAGCTTTTCTAGCTTTTGTTCACAGTCTGTAGTCAGTGTCTGTATGCCTGGGACACTCTCTTCTGATAGTCTTCCCAATAGTTTAAGGTCTTCTAATGACTTGTTAAGTTCCCTCAGGCTGCCTTCTTGTGAAAAAAAGGCCTAAACAAAGGAAAACAATATAATAAACTCATGTTTAGTCGTAAGAATGTGCAATTATTCTCATACATTTTTTTCTGTTTCCACTGCCTTCTCGGATGCGCTTACTTAAATTGTAAGCTTGCAAACCAGGAGAGAAAAATTTATTTTCCCTCAATTCTTTTCCAAATAGAGCCAGGAAAGAAATAAGGATTTTTGGCAACAAGTGCCCTAGCTACATTCACAAGACTATACTGACTCTTGCTTGATTTCAAAATTCATTACGTTACTACCCTTTTAGCTACTTTTTTCCAAAGTCCTTTTCAGTGACATCAGATATATATGTCCAATTGACTACAGAAAAAAGTAGAACTAGAAAATTTATTTAAACTATTCCCTACCAATAATTATACTTTCAAGGGTGAAATCAAGATCTACTAAAAATCTAGCAAAAATAGGAGCAGAAGGGATGCACCTGAGAATGTTTATATCTCTTTACTCTTGCATATGTAATATTTGCTGAACATATGCATGAGAAGCAAAGACTAAAACTCCACTGAATTCAGTGAAGAGCAGAATTTCACCAGGAGAGCAATTTCCTACCCTTATAAGTGGTAAACTCTCCATATCACTGCATCTCAAAGAGGAGGAAGAAGAAAAATACTAGAAGCAAAGAAGTATAAAAAGCACTGCTTATGGAATACGTAAGATTCACCGTGACTCATCCTGGAATGTCTTGCTTTAACTCTGTGGTTTATACACAGCACAAACACAGAGATAAAGTGTGTCTGTTGCACTATGAGAAGATACTCTCAACTGAAGGCACCTAACACCAGCTGTGCAACTGTAACAAATCAAGGGAGTCAGAGAGCACATAATCAGTTCCTATTTTAACAACTGCACACATAAATCTGTTCCAATGCTTCAAGGCTGTCTTTAAAAAAAGGAAAAAAGATATCATCCACAAAACAAGAAGGTATAAGTCTGCAAGAAGGCTAATATCTGCAGTCAAAAAAGGTGAAGAAATAATTTGGGTGGCCTTTTTGTTCCGTGTTTACATGACACCAAGCCCAAGGACCCAGCTCCACAAACACAAGCTGCAAGTGTACCTAAAAAGGAACAAGGACAGACAAGTCATTCACAAAGAGAGGTAGGTGAGCAGAAAAGAAGTGTGGCAGGTACCTCATGTTCTTTGATGAGTCCTTTGGTTTTATCCATACTTAGGAGTTTCTTCTCTTTGCCTAATTGCTTATTGATTTTTTTTAAAGTTGCGTTAAAATTCTTTTTTTCCCTTTCTATTATAAGCTGGACACAGGATATAATTTCATTATGAACTGCCTGTAAAATTCAAAACACATTATCCCTGTGAGATGGTAACACGAAGAAAATAAAAACCCCAGAACATATTGTGACAAAAAATTTGGTTTTTTTAAAGGCCTAATGAGAACAGACAGTGGCTTCTCTTTCCTATATCATCTTACCTCCCATCTTTTACGAACATCTGTACTCTTTTCTTCAACTACCAGCTTTTCATGATCAGATGAAATATTTTTCAATTGTTCAGCTGCTTTCAAAAATTTGTCAAGAACTTCATTGTCCAGAGTATTAAAAGCTTCCTGCAAGAAAAGTATCCCATGAAAAATAAATAGAACTGAATGCAGCTTATTTACCTAACAAAATTACATCAGTAGCATACAAAAACCATGGATAAAGCATGTATATGTTGCATGTATGGGCTGCGATGGTCCTTGTATGGGTGTGTATGAAGACATTCTCCACCCTTGCATACCTGCTCAAAGGTTGCAGACGACACCTGTGTATGCTTCTTGGAGAAAAGCAGATTTTGTCCTTTTAACTCCTCTTTTATGGGCAAATTTGGTACCAAGGAAGAAAGATTAAGGTCCCTGAACTTTGCATCCTTTCTAGGGAATATACATGGCCACGTCCCACACTTGTCAGAGGGCGAGTGAGATGTCTGTACCAATGTTCTGGGACTCTATGAGATGGCCTGGAGTGAGGCTCTGTGCTTGGCACAAGGCCACCCAGGACTTGCTGTGCAAGATGAGGCAACACAGATTTTGGGCACTTCAATTTTTGATACCTCACTAACAACTCCTTTAAGAGCTCTAGTGAAGTTCCTAATGATGGAAAAGGGGAAACATTTTTAAAAGGAAAAAAGCACGACCTGGTGAACCACAGGCTGGTAACTCTCACCTCTTGTGCCTGCAGAGATCATGGAGCAGATTCTCCTGGAAACTATGCTAAGGCACATGGAAAATACAGAGACCTTACAGCGGCCTGCCAGTACTTAGGTTAGCTATTAGGAAGAAATTCTTTACTGTAAGGCTGGCAAGACACTGGAACAGGTTGCCCAGGGAAGTTCTGGCTGCCCCATCCCTGGAGGGGTTCAAGGCCAGGCTGGATGGGGCTTTGAGCAACCTGGTCTGGTGGGAGGTGTCCCTGCCCGTGGCAGGGGGGTTGGAACTTGACGATCTTTAAGGTCCCTTCCAACCCAAACCCTTCTACAATTCTATGATGCAGATTTTGAGATTAGGCACTTTCTTTTCCAGTTAGCCCCCGGGACAAGGAGGCGATTCAGCATTTATAATCACACTTTAAAAACCTGTCCAAGAATTCAGGCATGTGATTCTTGATGGGAATCTTAATTATTAATCAGGCAAACAAAACGGGTGTAGTTCTGAACAAGATGAGTTCTGATGGGATGATGGAGTAATTTAAGTTAAGACAGGGCACTGAATTTCAATCTACATTTCTTCATTCAAACTATCTGCTGAGTTAATATATGCTAACAGTGCTTAATCAAAAAACTGAGAAAACCAGTAATAGCTACCAAAGAAATAAAATTCTGATATTTTTCTCACTATGATCCCTTAGTCTTTTAGATAAGAAATACCACTAAGAAACACTCAAATTCAGCTGGCTTAGAAAACAAACCCACCTTGTATCTTGTAATACATTCTTCAGGACTTAATTTTTGACTGACGAGTTGCATAGCCTTTGAAATGGAGGCCTCAAGTTCTTTCTGGGATTCTTCAAAATTGAGCAAAGCTTCCCTCTCTGAGGGTCTCTTCTCAGATTTGGACAAGATGTTGTTCACGTCACCCATGACAGCCTTGGAAGAAAAAGACTTTTTTCAAAACATGCCTGAATATCAATACTTACATAAAGCTATTGCTTCATAACATTAGTCAAGTTGTTTGAGTTGAGATATTCATCTTTGAAATGTTCTAGTTTCTCCCCCAGCAGGAGTCTGGGAGACTGATTCCAATAGTATAAACCCTTTTAATTTTACATGAATGAAAAAGAGTCTTCCTAAGCACATAATGCTAAAATTAGAGATGTCTGTGTGTATAAAGTACAATAACAATAAAGGAGGAGTACCTCTATTTTGTCTCTGGCTTCTTTAATTCGTGCCTGCAGCCCAGTGGTGTAAGAATGCTGTTGGGACATCTGACTTGAAACATTTTGCGTCAGGGATTGCAATATCTCTTCTGCTGCCACAACTTGTTCTTGGCATGAGGTTCCCCTTGCAGCCAAGCCCTGGTTGAATGAAAAGCATTAGAAGCTTCTACAGTATTTAAGTCTTTTTGTTTAAAGGAACTGAATGAAAAAGCAAGCCTTGATTGTGGATAGTCAATATTTGGTCTAGGAAAAATCTTACATTGCAATTATGGCCAGCGTATTGCACTGCACAATCTCTGTGTAGAGAGAAAGAAGTCTGCTGCCATCCACAGGGGATTCTGTTTGCTGTAACAGCCTTTCTGTCAGTGTGATACCTCCCGTGTCTTTGCCTGAGAGCCAATTAGAAGTATTTTTTAAACATGCTCTCCCATCCACACAGCTTTCCAAATGAATGTACAAACCACACATTTGGATATGCATCGTCTGATCATGAAGTCATCCAAAAGTAAGCACATATATCAAGGCTCAGATTTTCTTGTGGTATTCAGTACTAAAAGGCAGGAAGCATCTGGGTATTTTGCATGCAAAAGTAGTGTACCATATTTAAATATTTATCATGAAATGTCATTATTAGAGCTGTTTTGATCTATGAATTTTCAACAAGTTCTCCTGTTTGAAGTTGTCAATTAGCATTCTTCTAATGATAATCCGTGCTTTATTCTGGATCTCAAACTATTGTACTGCAGGTAATAAGCAACCTGATCTCTTCTGCTCACAGAGAGGTACAATACCAGTTGCGTTTCTGGAGGCTCTATTTCAGGATCTCTTTTGTTACTTTGTTGTTTTTAACAAAGTAGTATCACGCTGAAAAAGGAGGCTTATTTTATAAACATAGGCCCAAAATTACAAAAAGATTATTAGATTCTTCTCAAAGGCTCACTCTCCTAACTCTATCAACTAAACACAGTGCAAGAAGGCACAACAAACCAAAAGTAAACTAACAATAATTTTAGTTCACAGTTACTATAGGTGGATTTAATGTACCAAAGATCTCTGTTTAATTTTAGCCCCTAGACAGAAGAGCTCCAATCAAACCTCCTTCTGGTGGTCACCTTCCTATCATCAGATTATACAGGCCCTGCTGCAGAAATAGCAAAAGGCAACGTAGGACAGTGATTCAGCTTCTCCAGTGCAAAGCTTGCCATCTTTGTTCAGTCTCACCTTCACTGGCAGGTGAAAAAAAATTAAGTTATACATACATATTTCCACCTGCCATCTGCTAGGGTGAGGAAACAATAACCTCTGGCAGTGAGACATGGGGAACAACAGAGACTAGTGGAAGTAACAAAAAATTCATCAGTGCTCATTGTGGATGTTTAGAGCAACTGCCTATAAGCTGAGACGCACAAGTTACCCAGAATGCTGCTGGAAATACTTCAAGTATTCATTTTTGACAGGTAAACCTTGAATATAGCCAAGTTGTCCCAAACCTCCCCCCTGCACTGCAGGGTAGATGACAGAACATATGACCACGAGAAATTCTCAACTTGGCACCTCGCAAAGACAAGCACTTCATTGGCACTTGCTTGTCACCTGGACACACTGATGTTGGGAGAAAAATGTATAGCTCATTTGGGAGCGATCCTGGCAAATAACATCAAAACAGTAGCCTTGCCTTCAATTTTTACCGGTGCTATAGCACAAAATCCACATTCATTTCTGCTTTATTGATGACGGCTCATTTTACCCTAGCCACTAAAATGTGCTGAAAGATAAGAATTTGATTAACAAGTGTTTTAAGCAGTGTAGTTCCATTTTCACCTGCAAATGTTCCTCCACTTCAGGTTGCACAGGCCTCTCCTGACCGATCTTGCCAAGCAGGCATCCAATCTCTGCTGCCCAGCTCTCCACCCCTCCAAGGAGCTCTTCAATTTTCTCCAGGCTCCCCGGAAGCTCCATGTTTTTTTCAGCAGCATCTGTGCTCTCTTCACCAAGCTATAAAGGAAGAGCAGGGTGAGATGTTCATACCCATCATCAGTTCACGTGTCTCTCTGCTATCCTCCTGCAACACAGTCACCACTTAGGTTACTTTCCAGCTTTTTGGACCCAATGGGGAACGAAGGAGAGAAAAATGCCAAACATATCAGTAAATACATCATGCAAGACAGTTCTTCAACCATGAGAGCAGGTGGGACAGCACAACCTGGGCCCATATGGCCCACCCCCTCCTCTATAAGCAAGCAGCCACAGCCACACTACTATGGAGAAGAACTCCTGGGCTGCAGCATCCCTCCAGCTATGCCAGGGAATCATCCAACAGAACGATAGCTGGTGTTGGTCAAATCCAAACCAGGGAGTGTGCTAAGAGTTTAGAAGTACTGGCAGTCACAGGCGAGCACTCAAGCATTTGCCCTTGCCTTTTTACACATAAAACCAAATATAATAAACATTATAGCCATAACGTCCTAAGCAATGCCAGAAAAATAACTCCTGGTGTACTTCAGCCCTTGTAAGGATGGAAGAGGCCTCTTTATTTCTTCTTTCTGAATTTCTTCTTTCCTAAAAGCAACTCTTACTACAGGTTTTTCTAGGAAACTCCAGATTTCCGTCACTCTTGGGACCATGTTTCCTCTGATGATCTTGCATTCTCATTAACGTCATCTCCTACAAAAGTGTTGTGATTTTTTGCCACCATTTTTTGTCACAGCAGGACCTTCAATAAATGTCAATGAAAGGCTCAACTAGGAAAATTAATAATATTCCCAATTCCTGATATTCTAATATTCCCAAGCAGAGCAAAAGTGTCACTTTTGTGAAAGCATTCCAGGAAATGTAATATATGTAACATTAAGCAGGTTGAATAGGAATTCACATCAGACTAAAAACCTGTCAAGTGAGCTGGTGTAAAGTCACACAATGCTAGAAATATCTATGCAGCAATAATTAGTGTCTACTAGCTGAGGCAGAGATTATACAATTTAGCAGAGGCTCACAAGCTCTTAACAAATCGACTACTTCCATCTCTAGAACTGAATGAAGAGCTTTATCCTGCAATAAGATTTCCTTTTATAAGTGGTTTTAAAATTTCCATTGAAAAAACGGAATATTTTCCATTGAGTCATAAAGAACATTTAACTGAGTCACAAAGACTTAAGAATGGAATGCCTTTGTGTATTCTCCACTCCTGTTTTAAAACAGGCAATTCCGAGTTGCCTAAAAGATTTATTAACCTCTGATTAGCAATTTGATAAATCTCAAAAATATGATTTTGAAGGCTGCATAGCAAAAGTGTCATATGAAACTAGGAACTTACAAAATGTGTCCGCTTGATGAACTTAGCCCATCTCCTGTTCAGTTTCTTCATCTCTTTGGCAATATTTGATCCAACTTGCTCTTTGCTGACTTCGATGAGATAGTTTCCGGCTTCATTTAAGGTACCATGTACTGAATTCCACTTTGCCAGGATCTCAGCAGGGATCTAGACAGAGGCACTGAAATCATTTAAAGCAGAACCCTGCCAAAAGTTTATTTCCAAAATGGGGAACAGAAAAAACCAGCAACGGCAACAACCACTGCCATGCATAATGCTTTTCTTCCAGGAGGCTTCCAAGTACCCCTGTCCGTCACTACAAAGAGAAATCCAACCACATACCTCTTTGGGATGCTCATTTCGTTTTTCTTCCAGCCACGTCTTTAGTAAGTGGATGTTTTCTGTATAACTACTCCAGGAAGACAGGACTTTCTGTAGGATGGTATTTACATTGGAAATGTAGTGTCTGCACATTGAAATCTTTGACTCCGCTGCCTTTAAAAGTTTGCTAATTTCTTGAGGATCTCCAGCTAGGACATGAGATAGGGAATATCATTACCCATTTGAAAACAGAGAAGTTAATTACATGGAAGCACTATTTTAAACAAAACACAGTGGGAACTAAATCTAGTGACAACACAGCAGTTCAAAATAGAGGTCTTCACATCAGTTTATGTGCACGAACTTACCTAAGTCAGGATTGCTTATGTTTTTGTTTTTCAAATCTTCACAGATGCGAGTAGCAGCTTCTAGTACTGTTTCAAGTCTCTTTTCTTCAATGAAATTCTGCCCAAAGTGAAAAGTAATTGGCATGGGTAACACTAACCCACATAAAACTAGGTAGGAAATGCAACTATCCCACAGAGGTTTGACTTAGGGAACGGCTGCCACTGCTGGCCCAATAAATAGTCTAGAAGGAGAGAAGTCTTCCCAATAAAGAATAAAAATGGGCAGAGAGAAAATTGCAAAGAGTCACAGCTCACTCTATTTCTCCAAACTGAAGAAAGAAATCTCATTCAGAGGAAAACAGCAAGACATGGAGAAAGGTTCTACAGAAGTCTACCTGTCCTTCTTTGCATAAATCCCAGATCTCACAAGCCTACCATGCTTCTACCAACTACCACAGTATTTTCAGATGAGGACAGACACAAGGTTGAATCAAAGAGAGGTGGGGAAGAATAATTATTATCAGGGTGTGATACGTGTATTTTAAACTTACATTCCAATTTTCCAGCAGTGATTCCACAGATTCTTTTGTCCCATATTTCATGTCCCAGATATTTAGCTTGAACATCACCTCATTGGCAATAGCTGAGCACAGTCCATAGTGGTATTCGAGAAAGGTGTTGGAGTTTGTGAAACAAATATTACTAAATCTGCAAACAGTGAAACGTTCCAAATGTTGACTCAAAATCATTGGATAGAGAAAGCATTAATGTATTAGGTTTTAAGCCTAAAAACTCAGAATTACATATATGTAAACATTATTTTGTTATGAGAGGAATAAAATTTTAAGGTAGCAATGGGGGAGTTTTGGGGGCTTTTTTTTTTTTAAGTAGCAACAATTTTGAGTCAATATCTACTGCTCAATTTATGAAAAGAAATTAAATGCCCAGAAAAGGGGTGTCTGCCGTCTATATGTCACTCAGGTTACACACACAGATTCACAGGGCATTTTTGAAAATATCCTTCAACAGCTATATGGGCCTGCACAACCTGTAGATCTCAGTGATTTTAAAAGGTGGAAATTAAAAAAAATCAGAGAGAGAATCCCCACCTCCAGAGAAATTTTTACATTCAAAATATTCATGTTTCCTACATCTAGTGGGTGTTTCCTATCCACACCAGCAACCGGCATCCGAAAATGTCCTGTTAATGAGCTCCACTTTGTACACATAATTAGACATTAATTGAACCAATGAGTGAACCTGCTTGCTCTGCTTGACAGTCAATCTGTGCTTAGGTGGAAAATGCTCTTTTTCTGCAAGGCACAGATAAATTACATGCTTTGTTCTGAATAGCAGAGCAAGTCCGTATCAGAGCTAGAATACAACATAGTCAAAGTAGAGGGAATTTGAGGATCACAACCTTCTTTTCATTTCCTCTAACTTTTCAGGCAAGACTAGCGGCATATTCTTCTCATCTTCATTCTTAAATGATTGAAGGGTGTCCAAGTGAGAATCAAAACAATCCATCAGGCCCTGGGAAGAATAAGACATAGTAAGCCATTCATTTTAATTCTAGAGTATTTCACCTGGGAGTCTGCAAGTCACCTGCCATTACAGTGAGAGCTATTAAGAACTAGTCAGCACAAGGCAATCTTCCAGTGTCTTTATTCATTGAAGTGCAATGAAAGTATTTACTTTACTATCTAAAGTGCATATTTAGTGCACTGATTTCTCTTATTGTTGTGCATCTGATTAAATATAAGGAACATGAAAGTACACTACCCGTGCTAACAGTTTTTTCTGCACTTTCACTATCATCTTTAGGACCAAAAAGTGTCATTGTAACAGTTTCAGGATATTAAGTTGTTCTTTGCTATATGTTAGCAAAGACTGACAGCAAAAACTGTTGAATATCAACATATTGTGTCACACTTGCTTAATGCTTAATTTAACTGTTCAATAAACTTCCATCTAACACCATGCCGATGGCATATCGCATTAAGCTTCTGATGGCAGGTATCATGATTGGGGAATATTTTATGGGGAAGTGTCTCAGCACCAAATTCCCAATGTAAAAATAAACCATAAAATGCATTACACAGAATATAAGCATATTCATGAGTGGCATATAAAGAAATATGCCAGAAGTTCATTTCTATGTAATAAAACCTGCCACAAAGCGTGTTATTGGAAATAGCTAAATCCCTCAGCCCTACAGCCCTCAACCCCAAATAGTGCACAGATTTTAAACATTTGATTTTGTAACCTTAATACTATTCCAGTCAGACAGTTATGAGCATTGCTGGGTAAATTCCTAGATCTTAAGCGAAAGTAAAATTTCCATTATAAGGCACCACCTTGGCAACAAGATCCCTACATGAGACAAGACATACTAAAAGGACTTATATACTTAAGGACATAAAAGGACACATACTAAAAGGAGGAAGGAGGTGAAAAAGAATTCTCAGCAGAATGTCTTTCCATCAGGATAAAAGGACTTGACGGAAGTTAACTGTCTTGGCTTTCTTCTTCTTAAGGAACTTAATGATTTTATCTACATATTCAATGGTAAAAAAAGAGAACCCTAATCCAACAACGTTTCTCTCTGTCTCATTCTTAGAAATACTTTCATTACTTTGGCTGAACAACAAAAGTAAAAATTTGTAATGCTAAAGTCTGGCAAAGTTGTTATCAGTTAAAAAGCTGTCTTAGACTGGAAATTGACCAGCAACAGTACAAAAAAAGTGGTGTTATCAAGCCATGCACAAGAACATCAATTTCCCACTCTTTCAAATTCACTTTAAGGGCATGTCACAAAAACATCCAGCTTCCCCCTTGCTCATAAAAAAAAACAAGTACAGCATTAAGATGTCAACGAGACATCAACACATCCACTCTTTTTAATGTTTTCAAACTCAAGAGACCATTTAAGCTATTATCACTGTAAAGATTTCAAGATCAGAATAAATAACTTGTATGATTCTGAGGTATCAAAATACCTCCCATTGCTTTAAATGGGATTACAAAGTGATTCAGCAAATACTTAACTTTAAACACACAAACTGCGTGAACTCACTGGAATGTAACCCCGAGCCCAAGTGCTTTTCTGAATAGGTATGTATTAAGCATAGATTTGAAGATAAGGATGCAATTACCCTGTGTACTTAACAAACAAACAAGTTGCAAGAACCACATAAAAAAGAATACCACAATTTACTCATTCAGATAGTACTGAAATTTGATCTCATCCCATTGAAGTCAGAAACCTTCTTTATATACTCAAGCAGTTATTTAATTAAACTCATCATTGTTCAAAGGTATTCTCAGAAGAGCTTTTCATCTTCAAAAGATAAACATATCCATATCACTTCCCAAAATATCAAATAGAAATTCCATAACAAGTGCTTTGCTAGGTCAGACTGAAGCAGAATGTTCCTTTATGATCAGCATACCTTAAATACTACAATTATTTCTTGGAAGACAAACATTGCTTTAAATGAGTCCTGCAAATCAGGCAAATCTTCGGCCTGCAGATGTTCTACCTCCTGAAGCCAGGTCTCAATTCCATCCAGAGGAGAGGGCAACATCTGGTCCAGCTTTGCTTTCCATTCATCAATCTTAAAAAGGAAAACAAGTGATTAAATTTCTCACTCTTATTTTCTTCCCCGTCTTCAAGATATTGATATATGCTCCATAAGCCAATGCTCTAGACATCCCCCCCAAAAAAAACCCATCACCATTTAGAACAGGAGCTCCCAGTGAAGTCAGCTCCAAATCAGCTATGTTTACCTGAGCCCCAGATTTGCTCCCCAGCCTGTAATCTCTGTAACACTACAGAGAATTTGGAAATTACCATCCTTGGCTGGTGACCATCTCAAGGCCCAGCAACGGGGAAATTTATAGTAAATTAGATGCAAAATAGAGGGGGAACAACAATGTTCTGGACAGCTTTTCATCATGGAGCCAACAGGGTAACATCTCTTCCATAAAGAGCAATTACTAACCAGCAAGGCCCAACACATCCCACTTGGGGCGGAGGGAGAAGATGACACAGTCAACCTCGTTGCAAAGCACTGACCAACCAGATCTCACTGTGTCACTATCCGTGCCATGGGAAAGAATATATTAACACACTTTTCCCAGCTGCATCATTATCTGAGCCATAATTACATCCCAAAAGAATCTTTTAAACATAAATAGGCCAAAACCTTTGATCAGAAGAGTGTTCAAAGATAATCAGATGCAGGTTATTTTTCACAGATGCCTCAGTGTCCTGAGGCTCAGGAGGCAGAAGGGCAACGCACAGTCACTTTCTGCCTCCTCTCGGGCACCGTTCACCACCTCCCCACTTTTCCTTCTGCACGTTCCTGGGCTGGACTTAGGCTTCTTCATCAAACACAACCTTGGTGGTAACAAAGTGAGCTAGAAACGCCTCTGACCTGAGACATTAGTTTATCCCACTCTTCTCTCATCTGCTGTTGGCTTTCGCTCGGCTCAGCTTCACTTCTTTTTGATAACAACACAGGCAGAAAGGGTTTTTTTTCTTGGTTAAACGCTTCCATAAATGACATCATTTCCTAGGGATAAAAAGGAAGAGTAATTCATAGAAGACAACTTTAGATGGGAGCTCACGGAGCCAAGTTCTGCCTTTGAACACATTGGTATGACTTCCATTAACTTCAAAGGGTGTGATGCACGGAAAGGCAAGATAGCAGGGAAGAGGCATACTTGTCTCCAGGCAGTATTTGGCCCTGAAATTATAGGTGCCACTCACTAGCAAAATCTGTATTTAATAAAAAGTCAGTGCGGTCAGGACATGGTTCTTCCTTCCCACTAAGAGAAAGGGAAAATTCCCCCCTCTCAGTCCCCCGTGGGAGATTTTATTACAAAGTCTGGGTAGAATATAAACCAAAGAAAATTTTACTTCATGTATCTCTTTCCTAACAGAAAAAAATGTATCATATCCTTCCCTCAACCATTTGAGGGCATTTATCAAATTCGTTATATTTCCAACGCTTCTTTAAAAGTTTGTTTAACATTTCAGTTTAGGTAATGAAGATGAAAAGCTGTGTTGCTGGGAGTATTTTTAATATTTCTTTTTGTATGAGTGGTTAAACATGGAATGCAACTTACTTTGTACTTCTTGTAATATGGTTCGTTCTCTGTGTCAATCAGCAGCTTTGCTAACTTCTTCTCCTGTGCAGCCAACCAGCTCATGGTCTCCTTTAATTTTTCCTGGTAATTAGAGCAGAAAATTTCATTCTTTGATTTTGCAAGCGTTGTTTGTAATCTACATTGTGCCATAAAGCAACACACATTGAGCACACAATAAACACTATTGAAAAACAAATAATAACTCCTGGGACTCTAATGAATTTTGGGTCAGGCACTATTACAGAACAAGGCCAAAGTTTTAAACCTGGCACCTGGATATGTGAAGACATCTTAAAAGTAGAGCCACATTGCGCAGCTATTGAAAGGAGATGATCAGTATGGAGAAATGTGAATAATAATTAGTATATAGACTGTCATAGGAGAATATAGAGAACAGAAAACTTGGTTTTCCAACCAGTGTGATCTGCAAGTGACAACTTCCACCTGCTTTACATGTCAGCTATTAAATGCAAAGCTGGTTGATCTGCACATCTGCAAGTCTGTCTGCCTCTACCCCAATATTTACATAGAGACTTCAGAGCACGCACGAAGACAACCAGGCTTGAAAATGTCTTCTGTAATAGTTAAATGAAAAAACAAGGCAACTCGCACAGCAGTTCCACCTCTGTCATCAAAAATGTATCACATTGAGTCTTGACCACCACACAGGAGCATCGTAAGGTTCAAGCCAATTCAGCCCTGTCAGTAGCTGAATCGAAGGATCAAACCACGATCTACTACCTGTTACTGAGCCAGGTACTGGGCAAAGAAAGCACTGATACTCTTGGCATCCATGATGCATGTTCATTCAAAAATGCCTCGGTGATAAATCACGTGACATACCTGCATGTCTTCTTCAGACTCAGGCATATTCCTGGAGTATTGCAAAAACTGAGCCACGTAAGTCATGATTGATTTTTCATCTGGATTCATAATGTCAACATCTACAAGAACCAATACAGCATTTACATAATTACACAGCCCTCTAGGCCCGATCACATAATTAGACGCTATACTGCAGCTATTAAAACACATTACCATAAAGATGTTTATTTTGCAGCAACTCAGTTAACATACCATTGACAGAAATTAATATGTAATGAACATTTTTTCCTTGGGAATGTTTTAATATTCCATGATGAGCTAGTGAACAAGTTTCTCCCATGAACAGGAAAGTTTCATACCCCTTCTTCTGCATACCATTCCTGCATTTGCTACCAATTCACAAATCCAACAAATCTTAAGTACGGTTGCTATTATAAAATAAAGAACCTCAGGTTTGAGCATTACAGTAAAGACCAATGTTCCACTTCAAACTTAAGCATAGCCTTATCTTTTCCTGTATTACAAGTCAACACATGATTATATTAATTACACTCCTGATAACAAAGCAAAACAAATAAATGCAGATCATTTACCTTCAGGTTCAAGAAGCCGTGGAATATTCAGCTCCAGTTCTGCAATTCTGAAAGCCTCTTTCAGGTTTTCTTTATTGCTTCTAGATTTTGCCTTCTCCAAATCAACCAGACCTGGTCGTAAGGTTTTGATGATGGCTAAAAAAGGCAGCCCGCTTCGCCAGCTTGACTTGAAATCAGTCACATTGATAGAGCCATGCCTATCCCAAAAATGATTAGAAACAAGTGTCATAGCCTGTTTCCTCAGACGTCCTAAGTCCAAGTTTCAAAATTTAGAAATAAAAGATAAATTCAGTAAAATGGGGTATGAACCAAATCTAAGGAGTTATAGAGAACCTTGCCACTGAATTTCTGGAGAAGCTGAGTCAGACAATACAGCCAGTACTTTCGCTACAATTTTATATATATTTTTACTATTTTTGCAAAATGACTCAGTGTTTTTATCTTGTGTTACATTCTGAAGATAGATCCTTGCTGATCCCATATCCTTTCTGAATGTCAACTTTGTGCTCAATATCTGTGGATTCTCTGGGGTGGAAAAACAACAAGCAAAGCATCGAAGAGCATGCAAGTATTTGACTGCAAGGGCACTGAGTATTGGAATCACCTCTGCCATTTTAGAAAATCCAGACCTTAAAAGAGATACATTGTTACAAGAAAGATATATTCTTTTTCTCTTATTTAGCTTCATGTCTTTAAAACACCTTCTATTGAGGTGTCCAGCTCTGCGAGCCGCAGGGAATTCTGGGACAACTTTCTAGAAATGGCTCATGTATTACGAGTATGTTTCGACTTGGAAAAGATGGGATTTCAGGTGATCAAATTTAGTTACACAACAATGGGCCAGGACTTAAAAGATTTGTTCTTTTACCAAAAACTATAGGATTCACTGATAACAAAACCATTCAAGGTAACCACAGTTCAGAAAGGATGCTACAGAACAGAGATTTAGCTGAGGAAGAAAAGCAAGCAAAAGAAATAGGAAGATTTAATGGACATAGAGCTGATTTTTACACACCAATCAATCTTGTCCCGATAAAACACAGCTAAAAGAGAAACTTCAATGCTTGAAAACATTCTCCCAGCAGAAAGTGTCTGACGTGCTGATAAAAGCCTTTATCTCCCACTAACAACATGGAATATTAGTAGGGTGTTATTAGAACATAAAGCAACTAAAAAGCTGGAGAGAAAGGGTTGACATAACTGCAAAAACGTATTTGAAACATCTTAGAGTGAAGCAGTAGCCCTTGAAGAAAATGTAAAGCCTGCCCCTTGCAAGGAATACTGGTATGTGTTCTAGATTGTGTGCTGGGAATAATCCCACTCAAATCAACACAGCTATCTGTACACCAAGCATAAGCAAACTTCTTGTTAGAATTTGGGGGACTTGGACCTCTTATGTTCCCCAGGGTCCTTCTTGGGGAATATGCAGTGTTTTGACAGAAAAACATGAGACGTGGGAATCCTAGAAATCCTACATTTTCTATTTAAAAGAAAGTATTAATTATTGAAACTTTGTTAACCAGTGCAAACCACAAGGATTAAAACTAGTAAATCATGTAAACATTCCACTAGGCTTATCACACAGAAGCCCATAAAAGGGAATAGCCAAACAACTCACTCTACATTGTGGTAGTTTATTAGTAGGATTAGCTTCATTTTATTATATTTAAAGGGCTCACGTCAAAACGATTGATGCTAAAAGTACTAGTAACATCGGAAATCTAAAGGATTTTCTGCTAAGCTGTCACTATGTAATGTTAAAGGAAAAAAAAAAGAGAGAGGGGAAAATATCACCACATTTAGAGGAAAACCATAAATGCATCGTCTAACATGCAATTTTAAGTCTTGGATGGAACTTACAGTGAACACTGTTCTTTTGCCCACAACAAAAGAGCCTTTGTAGCAGATAGCTTCCACCGTTCCTTAATTTTAGCACTTTTTTTAGCTGATCGGCTTGCCTTTGGAGAGGAGTCAACAGCACTTGAACAATCAAGTGAAGGCTAATTGTAAGTACAAGCAAGTGTCCTGGCAAGTTCTTCAATCTGTCAGAGATGATGGGAGACTTAATCAAGCTTCAGTGAAAAATTACCAAGACATCGATGGCAGAAAACTACAGAGAATTAGAAAGTACTCAGTGACAGCTGTAACTGTAGTTCCCTGCCCCCAAAGATCAGATCAGGGGTTTTTTTTGTCTGTTAAATCTGAACTATTTCATCCTGAATTCACATCTTTAGGTGACTTTTTTTTTTTTTTCAACAGGAAATATTCACCCAAAGACTTCCATGCTATATTGTGGGTCCCAGCACTGGCGTCAAGGGACCTGCTCACTCAATGCACTTTTCTACTCCTCCTACCAGTGAAAGCAGCTCGTGGCAGCTGCATTTTCTGCTGTCAACAGTGTTGTGTATTAGGCATGCCCAGAGTTTGCCTGCTCACTCAGGATGCAGGAAAACCTACTTGGTAGACCTGAGAGATCTATATTTGTTTAGAGAAGCTTGGTTTAGGTGAAAAGATAAACCATCACTACCACAGCCTTCATGTTATGCAGGCACCTGGTACAGAAAAAGATTATATCAAGAATTACACACTGTGAACACAGCCAACAGTGAAGACAGGGGGCTGCCCTTGACAGAGATGAATGTGAACCACTTTGCACTATTTGCTCTATTTGGTGCTTAATCATTACAGGCCTTAGAGAGACAGACAAAGTTTAGCTTCTTTTTTAACTGGTTACTTAAAAAAAAAATAAAATCATCTCAGTATCCTTCCTTCCTACCATTTGCAGCTCAATTCGGTTCATCAGGCTGTGATGCCATCCTTGCATTGGTGAAGCAGCTCAGAGACGCAGGCAAGACGCACCGGTGCGTCTCCTCCCTGAGCTATCACTTCAACTTGTCAGAAAATAACCTTATGCTTTGTACAAATTCATCTCATTTGGCAACCATGCAAGTCAACACATTTTTTTTTGCTTTTCCCTCTACTAAAACTCTGTTACATCGCTGAAATACTTACATGAAAATGAAATATAATTGTCCAAATTAGGCCAAGCACAATGGAAGGTTTTCCTTCAATAATGTCAGCAACATGAATATTTATGAGCTTGAGCTAGAGGAAAGAAAAAAGAAAAAAAAGGATCATTGTTAACAAAGAAAGTGTTCCACCAGCTAAACTGGCTTTAGTTGTGAATTTTGAAGTTAACACTCACTGATCTGCTCTTTAAAAATGTCAAAGCATTTTCTATGTTGCTTCTGCACTGGAAGGTATTGAAACCTTTTTCTCGTGGCTGAGAAGCAAAAAAAAAAAAAAAAAAAAAAAACAGGTTACATCCTTAGTTGTAAAAATTAGTTTCATTTTATATTTTGATAAGGGAAATCCTGCAAAGATTCACATATTACTTTGGACCAACTGATTTCAGTGTGTTTCAGTATTAGTGGTGTAAGAATAAGTTACTTGCAAATAGCTCTGTGACTCCAGAGGGATCACACATACACTTACAATTAAGCATGTCTAGAAATCTTTGCTGGATTATGACGAAGGATTTAGGTAATATTTTTGTTACTCTTGCCTTACCAGATGTTGACCTGAAAGCTCTTCCAACAGATCCAAAAGAATATGTCCTTGCTGTATGTCTGTATACAGGTCTGAGATAACAGAAGGAGGTGTACGCTGCAAAATAAATTTCAATGCTTTTGTCATTTTGAACTCAACACAGAACACTACAAATTACTCTGTTGTTAAAAAAATATTTGGCACCCTTTATTTTTTCAATGAGCTGAAATATAAATCCTGCATCAGATCAGCCATATCCTGCTTCTTCTAAGCCATTATTATGCCTGGCTCTTACTGCCCCTTGCCCTGCCTCTAAGTTTTACAAGGGTTGTTTTAAGCCTCATTTTCAACTATAGATATTTTTCAAGGAGGTATGCTGGCAAAAAACCCACAAACTTTGAAAAAGAGAAAGTTTAGAGAAGCCTGGTATTATTAACCCCCTCCCCCTGTCAAAGCCCTGTCAATCAACCCCACAATCTCTTGTGCAAGAACCCCTTTCCCCCTTTGAGAGAGGTGCCTCCCATTTACTGTTTACAAGCCCGGTGCTGTATAGGCAAATCCATTGTCAAAGAACTCAAAGTTATGCTGGTGACACCAGCCACAGAGCCACGTATTAATTGATTGTATCCATCTGTTCCTCCCACCATCATTGCACGCAACTGGAAGGAGTGATGAAAAAATAACCTGTGCCCCAGACTCCCTCACCAGCCCTCCCAGCTTCCTGAAGTCTCTTTTTGTGGATCTTGGGCTGCGAGTCACAGATTCCTCCGTGCATACATGGAAAACCAATAACGGATAATAGTCTGAAGGACATACTAAGCCAGGAAGTTTCCTGGTAATGTCCTCAACCTGGGCTCCAGGAAGACAGCAGACTTCACTCTGGGGAGGGCCCATGTGGCATACTGGTCCCTCCGTCCTCCTTAGGAAGGAGTCAGCAACAACTATAACCTTTGTTTTCTCCTTGTGGTTGTGGTGGTGATCCAGGGTGTACTCTTTTTTGACTGAGGAGGCATTTGTAATGAAGACTGCTCATTATCTACATCCTCACTCAACTGGCCTTCCTCAACTAGTACCTCATATCTGTTCTTCAGAGGTACAGGACGGAGCGAGGTGGGCAAGTGGGGAGTTCTGTTGCTGCTCCAGCCATGAACGTGCCTCCACTCATTCTTATCATTTAGGCCTTTACCTTTAGCCTGGCTGGGGCTGGATACAGGGGCTCCTCGTCCCTGGCTGCTTCCCTTCCTAGCCCACCTCAACCTTTCAGCTTCCCCTCTCAGCTCTGCCACCATGGTGAGCAGATCATTCACCTGCTCACATCTCACACAGCAGGTCTCACAGCTGCCTCTCATTACCAGTAAAAGGTCCTGGCACTCCCTGCAGCCTGTGACCTGGACAACCCTATGCTTCCATGGGAGCTCTGTCTGCATTCCTGCACATCCATTCCGCTTGAGGATGAGAGCATGACCTTCCTCGGGGTGGAGACCATGGCTAAGCCCTTTCCAAGGGGGTGATGCCAGCAGCAGGATTCACCTGTCGAGCTGACAGAGCTTCACTTGTTCCCTACGCACCTTTTCCCTGGGCCTCGTGGTGGGTGCTCCCAGGTGGCACCCTAGGTTATGCCCACCCACTGCTTGCTTGCTCATTGCCCAGCAACTAGTCCTGAAGACTAGTAACCAGCTCTTGAAAAGCTCCTTTTATGGAGGGAGGAGGGTTGGAGTGGTCCTGGCCCATTTACCCCTCGTTTAAATCTGCTGCCGGGGGTGCTGGCCCCGCCCAGGCCCCTCAGCAGCCCGCCCACCAGCCACCGGCTCCCGGCACACACCAGCCGCTCTGCCCGGCTTCCAAAAACCCTCAAAAAGACCTCCTTGCCGACCTTTTTTGCCATGATTTCTTCCCCCAGTGCGGTCTTGGCTGCTCAGAAGGCTGGTCTCCTCAGCGAATGACCATTAGCGCGTTTATGCCTCATTTAAATCTGCCTCCGGGGGTGCAGGGCCCGCCCAGGCCACCTCAGCAGCCTGCCAGCCACCAGCACACGCCATGTACACCAAATACATATTTGACTAAACTTTCCCTCTTTTCACCCACCTGTGAACAATAAGAACCCACCATGGATGGACCAAAGCAGGATTTATTTTGTTTCACCCAAGCTCCGAGCACACGTGGCCTTGTGAAAGCTTAAAGAGCACCTACCCTACTATCTGGTTTGTCTTAATACTTACCAGTCACTCAGGTCATCCCATTAAACTCACATTCTTGGGCTTGCATAATAGAATAATACCTACCTAAACACAGTAAAACTAATGATAAACACAGAGCCTCATAAAAGCCTGAGCTGCGTGCCACAATTCAGCACAAATATCTTTTACCACATCAGCAAGGAAGATACTGTCATCTACTTACAAACCATCTCTTACAAATGGCCTTGGATGATCGATAATACAATGCTGTTATGTGTATTAAATAAATGCTTTCAGGGGCTACTTTTTCCAGCCAGTGTCTAAAAACCTTATATTAATTTTGTTTATTCCTAAAAATTGCAGTCTCCATGCAGCACATCTGAATCAAAAAGGCAAAAGGCAGGTCTTTCCTAAAGAATTCCCTTCTTACCTTTGCTAAGATAGAATTTATCCAGGTAGTGAAGGTTTTCTTTTGTGTAAACTCTCGCTGTACTGGGAAAAAAAAAAGAGAAAAACATGGTTAATGGAAAAAATGATCTGGTTTTATTTCTCCTTCTCAAGAAGATACATGTCATCCAACTCAAACCTAAGCTCCATTCTTCCCAATATTAAGATACAATTTAGTGTTAGTTTTTATCAACTTTTATTTTAGTGCTGACATTTACTTGCTTGCAGAGTTGATACTGCAAAGACCTCCCCAATCATCAAGGTTACTTCTACTGGATGCAGTTAAGAGCAACTAATGAAGGTTTTCTCAAAAGCTCAGCAAACACAAACAGCAGATGGAACACATCATCCCACAAGTGCAAAACATCTAGGATAACTCCATCCATTCATAAATGGTCCATGAAACACTCAGAGCAACCTTCAGTATAAAATCCATCTTGAAATTCGGCAAAAGGCATGCATGGAGTTGGGTGATGAGACCAGGATGGAGGCTGTGGTTAGGTGATAAAAGCAAATCTGTAGGTGAAGCCACACAACGGCTGTCATGGCTAACTGAAGGGCTGGGGAAAGTTCTTGGGCTGCCATTGGGGAATATACGCTCTAACAGCATCTCTTTCAGTGCTGGGCCCTCCCTGGGGAACGCAGACCATTAAATTGGCCAAACAAGGGCACACAGGGTCTTAAAAAGGAGGAAGAAAGTGCTTGAACTCATGCCACAGTAAAAAAATGGTGATACGGGACTCAAAGCATGATCTGGTCATGCAGAGATCCAGCCCTTCATCCAGGTCTTGCAAGCTGGTACGCAGTGATAAACTATCAGCAGTTGAGAAGGAAGAGAGGACACTGTTTAAGCCCATGCTTCAAAAAATCAGAATATTTAAACCACTTCTCACATCTGAGACCACAGAATCATAGAATTGCCTAGGTTGAAAGGGACCTTTAAGATCATCTAGTCCAACCATCAACCTAACTCTGATAAAAAACCATCACTAAACCATGTCGCTAAGCACTACGTCAACCCATCTTTTGAACACCTACAGGGATGGTGACTCAACCACTTCCCTAGGCAGCCCGTACCAATGCTTAACCCTTTGCAAATGCAAAATTTTTTCCTAATATCCAAGCTGAACCTCCCCTGGCGCAACTTGAGGCCATTTCCTCTTGTCCTATCACCACAAGCTGCTTTTTGATAATGCATCCTCCTGCTGGTAACGCCATCATCCAACCCACAGACCTCCTTCTGCTTCACCGAGAAAAACATTCAGGCATTATGTGCGTCAAGGGCTGTTTTGCATCCTGGAGCTAACACATCTTTCAACAGTTCTCCTCTAATCTCCACCACTATGATCCTGTCAGAGCATGAAACAGCCCATTTCCCCTGCTTTGCTGGATTGCTTTACACTCCTTAAACATTGCAGAGACCGTGATGAACAGGCAGATAAAGGTAGTCTTAAAAGACACGGACAAAAATGCGATCTCAAAATTCTGTTTTGTTTGGAAAACAGAAAATAAGTGCAAACATGCCACACAGACCAATCAATCGACGTCGCAGTGCTCGCAAGGAGGACATAAATAGCAGGGAGATACTGGGTTCATGTTAGCACAGGACCCAACCACACCCTTCGGCTGAATACCAGTGCAGGAGCCATTCCAATTACCTAACGAGCAACTATTGAGTGGCTGCACTCAATTCTATCAGGCAGGCGGGGCTGGTATCCCTGGCACTTGAAAAGGGACGGAAAGCAAATATTAACTACTCTGCCTGACGCCAGTGACTCTTCCAGCTGTAGCTCTTGCCAACACACACTACTGCTACTGATTTGGAGAACTTGCTTTTGGGGTTGGTCACAGGATGATATGGGGTTGGAAGGGACCTCTGGAGATCATCTAGTCCAACTCTCCTGCCAAAGCAGGTCCACCCAAAGCAGGTTGCACAGGAACACGTCCAGGAGTGTTTGGAATGTCTCCAGAGAAGGAGACTCCACCACCTCCCTGGGCAGCCTCTTCCAGGGCTCTGCCACCCTCACAGCAAAGAAGTTCCTCCTCATGTTTAGGGGGAACTTCCTACAGTCAAGTTTGTGCCCATTTCCTTTTGTCCTGTCCCTGGGCAC